GGGTCATAGTTTCGATATGATAGCAACAGATTTCGGTTTAAATTGGAAAAAAAATGTAAAAAAAGCCGTTATAATTCAGTACAAGCAGCTTTAATTAGCAGTAATTGTTAAAACAAATTATCCTTTTAATTTTCATTTAATTAATTATTCAAACCATAGAGTTTTTTTTTAAATTAATGTATGGGTGGAATGGCCATCCCCTCGAGGGGGTTGGAAGATTTACACATTTCAGGGGTTGCACGAATCACTCTCGGATAGAAAAATTGGATGGGAAAGGGAGAAGGAAGAATTCGATTACATTTCATGAGAGTGCAATAAAATTTTGGGGGAGAATGGAACAACGAGGTGTCAGGAAGTTTGTTCTTTTTCGTACTCCTCAACAAAGCCCCGGTGGTACGACCTCACGCAATAATATTAGAGACATCAGCACCCTTTTGATAATTTGTGAGGGAAGGCCATTGAATTCATCTATGTTGGGTGTAATTATTCCACCCTCCGAAAAAAGAAGAAATCGCCCACAAGGTTTATAACACTTTTATGCAAATTGGAGAGGGTATGGAAAACCCCATGAGAGCAATATTTATATTTAACTAGTCGAATATCCTAAGAAAGAAGAATTCGGTAACCAGGGGGTCCCCAGCACAGAAGGAAACTAGCATGACACCTCCTTTCGAGGAACGTCTTCGAATTCTTCCCATGAGCGTGCCGGAGAACACTTTAGGGGAAACCGAAACATGGGGAGGGGGGAGCAAGAACTACTGTCCAAGACAGGAGAATTGGATGGCCTTCTCTAAAAAGTTTTGATAACAATGCTGGGGGCGCCAAACAGAGAGAACGAAGAATTCTATCTCCTTCCATGAGAGTGCAATAAAATTTGGGGAAGAATGGATCGACGAGGTCTCTATTAGATTTCTTCTTTCCTGGATGTTATTCCATATATTCCTCCAAACCCCCAATGGCCGATGTTATATATGTAATCACCCTCAGTACCCTTTTAATAACTATCGATGGAAGGTCATCGAATTCTTCTATTCTTACCTCTCTCAATACTTTCTAACCCAACATTTTGTAGCACTTTTAGAAAAGATCATAGGAGGTATATACCCTCCCAGGCCCCAGGTGCTAAGCACTAAACCAAGATGTTTGTATGACTATTTTCCATGGAGAGCGGTCAAATTTTCGTTTCTGGGAGATTTCACACATAGAGCTAAAACTTTGGGGGCGATGGTAGCACCGGGGGTCTGGGGGGTATGGAAAACCCCCCAGCCCAGGAGGAATCAACTACATACCTAAAAAAAATACAATGACCTGCTTTCGGGAAGGTAGTGCAGAGTGCTCGAAAGATCTAAGTTAATATGGAATGACACTCCCCTGAGTCTCCGACGTCTTTTTTCCTGAGGGGTTTCCCATACCCCAGCACAGGAGGAATCAATTACATACCTAAACAAATTACCATGACATCTGCTTTGAGGAAGGTAGTACAAAGCGATCGAAAGATCTAAGCTAAGATGGAATGACCCTTCCTTGAGTGTCAGATTTCTTTTTTCCATACCCCCCAGCCCCCCTGTGTTACAGTCCCACATAAAATGTTTGTATGATTGTTTTCTATGGAGGGCGGTTAAATTTTCGATTCTGAGATTTGATACATAAAGTTGTTAGAACTAAAAGTTTTGAGGGCGACGTTAGCACCGGGGGTCTGGGGGATAGAGAATACCTCCCCCCCCCTCTCAGTACGGGAGGAATCGATTACATAGGTACCTAAAAAAACTATCATGACAGTTGCTTTCGGGAAGGTAGTACAGAGTGCTAAAGAGCTAGGATCGAATGACCCTCCTCTGAGTCTCCGATTTCTTCTTCGCTGAGGAGTACCCCGCAGACCCCCCCGTGTAACGCCCTTCCCCAAAATGTTTGTATGATTGTTTTCTATAGAGTGCGGTCAAATTTTCGTTTCTGAGAGGTTCACAGTTTTTAGGGCTAAAGTTTTGGGGATGATGGTAGCAGCGGGGGTCTGGGGCACAGGAGGAATCGATTATATACTCGTACCTAAAACAACTACTATGACGGCTGCTTTTGGGAAGGTAATACAAAGTGCTCGATAGATCTAACCTAGGATCGAATGACCCTCCCGTGAATCTCTGATTTATGTTTTCTTTGGGGTAACCCATCCCCCCCCCCCTCCCCCCCCGCGCCGACTCACCGGTGTTACATCGTCACCCAAGACGTTTGTATGATTATGTTCCATGGGGTTTTTAACGTTGAAAGTTTTGTGGGCAACAGTTGACAAAATTCTGGGAAAGGCGGCTACGCAAGGTATATGCCAAAGTATCATAGTTGGGTGGGCATAGTTAATAAATCGCAAGTCTAACGGCATTTAATGAGCCATTTTGGATACGTGCATTTATAAGGGTAAAAATGTCTGCTGAACCCGAATTCGGATGTTGCCAAGCTGATTTTTGGCTAATTTCAAAATGGCGGCCAATATGGCGGCCAAATATATAAATTTTTATGCCAGACGCATTTTACATAGTTTTTCGGATTGAGATGTTAAAAAAACATACAGGAGGCACAGAAAATTGCAAAACTTATGTATTGGGTACATTATACAGACAACACGGTAACAATATAGAGATAATTCTGACGGCAAATATTTCGTTCAAAAATTTTAGCGGAGCTTAAATTTCTTCATCATGCAGCTCATTTTTTTTTACGATTGAAGCAGTCGCCAAGACACTTGTAGATATTTGTGCACTTTTAGTTCATAGCATAATTTATTTAAAGCCAAGTATTTAGGAGGACTAGTCTGACCATTCGATTTTTCAGTGTCTCTTATCGCATTTGCGAGACAATATGTATGGTACAAAATGTCCCCGGCAACCGCATCATGAGAAGATGCAACTCTACGCCCTTCTGTACCCACTGCACCCAATGTAAATTTCCATAAGAGCGTCCGCCTAAAAAACTCGTTGTTTTTGAAAAATAAAATTTTATATTAATATATAAATTTTTAAATTTTATAAATTTAGACCTTTATCTACAAAATGTTCGGAATATTTTTTTAAAAAAGTTTATAGCAACTGAATACCGGCTGTTTAAGGATTAGATATTTTGCAGCGATTATTGCGCTAACCTGTTTTATTGTTTTACTCTCGATCAAGACGATTTATGGAAAAAGTAAACCGACAGTTTTCTAGATAAGTTACTTCTGAACATTACCCCGCAAAATTAGATCATATTTTTTGTAAAAATAAAGTCTGTATCTTGGCGGGGGGTAAATCAACAACTTGAGTGTAGCAAGTGGCGCCGCTGCACTGTGTCGGCGGGAACCGAGGGGTAAACCACCTAATTAATTCGGTGTACAAAATAGTAGTTAATGAATTAAAATTATCTTTTAATGTAGTTAATGTTCTGTAAATGCAGTGAATTTCAAGTTAATTCAGTTAATGTTAATTTAATGTGGTTAACGCTAAGTTAATGTAATTAATTTACATTTACTGCCATTTAATACTACTCGAGATACTACTATAGGTAGTGGCTATAGCATGTGAAAAACCGAATTTTGAACCTGGTGTTAGATTTGCTTTTATTCCAAGTGCCTATGTATCAAATTTTAGTTAAGTACTTTCATAAATAAAAAATTTTGCAATCCAAAAAGGGCACTGTGCATGTAGAATTGATTAGGCCCAACTTTTGGCATTGCTAAAACTAAGCCCTCGACTATGCCCATATTTAATTTCATGCAATTCGGTTTATATCTAACGGAGATGTCAAAAGGGCCTTCTTTATTTTTTTACGTACATTGCCAATTCACGAACTCCGACCTATAACTCTGATAAAGAACGCAAATGCAAAATTTCATCATAATCGGCGGTCTATTCGTTTTCGAGGTATCGTGCTAATGAACAGATCTCGGGACAGATGGACGGGCACCGCAAAATTATAAACTCTCTACGTCCTAGGAGATCGTCAATAATTTGAAAATGTTGGTTATTTAAAATATTTTTGCTATAGTGTTTTATAAAAAATTTAATAACCTCTCGTATTATGTAATAATACACAGGGTGTTCCATATTAAAGTCACATTTTTGTTATCATCTGAAAAATGCGATGTGGTTTTGTTTTTTTAAATGCAGATTTGAATTCATTGGAAAAATACGCAATTTGTATTTATATGTGTGTAAAGCGATAGGGTATACAAGAGGTAATTTTTTTTTAAATATTGATTTATGAAAAAAATTTATTCTTCATAATATGTTTTGCTTGCTTTGAAAGTACCAATAACGTTTCGATTATTTGTGGTTTGATAGCAATATTCTATCTTAATTATAATGTAGAATGATAACTTTCAATAAAAAAATTAATTTTATTATTTTTCCAGATTTCTATAAATAAATTTTAGATTATCGAAACGTTATTGGTACTTTCAAAGCAAGCAAAACATATCATTAAGAATAAATTTTTTTCATAAATCAATATTTAAAAAAAATGCCCTCTTGTATACCCCATCGCTTTACACACTGTATATTTATATATACAGATGGAAAAAACCTTAAATACTTACCAACGGTTATTAAAAAGCACAAAATTTAATAACAAACAAAATTTGCCGAGGAAAATGTAAAACACTAATTTAATTAATACACAGCTTTTTTGGGACACCCTATATATCACCACAGGATATATTTTCCTACATTTTCCGAACTAGCTATGAAGTTAATTAACCAACTCTTACGTATATATAAGTAATAAATTATGGAAAGCAATTTAATATTAAATAGTACACAATACAATAGATAGTGGCGCCATCGTGCTGTATTTGTGAACTAGTGCAAAATTCGGCCTGGCAACATCCAGAATCGGATTCAGCACATTTTTTTACATCTAAAAAATCATGTGACCAAAATGGCTCATAAAATGCCGTTAGAACTAAGAAACAGAGTCGTTTTTCAATTTGGCCACTTAACTATCAAGTAGAAAGTATGGTGAAGGTTTGGTGTCTTTATTAATTAATTGTCTACAAACTTTTCTGATAAGTACAAGATAGGTACAAATTGAAGCTGAAATAAAGCGTGTCTTGGTCCCGGAAAAAACTTGTATTATAGATCGCATACCTCTTCTTGGCAATAACATTTTAATACATTTTCAGTGAGTGAAGTGCAATTTGCAAATCGAACTACTTTAAAAAACGATGCGCAATCAGCTCTCCAAGAAACGCCACTACAGATAAAACCACACCGAAAGAGTATACAATAAAAATTCCATTCAAGTGCTGTAAAGATAGCGCCACCACTTCTTCTTCTTGCGGCAATTCCCTTCTTTTGGAGTCGACGTAAGATTCTCGATCTTTATCTAGTTTATCGTACAAACCGCTTTCGGTCAATCTGTCGATGACTATGTTTAAGCTGTCGATAATGAAACTACTTCTCTTACTTGCAAAGGTCTGCATCAAGGGAGGTACGAAGTAATTATCAATGAAGTAATTTGGAGTATGCAATCGTAAACCCGGTGCCAGTGAGTGTAGTGTTTTCAGTGGAATAACGATAGAGACATTTGGACGTGCAGACCAACTCTCCAATACAACACGGGAATCTTGATCTCGTATGGGACACGGTCTTAACTTCATTTTGCTGTACATCTTCCCATGTTCTGTCAAGTTGTGTACCTTTCTCACCACTGCGGCACTAGAATCCCAACAAATTGGAATCTCAGCTTCTAGCAGCTCCTTTAGATTGCGAATCGGTTGGCTTCTCGGAGGTGTAGTTATCAGGCGCATTAAGTTTGAGACGTACGCTGTTTGTATGTGCACGCTGTATATAATGTAGCACAGAATTACGAATTTTAGTTTTGAAGAATTGGTAATGCGATCGGTGCTTTCAGATAGCGTGATTCCAAAAGTCTTCAGAACAATTTCACCGAAGCTTGTTTTGAATTTTTCCAAAACGTACCACGCAAAGGTAAATAATGCAAAAATAACCGAAACCAATATCCAAACCTCCTTATCAAAATTAACTGCGAAAATTTTCAATGACGAAATGGCATTTGTTGGTGGCACTACCCACACTATGACGTCCCGTATGTACACGTGACTCACACGAGAACCTCCGTTCATATGGGAAATTGGTAGTCCATCATGTACAATAATACCATACCTACCAAGTTGTTTCAAAGAGATATTCCATATTTCAGCCGCCATGTTAATGGTAAAATCTCTGCGATTAAATTTATACATCAAGTGCAAAAAGGCACTAGTACTGAATTGTGTGGGACATCCGTGATAATCTCTTATAGGACGCGGAATTGTGTCAGCGATCGCTTGATCACAACTTTGCACATGCATTGTGTTCGGGAATGTGCCGTGATGGTTTTGAACATCATGTGGATTTGCCGTAAATAAGAACGAACTTGCATCTTCGTTCTTGTTGATCAGCAAAATTGCCAGATATATAATGCCATAATTCCATAACATATGGAAAATCGCTTCCACGTGCCGTACGTGATCGGTTATAACAAGTAATCTTGCATTAACGGGTTGCACACTCCATGTACCTATGGATTCTAAAGAAACAACACACTTTTTTAAAACACCCAAATCTCTAGTTTCGAATATGAAATTGTTAGAAACCTTTCCTATCCTGCGAGGTATGGGATAATCGATGTTAATAAGAATCCGTTGGTTTCTTATATTGAACGGTAACAGGTCACTACTTTCCTTGAAAGCATAGTGGAGAGTTTCGTTTCCAAAAATCGTTCGGATCACTTTTTCTATACATACCTTTCCGGATCTCGGATTGTGTATCAGTGAAATACCACTTGATGCGCTTCAAAAAGATACAAAAATGACACACGATGTAACTTTCATTGTCGTCTTTTACTTCCATTACAACCCTCAAACTGAATCGTTAGGTGCTGAGTGTCGATTGAACATACATACTTATTTGTTGAGTAAGTCAACATGTACGCTAATGTGTTTTCTCGCAGCACGTTACGACATAATCACTACCTTTGATTACATTCTATTTGCTCAGTAAAGTGCTTTTTTTTCATTTACATGGCATTGGTACTGCGATCGATGACTGCCGGAAGAGTAGCGATCGGCATCGCAACGAAGCGACCTTTTTCTGTTTCTTCGCATAAAGCGGAAATGATAAACGCATCTTCCTCATCAGAGGACACAATTGCTAAATGAAGATTAGGAAAACAGATGACAAAGTGCCGCTCCTACGCACTGAAATGCGCATCGCGTCGCCGCGCTTCGCTCTAGTGTGCGTTACCCTTTAAACGAAAAGTTACAGTAATGATGATCGATTCCTCTGTACCTACCCCCCAGCACGGAAGAAATCGATTACCTGCTTGGTAATCTGCCTGCTAATTATACGAATACAAAAGTCGTATGTGGCTTTTCATGCCCTATCTACGCTAGGCAAAATTAATATTTGTAACAAGTTGCGACAATTAATTATAAGTGAAAGTAATTTCGAAGCGAATTTAATACTTACATTTAGCTAATTAATTAGCGAACAGAAATTAATTCTTGATTTTCAAATTATTCTTCTTCGCAATTGTGACAATTGCACCTGCTGGCGCACGTGTTGAAGGTGGGCGCAATTAATACTTGGCATTGAAGTGGGCGTCAAATTTATCGCAATTGGAATTTCAGCAATTTCGTAGGCAACGTTTGAGTAAGGTCGGGATTGTGAGATTAGTGGATCGAGCGCGTTCAGTTTGTATCTGGAACATTAAAATACAATAAACAAACGATTAGATTATGCTAGAAGTAAATAAAAGCTGTAATTATACGCGCGTAATCGTCAATGTAATTAGGCGAAAAAGTGTTGCAAATGTTTAGTAGTTATCTGAACGGGATCGTTAATTTAGCCCTGAAATCTTAACTAACGCGGTGTCATTAGAAAGGAATATTGTGTTAGAGGACGTTTGTTTAAACAAATCAGGACCGTATCGGGGTGGGCAAATCTTTATCGCGCGCGCCGTTCGTTTCGGTGGTTTTGGGTTTATAGTAAAACCGCAAACGTGAAATGAGATTCCGGCGGTTTGCGTCAGCGAGGTTCTTTTTGAGAATTGGAAATGATCGAATTTCCCAGCTGTTCGCGGCAAAAACCCGCTTCTGTGTGACACGATGCGGCTTTCATCCCATATAAATTCTTGTTCTCCTCGATAAAGCCGCCAGTTCGGTACGGGCAAAAGGTGTGCACGCGCGCGCGAAGGTTCCGTTTCACTTGCATTCAATTACGTGCTCGATCTCTAATTATGGATAATACGGTTATTGCGACCACGAATGGCGAACAAAAGACTACGCGACGACCTCGTCCGCTAATTAGTCGAGCTTGGTCCGAAAATTTCGACGACGTCGAGGTGCCCGGCACGCCGAAAACGCCGAGAACGTCGACGACGCCAGGTTTGTCCTTTTTTAAATATGCATATACGAAAAGTGCCTCGGGGCAATACGCAAATTAATGCAGAATCATGTTGCTGTTGACGAGACGTAGCCTATTTAACATTCTTTAAGGTCAATTGGTTCTTGATTGACACTCTCGACTATTGGAGCCAAAAGTGCCTCGAGGCTTTTTTGAATACGCATTAACACTATGTTGCATTGTCAAATGCTGCCTAAACAGTACAGTCGTAGTGATAACGCTATTGGAAACAAACCCATTTTCAACACAACATACGTCGCCTATTCCTATGAGGCTTTTTTTTAGTATTCCGTTGCTGAGTCTAAATTATTCTGAGGCAGTTTTCGAAAACTCCCCGAATAATTTCAGAACGCACACTTGAGTCAAGAGTAGAATCGTAATTTCGTTGAATAGTCCTTAAATGTGTTTGTGCCGCTTAAAAATTTCAGTACAAAAATATAAATTGTACTGAGGCTATTTTTGAGACCTCATTGCAAGTGAGGAACCTGTTTCAGACAGTTTCTCCTAACGGCAACTTCCACGCATTTGTGCTCATCTCTCCTGGAGAGCAAATTTCAATTTTACGGCGAATAGTTGACTTTCAATTCACTTCTGACGTAAGAAAAATTACTTTATGGAAGATCTGCCAGCTTGTCTCAAGATTTCGTTCCAAAAACGAGTCAGGGGGTACACAGTGAGAGCCTAGGGAATTTATTCTGAAAACATTCTCCCACTGGAGAGCGAATTTCAATTTTACGGCGAATAATTGACTTTCAATTCACTTTTGACGTAAGAAAAATTACTTTATGGAATATCTGTCAGCATGTCTCAAGATTTCGTTCCAAAAACGAGTCTGGGGGTACTCAGTGAGAGCCTAGGGAATTTTTTCTGAAAACATTCTCCCACTAAAAAGCGAATTTCAATTCTACGGCAAATAATTGACTTTCAATTCACGTCTGACGTAAGAAAAATTACTTCATGGAAGATCTGTCAGCATGTCTCAAGATTTCGTTCCAAAAACGAGTCAGGGGGTACTCAGTGAGAGCCTAGGGAATTTTTTCTGAAAACATTCTCCCACTGGAGAGCGAATTTCAATTTTACGGCGAATAATTGACTTTCAATTCACTTTTGACGTAAGAAAAATTACTTTATGGAATATCTGTCAGCATGTCTCAAGATTTCGTTCCAAAAACGAGTCTGGGGGTACTCAGTGAGAGCCTAGGGAATTTTTTCTGAAAACATTCTCCCACTGGAAAGCGAATTTCAATTCTACGGCGAATAATTGACTTTCAATTCACTTCTGACGTACGAAAAATTACTTTATGGAAGATCTGTCAGCATGTCTCAAGATTTCGTTCCAAAAACGAGTCAGGGGGTACTCAGTGAGAGCCTAGGGAATTTTTTCTGAAAACATTCTCCCACTGGAAAGCGAATTTCAATTCTACGGCGAATAATTGACTTTCAATTCACTTCTGACGTAAGAAAAATTACTTTATGATTGATCTGTCAGCTTGTCTCAAGATTTCGTTCCAAAAACGAGTCAGGAGGTACTCAGTGAGAGCCTAGGGAATTTTTTCTGAAAACATTCTCCCACTGGAAAGCGAATTTCAATTCTACGGCGAATAATTGACTTTCAATTCACTTCTGACGTAAGAAAATTTACTTTATGGAAGATCTGTCAGCATGTCTCAAGATTTCGTTCCAAAAACGAGTCAGGGGGTACTCAGTGAGAGCATAGGGAATTTTTTCTGAAAACATTCTCCCACTGGAAAGCGAATTTCAATTTTACGGCGAATAATTGACTTTCAATTCACTTCTGACGTACGAAAAATTACTTTATGGAAGATCTGTCAGCATGTCTCAAGATTTCGTTCCAAAAACGAGTCAGGGGGTACTCAGTGAGAGCCTAGGGAATTTTTTCTGAAAACATTCTCCCACTGGAAAGCGAATTTCAATTTTACGGCGAATAATTGACTTTCAATTCACTTCTGACGTACGAAAAATTACTTTATGGAAGATCTGTCAGCATGTCTCAAGATTTCGTTCCAAAAACGAGTCAGGGGTACCAGTGAGACCTAGGAATTTTTTCTGAAAACATTCTCCCACTGGAAAGCAAATTTCAATTTTACGGCGAATAATTGACTTTCAATTCACTTCTGACGTACGAAAAATTACTTTATGGAAGATCTGTCAGCTTGTCTCAAGATTTCGTTCCAAAAACGAGTCAGGGGGTAGTCAGTGAGAGCCTAGGGAATTTTTTCTGAAAACATTCTCCCACTAGAGAGCGAATTTCAATTCTACGGCAAATAATTGACTTTCAATTCACTTCTGACGTAAGAAAAATTACTTTATGGAAGATCTGTCAGCATGTCACAAGATTTCGTTCCAAAAACGAGTCAGGGGGTAGTCAGTGAGAGCCTAGGGAATTTTTTCTGAAAACATTCTCCCACTAGAGAGCGAATTTCAATTCTACGGCAAATAATTGACTTTCAATTCACTACTGACGTAAGAAAAATTACTTTATGGAAGATCTGTCAGCATGTCTCAAGATTTCGTTCCAAAAACGAGTCAGCGGGTACCCAGTGAGAGCCTAGGGAATTTATTCTGAAAACATTCTCCCACTGGAGAGCGAATTTCAATTTTACGGCGAATAATTGACTTTCAATTCACTTCTGACGTAAGAAAAATTACTTTATGGAAGATCTGTCAGCATGTCACAAGATTTCGTTCCAAAAACGAGCCAGGGGGTACTCAGTGAGAGCCTAGGGAATTTTTTCTGAAAACATTCTCCCACTGGAAAGCAAATTTCAAGTCTACGGCAAATAATTGACTTTCAATTCACTTTTGACGTAAGAAAAATTACTTTATGGAAGATCCGTCAGCTTGCCTCAAGATTTCGTTCCAAAAACGAGTCAACTCAGTGAGAGCCTAGGGATTTTTTTCTGAAAACATTCTCTCACTGGAGAGCGAATTTCAATTCTACGGCAAATAATTGACTTTCAATTCACTTCTGACGTAAGAAAAATTACTTTATGAAAGATGTCAGCATGTCTCAAGATTTCGTTCCAAAAACGAGTCAGGGGGTACTCAGTGAGAGCCTAGGGAATTTTTTCTGAAAACATTCTCCCACTGGAAAGCAAATTTCAAGTCTACGGCAAATAATTGACTTTCAATTCACTTTTGACGTAAGAAAAATTACTTTATGGAAGATCCGTCAGCTTGCCTCAAGATTTCGTTCCAAAAACGAGTCAACTCAGTGAGAGCCTAGGGATTTTTTTCTGAAAACATTCTCTCACTGGAGAGCGAATTTCAATTCTACGGCAAATAATTGACTTTCAATTCACTTCTGACGTAAGAAAAATTACTGTATGGAAGATGCGTCAGCTTGTCTCAAGATTTCGTTCCAAAAACGAGTCAGGCGGTACTCAGTGAGAGCCTAGGGAATTTTTTCTGAAAACATTCTCCCACTGGAGAGCGAATTTCAATTTTACGGCGAATAATTGACTTTCAATTCACTTCTGACGTAAGAAAAATTACTTTATGGAAGATCTGTCAGCATGTCACAAGATTTCGTTCCAAAAACGAGCCAGGGGGTACTCAGTGAGAGCCTAGGGAATTTTTTCTGAAAACATTCTCCCACTGGAAAGCAAATTTCAAGTCTACGGCAAATAATTGACTTTCAATTCACTTTTGACGTAAGAAAAATTACTTTATGGAAGATCCGTCAGCTTGCCTCAAGATTTCGTTCCAAAAACGAGTCAACTCAGTGAGAGCCTAGGGATTTTTTTCTGAAAACATTCTCTCACTGGAGAGCGAATTTCAATTCTACGGCAAATAATTGACTTTCAATTCACTTCTGACGTAAGAAAAATTACTTTATGAAAGATGTCAGCATGTCTCAAGATTTCGTTCCAAAAACGAGTCAGGGGGTACTCAGTGAGAGCCTAGGGAATTTTTTCTGAAAACATTCTCCCACTGGAAAGCAAATTTCAAGTCTACGGCAAATAATTGACTTTCAATTCACTTTTGACGTAAGAAAAATTACTTTATGGAAGATCCGTCAGCTTGCCTCAAGATTTCGTTCCAAAAACGAGTCAACTCAGTGAGAGCCTAGGGATTTTTTTCTGAAAACATTCTCTCACTGGAGAGCGAATTTCAATTCTACGGCAAATAATTGACTTTCAATTCACTTCTGACGTAAGAAAAATTACTGTATGGAAGATGCGTCAGCTTGTCTCAAGATTTCGTTCCAAAAACGAGTCAGGCGGTACTCAGTGAGAGCCTAGGGAATTTTTTCTGAAAACATTCTCCCACTGGAGAGCGAATTTCAATTTTACGGCGAATAATTGACTTTCAATTCACTTCTGACGTAAGAAAAATTACTTTATGGAAGATCTGTCAGCATGTCACAAGATTTCGTTCCAAAAACGAGTCAGGGGGTACTCAGTGAGAGCCTAGGGAATTTTTTCTGAAAACATTCTCCCACTGGAAAGCAAATTTCAATTCTACGGCAAATAATTGACTTTCAATTCACTTTTGACGTAAGAAAAATTACTTTATGGAAGATCTGCCAGCTTGTCTCAAGATTTCGTTCCAAAAACGAGTCAGGGGGTACTTAGTGAGAGCCTAGGGAATTTTTTCTGAAAACATTCTCCCACTAGAGAGCGAATTTCAATTCTACGGCAAATAATTGACTTTCAATTCACTTCTGACGTAAGAAAAATTACTTTATGGAAGATCTGTCAGCATGTCACAAGATTTCGTTCCAAAAACGAGTCAGGGGGTAGTCAGTGAGAGCCTAGGGAATTTATTCTGAAAACATTCTCCCACTAGTGAGCGAATTTCAATTCTACGGCAAATAATTGACTTTCAATTCACTACTGACGTAAGAAAAATTACTTTATGGAAGATCTGTCAGCATGTCTCAAGATTTCGTTCCAAAAACGAGTCAGCGGGTACCCAGTGAGAGCCTAGGGAATTTATTCTGAAAACATTCTCCCACTGGAGAGCGAATTTCAATTTTACGGCGAATAATTGACTTTCAATTCACTTCTGACGTAAGAAAAATTACTTTATGGAAGATCTGTCAGCATGTCACAAGATTTCGTTCCAAAAACGAGCCAGGGGGTACTCAGTGAGAGCCTAGGGAATTTTTTCTGAAAACATTCTCCCACTGGAAAGCAAATTTCAAGTCTACGGCAAATAATTGACTTTCAATTCACTTTTGACGTAAGAAAAATTACTTTATGGAAGATCCGTCAGCTTGCCTCAAGATTTCGTTCCAAAAACGAGTCAACTCAGTGAGAGCCTAGGGATTTTTTTCTGAAAACATTCTCTCACTGGAGAGCGAATTTCAATTCTACGGCAAATAATTGACTTTCAATTCACTTCTGACGTAAGAAAAATTACTGTATGGAAGATGCGTCAGCTTGTCTCAAGATTTCGTTCCAAAAACGAGTCAGGCGGTACTCAGTGAGAGCCTAGGGAATTTTTTCTGAAAACATTCTCCCACTGGAGAGCGAATTTCAATTTTACGGCGAATAATTGACTTTCAATTCACTTCTGACGTAAGAAAAATTACTTCATGGAAGATCTGTCAGCATGTCTCAAGATTTCGTTCCAAAAACGAGTCAGGGGGTACTCAGTGAGAGCCTAGGGAATTTTTTCTGAAAACATTCTCTCACTGGAGAGCGAATATCAATTCTACGGCAAATAATTGACTTCTGACGTAAGAAAAATTACTTTATGGAAGATCTGTCAGCTTGTCTCAAGATTTCGCTCCAAAAACGAGTCAGGGGGTACTCAGTGAGAGCCTAGGGAATTTTTTCTGAAAACATTCTCCCACTGGAAAGCAAATTTAATTTCTACGGCGAATTCAATTCAATTCTGAGATAAGAAATAGTTACTTACTTACATAAAAGTCCGGAAAATGATACATTACCGTCGAGGAAATTTTGAAGTGCGAGGCCCCTAGGGACCGAGTACTTTAATTTCCGGGTCAAGTAATGGCATTTTACTGACGAGTTTTGTATTAAATTTTACCCGAAAACATATTTTAATAAATAAGTATAAAATTTCAATTTTTACGTAGAACTTTTGATTAATGTCAATCTGGCAGTGATGACATGAGTCATTATTGACATTTAGCAATGTCACATTTGCGGCCGGTAAAGTGACGTTGCGGCCGGTAAAGTGACAGGTGCGGCCAGTAAAGTGACAGGCGGCAGGAAACGTAGTCTGCTCTGTCTCTGTCACGGAAACTCAAATTTCCTGACAGAAAGTAGGCATGAAAATGAAGGTTTCAGGGCGATTTTGAGTAAAATAACATTATGGAAGATCTGTCGCTCCTAACCTCAGTTTGTCTAAGATTTTGTTCTAAACGATTGAGAGGGTACTCAGCGAGCCTTGGAAATTTTTCCTGGAACGAATAGAATTTGGCTTCACAGACGGACCGACAAATGTAGGATTTTGTAATGAAACCTTCCAATTTGTCTCAATATCCAAGATGATATTCCAGGACGGGAATATTCCAAATCAATTTTAAATTAACTTCAACCACTCGAATACCCCGAGTCAATAATCCCATAACTCCCCGATATTTACGATGCATTTAAGTGTCACTCATAAAATTTCCGATATGTCATTGCAGGTCACGAAAAATGCACATTCCACCACGACTTGGAGTTGGACCACAACCCGCCGACACGCGAGGCGATGCTCCCGGAGATGTCTCGCTCGTACAGGCTACTTCTCTCCTCGCTGGGCGAAAATCCCGAACGCCAGGGCCTGCTGAAGACCCCCGAAAGGGCCGCCAAAGCGATGCTGTTCTTCACAAAGGGCTACGATCAAAGTCTGGAGGGTGAGTACTAATTTCATTCCGAAGTTGGATGGCTTTAACCAAATTAACGCCCGGCGAAATCTCGGAAGCCTCTTTAGCGTCTCTAATTTCCTGTAGCGCTAATTATTAGCGGCAGGCGGAAACCCTCTTTTCTCCTCAGACTGCTGAACTTTAATCAAAAGCTCCTTTCATTTTATTTGCTTAGTCGCTTGTTGCGCGCCTTAATTTCAACGACTCGAAGAACTATTGAAAGATAATGAGGGTAGTTTTCCCTCGGGATCAGGCGGACGTATCCATAGTTACGACATGAGCGACTTCTGATTTTTCGATGCAAAAACATGCATTAATTTACGTCGGCGATATCGGAAATCTGTCACGCGTCGTGAAAAGCGGATTACCTATCGCCGCATATGATTGAGTGTTATAAATGTAATTGTTGCGTGGGTGATACTGTGAGAATGGGGAAAAAAGAAAAGTGGACGGGGCTTCCGGAGCTTAAAAGCTAGAGCGCTCTTGTATAATGTCTAGCGCGCACCCCCATCGGCGTAGAGCTCGCGCCACCCCCTGGGAAACTACCCTCGAGCCTGTGCCGCACCGCTTTGACCGCGGACGAAGTTTAGATCTCGCCAACAACACGTCCATTGAATTAAATTACAATAGACATTTGAAATTCCTAAACGCTGATTTATTTTCCAGAAGTGCTTAACGACGCCATCTTTGATGAGGATCACGACGAAATGGTCGTTGTGAAAGACATCGAGATGTTCTCGATGTGCGAGCACCACCTCGTCCCCTTCTACGGCAAGGTCTCCATCGGCTACCTGCCCTGCGGGAAAATCTTGGGTCTCAGCAAGCTGGCCCGAATCGTCGAGATCTACTCCAGAAGACTGCAGGTGCAGGAGCGACTGACGAAACAGATCGCCGTCGCCGTAACCAAAGCCGTACAGCCGGCCGGTGTCGCCGTGGTCGTCGAGGGAGTGTAAGTAAACGCTCTACCATTCAATCGATCGCTCATATTTGACACTTTAGGCACATGTGCATGGTCATGCGAGGCGTGCAGAAGATCAACAGCAAAACGGTCACCTCCACGATGCTGGGCGTTTTCCGAGACGATCCCAAAACGAGAGAGGAATTTCTAAACTTGGTACACACAAAGTAAACGAGTGCCGCCCGTTTTACCATGACCTAAATCAAAAAATGGACCACGCTTTTTCATGTACTGTATGTTTAAAGGTATTATACACCATAAGAATAATTTGATATCTTTTACAAACATATTGGCCAAATCTAGTGTGTTCAAATATAATTATATTTTGAGAATATTTATTACTTATATTTATATTTGTTGCTCTGTGATAGTTAGAGACACATCGTCGTAAAAGAGTCTAAATTTTTTACAGGGTTGCATTGTATTCAATTTTGTTATAAAGTATAATGTATAAGTAACTAATGTTTATGCATTGTAAAATAATTCTAGTTAAATTTTATTAACGTTGACAATCTGTAAACATGGAATTTATTTTCAAAATATATGTGATTATAAACAAAGTATTTTTAGTATTGCAATACGAACGGCGATCAAAAGTCGTCAAGGACTTTCGAAATCTGACCCAAAAGTATTTAGGCAACACGTTACACAGTGCCCAATAAGAACATACATAAATCTTAGGGCGCATTTTATAACAGCGCGAACTATTTATTACTTCGGCGTTGAAATTGGAACTGAACTGAAACGCAATTTGCTTACTGCAAACTCGAGTTCTTTTGTGGGTGATGGGAAAAGACCTCCTGGACTATTATGTTCTCCTGGTAGCCAGACAAAATTTTACAATAATTTCCTGAACGACACTTCGTGTATTAGGAGCTGAAACACCTCCTCGCACATTATAACCTCCTGATACCAAATTGGAAAAGATTTAAAACGAAATTTGGCTTCAAAATATTTTTGTGGGTGATGGGAAAATACCTCCTCGACTATTATGTTCTCCTGGTAGCCAGACAAAATTTTACAATAATTTTCTGAATGGCACTTCGTGTATTAGGAGCTGAAACACCTCCTCGCACATTATAACCTCCTGATACCAAATTGGAAAAGATTTAAAACGAAATTTGGCTTCAAAATATTTTTGTGGGTGATGGGAAAATACCTCCTCGACTATTATGTTCTCCTGGTAGCCAGACAAAATTTTACAATAATTTTCTGAATGGCACTTCGTGTATTAGGGGCTGAAACACCTCCTCGCACATTATAACCTCCTGATACCAAATTGGAAAAGATTTAAAACGAAATTTGGCTTCGAAATATTTTTGTGGGTGATGGGAAAAGACCTCCTCGACTATTATGTTCTCCTGGTAGCCAGACAAAATTTTACAATAATTTTCTGATTGGCACTTCGTGTATTAGGAGCTGAAACACCTCCTCGCACATTATAACCTCCTGATACAAAATTGGAAAAGATTTAAAACGAAATTTGGCTTCGAAATATTTTTGTGGGTAATGGGAAAAGACCTCCTCGACATTATGTTCTCCTGGTAGCCAGACAAAATTTTAAAAGAATTTTCTGATTGTCCCATCGTGTATTAGGAGCTGAAACATCTCCTCGCACATTATAACCTCTTGATACCAAATTGGAAAAAAATTAAAACGAAATTTGGCTTCGAAATGTTTTTGTGGCTGATGGGAAAATATCTCCTCGACTATTATGTTCTCCTGGTAGCCAGAAAAAATTTTGAAAGAATTTTCTGATTGTCCCCTCCATTTTGGAATATTCACTATGGTTTTACTTCCAGCAGTCGGAAGCGAGGGGGGGGGGGTGTCAAGAAGGGCACAGTAGCGTCTGGTAGTCCCTGATGGAGTCCAAAACAGAGCGAGATGTGCATATATACCTACTCTAGCTAAAATAGCATCAAGAGTGCTAGTTTGTACCAGAATGAGAAATAAAATCAAGCAACGCACCCAACTAGCTCTAATAGCGCAAAAAAAAATAAAATGGCGTCAAGAAAACCACAGCAGCGTCTAAAAGTCAAACAAAAGCAGAGTAAAATGTCCCTATACAGCTAAACTAGAATCAGGAGGGCAAGTTTATGCCAGGATGAGAGAAATACAGTCGAGAAACGCACAAAACTGGTTCTAATAGCGCCAAAAAAACAATATGGTGTCAAGAAGGGCGTCTGATCGAAACAAAAAGCGAACAAAATGTGCCCATACGGCCAAAAATAGAGTCAAGGGGGCACGACTGTATCAGGATGAGAGAAATAAAGTTGAGAAACGCACCCAACTGGCTCTAATGGCGCTAAAAAACAAGATGGCGTCAAGAAGGGCACAGTATTAGCGTCTGGTAGTCCCTGATGGAGTCCAAAAAAGAGCAAGATGTGCACTTATACCTAGCTAAAATAGAATCAAGAGGGCTAGCCAAAATGAGAGAAATAAAGTCAAAAAACGCACCCAACTAGATCTAATAACGCAAAAAAATAAAATGGCGTTAAGAAAACCACAGCAGCGTCTAAAAGTCAAACAAAAGCATAGCAAAATGTCCCTATATAGCTAAACTAGAATCAAGAGGGCAAGTTTATGCCAGGATGAGAGAAATAGTCAAGAAACGCACAAAACTGGCTCTAATAGCGCCAAAAAAAACAAGATGGCGGCAAGAAGGGCAAAATAACGCCTTAAATCCCTGATGGAGACAAAATAGAGCAAGATGTGCCTATACAGCAAAAAGTTTGTGAAGAGATGAGAGAAATGGAGTTAATAAACGCACCCAACTGGCTCTAATAACGCCAAAAAAACAAGATGCCGTCAAGAGGAGTCTGGAGGTCCCTAATGGAGACCGAAAAGAAAGCAAGATGTGCATATACAGATAAAGTGTGTGCAAGTATGAGAGAAATAGGGTCAAAAAATGCACCTAACTGACTTTAAATAGTGCTAAAAAAAACAAGATGTCGCCAAGAAGGGCAAAATAGCGTCTGGAAGTCCCTGGTGAAAAAGATAGAGCAAGGTACCTATACAGCTAGCTAAATGCTTGTGCAGAGATAAGAGAAATGGATTCAGGAAACGCACCCAACTCGCTCTAATCGCGCAAAAAAACAAGATGGCGCCAAGAAAAGCATGGTAGCAGCGTCTGGTAGTTCCTGATGGAGACAAAAGAAAAGTAAGATCTCCCTAATACAGCTAAAATAGAATCAAGAAGGCAAGTTTGTGCCAGGATGAAAGAAATAAAGTAAATAAATGCATCCAACTGGTACCAATAACGCCAAAAAAATAAGATGTCGCCAAGAAGAACAGAATAGCATCTGGTAGTCCCTGAACGAGACCAAAAGAGAGCAAGATGTACAAATACAGCTAAAAGTTTGTGCCAGGAGGAGAGAAATAAAGTCAAGGAATGCATCCACTGGCTCTAACGCTAAAACAATTTCTCCATGGGGGTATTAAACTTATACCACCCACTTTTAAGGGAGGTTAAGACTGGAAAAAAGAATCTCTTGACGGCGGTAATGAAGGTGGATCAGAGGGAAGGTTCATTAATTATCGAATACAAATACGAGATAGTTAGCCACGTGCCAAACGTGCAACTTATCACCGAAATCTAATCGTTCACCAAAACCAAGACCAATTAAAGAATTCGAAAAGCAGATTACGTTAATAAGCAATAATTGTCAACGCTACCAGGAAATCACTTCCATGTTTCTATTAATTAGGATAGAAAAACACACGTGCCTGAATCGGTTATCTTTGATAAAGCAAAACATCGCCAATTCGTCTTTAAACAAAGAGGATCAAAATATTAGCATCTAGAAAAAATGGAATAAGCCCTATGATTTTAGAGTCAGGGTATGATTCTTTCAAAAATGGGAACGTCTCTGTACTAGTGAATAAAAGTCGATCGTTCAACGTCGCAATTTTTGTGACAAATGTCAGCGCACGCGCATCGTGATTGGACCAATGTTGACGTGCCATAACCTCAAAAGTAAATTAAATTTTAAATCGAAAGAATGTAAATAGGCAAAAGATGAATTTTTTAAATGATACAATCGTCATGCTCACGTCTCAGGTTCGATTTCTCCGATTTAAGGCTGTTCCATCACAAATGTTTGTTGTAGACGTTGTTCTTTATCGGTGCGTGGCTCTTCTTCGTCAAGCAACTCTTTAAAGACTACGAAGTGCGGCACCTTCTCGTTCAGACGATCTTCTCGATCACGCTCGCCCTATCGTGCACGATGTTCGAGCTGATCATCTTTGAGATACTCGGCTGTTTAGATTCGAGGTACGTACACTCGGCCGGGGCTTTCCCCGATCTAACCTCTTGTTTCAAGCTCGCGGTACTTCTATTGGAATTTAACATTGTACCTGTTAGTCGTGATGGTGGTCGTCTTCAACCCGTTTTACATATTCTTCTGTAGCATTAGGAATATTCCGTTCGGTAAGTGACACCTTTCGCCGGCGCGTTCAGGTACGAGCTTTTTTTTCAGTTAAGCCAGAATTCGTGAAGCATTTAACCATTTTCGTTTGGTTCATTTTTTTGATAATCTTTTGGAAAATCGGCGAGCCGTTCCCGATTACGAACCCGAAGCAGGGAATACTCTCGATGGAGCATTTAGTGTCGCGGATCGGCGTCATAGGAGTTACCGTGATGGCAATCCTGTCGGGTTTCGGTGCGGTCAATTATCCGTACACGTCCATGGCCTACTTTATGAGGTGTGTTTGCTTGTTGATGTTCATTTTTTAAAGGTTTCGGGTAGGGTTCAAGTGGGCTACTTGTGTGAAGTTAGCAGTATTGTATGAGGAGGAGTGAGCAAAAATATGCATAATCTTAGAGAAGGAGCAATGAGGGTCTAAAAGATGTCTGTTCTTTCCATAGCCTCCTAGGCTCTCTCCAGTGTTATATCTCTATATATAAGGAATTGTTACCTTCCACACAGAGCCTTTTAGGGCCCGCTGGGAAGAGTCTAAGAAGCTGTGAGAAGAACGTAGGCAGTTCTGGGAAAATGCGCATATAGTCTGGAAAGGCATTAGAAAGCACTGATACGATTCTGAGGGTTTCTAATACTTTATCATTTATGTTCGGCTAGTTCTGCTAGAACCTAGGAAGTATAGAATGCACTCGGTTTTTTAAACCAATTGCACGGTTTTTAATTCGCTATTATGTATGTAACAATGCAAGATCCGAGGGGTAAACCACTTCAAGGTCTGTGTACACTAAAATTCTCAAAGAAATTCTAAAAATGTTTTAAAAAATTCTACAAGTTCTAAAAAAAATCTAAATGATTCTAAGAAAATTCGAAGAAAATTTTTGAAACTTAAAGAAAAAGTTTAGAAATTTGAGGAAATTCAAACAAAGTTCTAAACAAATTCTAGAAAATTCTAAGAAAATTATACAAAATTAAAGAAAAGTTTAGAAATTTTAGAAAGTTGAAACAAAGTTCTAAAAAAATTCTAGAAAATTCTAAGACAATTCCAAAAAATTCAAGGAAAATTCTAGAAAAATTCTAAGAAAAAAAAGTTTTAAAAAAATTCTAAGAAAATTCTAGACAATTCAAAAAAATGAAATTTTGCCGCGGCTCCCCAAGGGCTTTTAAAGCTTCCGCACGCCTAAAACCGCCACCTATCAACGTAACATTTAAGCGTTAGTTTCATAAAAAGCTTGTAGAGACGTTTCGCCGGCCGACGTGACCAGCATCGAAAAGCGCCTAATGCAGACGATGGAGATGATCGTAATGAAAAAGAAACGTCTGGCCGTCGCGCGAAAGCAGACGATGGAGAGGATGTCGCGCGAGGGCGGCAAAGAGAGGAGTGGAATTTGGGGCATTCTGACGTCGGTGACCACGAACCGAAGCACCGAAAGTATTACGAGCTCGGTCGTGAAACTCGGCTAACGACCTGCTTGCAGACATCAACCAGCTGAAGCTCGAGATTTTGGGCCTGGAGGAGTTGAGCAGGCAGCTGTTTTTGGAGGCGCACGAGAACCACAACATGTTGGAGCGGATCGAGTGGTCCAAGACGTGGACGGGAAAGTACTTCAACTTCCTGGGCTACTTCTTCTCGATGTACTGCATGTGGAAAATTTTTATTGTACGTACCATCAGACGCGGAATTATAGTGTCTTTGTCGTTTTTTAGTGCACAATTAACATTGTATTTGATCGAGTCGGCAAGAAGGATCCGGTAACTAGGGGTATTGAGATCGCCGTTAATTGGATGGGGCTGGACTTTGATGTCGGGTTTTGGTCCCAACAAATTTCATTTTATTTAGTCGGTTGTATTGTTGTCACTTCAATACGAGGACTACTGTTGACGTTAACAAAGGTAAGATGCGCCTCCTCCCCTCCCACTCGCAACTGCACGATAACCAATTCTATTGCAGTTTTTTAATAAAATCTCCTCGAGTAAAAGCTCCAACATCATTGTATTGGTCCTCGCGCAAATAATGGGCATGTACTTTGTGTCGTCCGTGCTTCTGCTGCGAATGAATATGCCCGCCGAGTACCGGATAATTATAACGCAAGTATTAGGTGATCTACAATTTAACTTCTATCACCGTTGGTTCGATGTGATATTTCTTGTAAGCGCGGTCAGTAGCATTATTACGCTTTACATTGCACATAAAACGCCTATACACGACAATATGTAATTAATTTAAGTTAACGAATAGGTTAAGTGCCGTATTTGGGAGACTGTCGAACAGTGACATTTGATCTCAATTGAGAACTCGTGAGTAGGTACTTTGATCATTATATACATTTTATAATAAATCTATAAACAATACGAAGAGTGTGTTATTTAAAAATCTTAGCAGTGAAGTATCCAAGTTCCATCAGGTCCGTTGTACCAAGTTGAAGGTAGGGTGACATACAAGGGTAGTATGTATAGGTTTCTGTAATCTGGAGGGGACTTGAAGCAAATTTGGGAGGTGGAGGGAGCCAGGAATAAGATGCTCATAACGTGCTGAGTGAATCAGGTGAAGGGGAGGAGCAATAAGCTTGAAGTAGAGGCGTATAGGAATTATTATAAAGAGGAAGGTAAGACGGGGTGAGAGAGACGAAAAGGAACGACGACAAAAACTTGAAATGGAAATAACGCGTTTGTGTTATAAATGTTTGTATAAAGGAGGACGCCAAGGGTAAAGGGAAGTTACAAGATGCCAAAGCGGGACGTAAAGAAGTGAAGGAAGGGTTAAGCAGCCATCATGTCCATGGCAGGGGAGAAGGGAATGAAGAGCAATCCCGGGAAAAACTTGGTGTAGAGAAGGCGGAAATGAAACGTAGGCAAAGGAAGAGGGGAGAAAGGAGTAAATAAGGGGACGTGTAAAATGAGAGCGAAGAAGGCTTGGCCATGAATTATATGAGTGACTAGTATGAATTAGGGGGGAGGTATGCAGAAGAAGAGCGAGAAATGTATAGAATGGGGTCATCCCGCCTTCATTTTTTATTTCTGATCCACAAAGTACATTAAAAATAAAAAAACCCGTGTGTGATAATCCACCTTGATGGTTAGGCAACACACATTTACATCTGAAACAAAAATATAATATGCTCTGTATATAACCAACGACCGTTTTGCGCAGATGCCGAATACTAGGGGATTTTCGTAACGAAGCTAGGAGAATGGAGGGAAGATGGCGACGAGGCCGACAGAAGACACACGCTTTCCCGGTTTTTTTTTATTATTCTTGATTATTTTTGGTGGTGGTGTTTTGAAGATGTATTTACAGGTAGTAACCATTTTATTCTTTCTTGTACTAGATATTTAATCATTGAATTTCTTGCCACAATTTGATATTATTTACATTTTGCATAAACTACGATATCTGAATCATATGGCGTACTCCATGCCTTTGTTTTGAGTACCGTTAGATGAATCATGTTTGTGTCATATTGTACAGATGATTATGCCATTATTTTGTTTAATTAAGTATTTATTTCTGTTATTCATGAGGAGTTGATTATCGGTGTGATGTTGTTCTGTTCGATTGACCCGTAACTATTCCGTGAGGGAAGTACCTAATACAGTTTGATGGTTCGCTGTATCTGTTACTTTCTTATTCGTGGCGCATTAGCTATACGACGGGGGGTTCTTTTATTTGATGTTTTGATGTTTGTGTGTGCGAGTGGGTCATTCTGTCTCCGTGGAGTAAGTACCTAATGCAGTTAGATTTTTCGCTGTATCTGTTGCCTACTCGTCTCGTGCGGATTGTAGTTCTTAACATCTTAGCAATACGAGTGGGGGCCCTCTCATTTACATTTCCTCTATTTAAAATATGTTCTGCTTGAGCGATAATTGATTTTCACATTAATACTTGCTATTGACCAATGGCATTCTCACATGTACTTTTCGTGTTAAATTAAATTATGTTAACGGAAGGCTGCGAGTAGAGCCATACCATTTACATGTTTCCTATGTACATGCAATTTGTTTATTTGACGAGTTGTGTTATCTCTACTGATCGTACAGGTATTTTGATGTGTTTTTGTACTGAATTGATTTATCATGTTTTCCACTGCATTTATGATGTCTTGTGTATTTTGTTTTTTTGTTTAATTGCATTTGATTTGATTATCTGATTTTTATCATACAATTTGAGATGTTTTATTTATGTGTATTTTCTCTTGCATTTTATTGCTGTAGGTGATTTATTTCATGTATTTGTGTGGCCTGTGCCAGGGTTTTAGTCCCGGACAGTTCCCTGGCATGGTCTTGTGTGTGCGTTAATATATTTATTTGATCTTGTCATTTCTTACGCACAAAAGTTCTGTCTTTTATTTAATTCCCTTCCCGATTATGTCTCACGTCCCAACACATAAAAGAACCGATTATACAACGTAGGAGTCCATTCGTGCCACCCATATCGAGCCGACTGTCATCCAAATTCAAAAGTGCCGCGAGACTACCATCGTTTCGACTTGAAAGGTAGGTGGCTCTGCTTGTAGTTTTTGCCAGAGTTGCCAACCGTAAGTATAGGGTAAGTCAACGTCTTCCGTGTCGGCTTGATAGACCCCCCTAGGAACATTACACGTGTGTCCTCAATTTTTATTTGCGAGTAAAATAAACCCAAAATAAATTATTGAAAAGCTGTGTTTTTAGTCCGAATTTGAAACGCTTCAGACTAAAAACGTCACAAACCTACAACCAATCACGTAGAAGTGAGCTGGCAACCTTACGCGAGGGTCTGACGTTTGTCACATTTGACGTTTTGAGAGGGATGTTTAACTGCATCTAGCACGAAAGTGACAAAGTGCCTGTGACAGATGACGCAAGTTATAAATGCCATTCTCCTGCAATATTGCCAAGTCGTTATGCCATCTGAATGGTTCTAGGTCCTAGGAGCTGATTGGTCGGGCTTATTACGTCACAGAGCCCGCCACAATCATATCGTTTTGAATAAACCTTTAAAACCGCACATGTTCATTATTTTTTTGCTAATCAGCCTCTATTTTTTAATAAACTTTTACTGTCCAAAAAAATGTTTTATGGTTTCAGGTACACGCTTATTAAATTAGAACTGCGGAATTCAACTATACTGTAAACCCCCATTGTGGGAAATGATAGAAATATTAAGAAGACGCGGTGTAGGTATACGCGAAGAAACCATGATAGTACGTTGAAAACAGTCGTTCAGTTGGGGTGGGGGGGTTGCAGAGGAAGTGTGAGAAGGATCCGTAGCAGGCTTGAAGGTGGGCCTAGGAAGACCTCTGAAACATAGTGTGGTGAAATGCGTCTTTTCCTCGACGTTTTTTTAACATATTGATAGGTACTGTAGCGTATTTTCTAGAACGATATTAAAGCGCCATCAACTCGATAAAGGATTAGCCACCGGCGATAAGGAATAAAAACGGATGTGACTCATTCTTTTTGTGAAATATGTAGCGCCTTCTAGATATATTCAGAAAGTTCGCGATATAAGCCAATTGAATTGCGTTCAATTATGTTTACTCGTAGTCTTAAAATCGATATCGAAGTGATAATTAATGAAATACGCGCTCGTGTTATAAATGTGTCTGTAAGTATAGGTACATGATAATTTTTGAATTGTTATAAATCAATCTAGGTACTATTCGTCATTAATTAATTTAACATAAATAAATCGCGTAATTAAATGTACCCAGGTATACGAGATTAAACTGCTCTATTTGGGATGTGGTGCATGTAATGCACCAAGATCGTTGGCAAAAAGACCAAATGTAATTTTTACCAACTGCACGTCAGTAAGAGCAAAGAGTAGTAAGAGAGATATTGCATTGGGGTAAAAATTAACTCCCCATTTTTTTGACCTAAATACACGTTTTGAAGCGCCAGGATTCCGAATCAAACAAAATCTCGATGATCTCGGTCGGTGTACTCTGCGGCTAAACGGGGCTAAACCGATTGGAACCAAATGTGGTAGGTACACATACCTTAGGTACTTATTGTTAGACATAAAAGAACAGAGAAGTAGTGGTCATTATCAGGAACTCACAAGAGGCGTGAAAGGGGACGTACAGAACAAGTGAAGGAGGCCTGTTAAGCACCCATCATAATGACGATAGCAAATGTGAAGGAGGACGAGGAAAGGTTGACGCAGAGAAGGAGGGAATGAAACGTAAGAAAAGAACACACGTGAAAGGAGACAATAGGGGGGTGTAAAAGGAGCGCGAAAGGGTTGCGAAAGAGCTGTCCGATAAAGGCGTCGGTGAAACTGTTTTTTATAACGTGTATATTTCTTCAAATTTCATCAGAAAAAAGATATAGGTACCTAAACGAAATTGGCAAATTTCGGTTTTTTTATCTTCGGAAGTAATCGGAATTTTTTGGTTTCTTCAAAGCACGATAATTACTCTTTAATTGCGCATATTTTCCCTAATTTAACCATCGTCGCATATGGTTTCGGAAATCCCCATGATAGACACATCTTTATCTTGGATATTGTGTTTTTGTTAATCTATGAAGCATAAATTCATGCACCATCAACTGATTTTTTTTGGGAATAGAAAACCCTTAAAATAAAAAGAGGATCCACAAGGATCTATTTTTGGTCCTCTTTTCTACAATCATGGGTCGGATTTTGGTGGCCGCCATATTGTACTAATATACTCTATGGTAGGAAGCACACAGTGTTAATAAAAATGCGGGAAATTAAATAAGCAGTTTTGTTACTGGGATGGTAAATTAAATACGGTTGTATCGACGTTCCTCAAAGGCCAAAGAAGACATGGCCGAAGCGATTCTCCAAAAAATTGGAAATAATTTGAAAATGGGCGAGAGGAAGTGTCGGCGTCCATTTTGTCTGATTGTGCGCGTGCAAACAGTCGAAAGGTTGCAGAAAAAACGGCCATTTTCTTTCGCGTCGACACATTTCGAAGCTTGGCAGCATTTGTAGTCAGCCCTGTTTTTCCTGAAAACCAAATGTTTCCCTAAACGTTAATCAAATTTGAAAAAGGTAAAAATCTGAACGTATTCTTAGTGGATTTTCTCAATGCATTTTTCGATTTTCTAACCTACAAGTACGCAATTGTAATTTTCCGACACAAGTTTGGAGGTCGCGTTCAATTTATTTCGCCAATTTTGTATTTGATTTAGGGCCTTTTATTGTCCCAATAAATTTTGGTACTTGTTTTTGTAACCGTAACCTCAAATTGTCAGCTGGTGTCGCTGGAATGGTATCTCGAGCCCCAATTTTGTTCGCTAAACTCGAATTTTCTTGTAGGATGTCGCCGAGTGCTGCGGTCAAAGAGAACCCCCACTGTCTAATTTGCAATGCGCGAGTCGGGGTGTCCACGAGGACTTCCATGCAAATTTTCAGCAAGGAGGTCTCCGCTTACGGTTTGTGAATCGATCCAGCGACTCACGGTCTTAATTTCCAGAGCCAGACGACGAACGAAAAGCCCATCAGTCAAGTGATCGCTCAAGTGCTCGAGGAGAACATCACCGAGGACTCGGTGCACTCGCTTCTCCTCTGCAAAAAGTGTTTCAAACTGTTTGACGAGCTGGAGGAGCTCGAGCAGCGAATCGACGAGATTAAAGACGAGGTAATTGCCAATTATAAGCGGTCAATGAACATCATCAAGAACGGCGAGAACGACGAAGAACCCAAGAAGACCTTCCTAGACATACCGTCGTCGGATGACGATCACGACACCCTCCCAGACAAGGAGCCCTTCCCGATAACCGACATTGAAATGCAGCTCGTCAAACTGCACGGCGCCAACAAGGAGAGCGCGAAGGGAGGCGCCGACGCCTTCCAAACCTTTGACGCCGACATAATCGACGCCGGTGCGATCGAGCATTCGTCCGACTCGGACTACGAACCTCCGGGGGGCGACAACACGGAGGCGCTGCTTCAGGCGGCCGCCCTCGCCGAGAAGAGCCTAGGTGAGTCGGCGATCCACTAACGAAACGCGTTAAATCGACTTTGTAGAGGTGTGCATTAAGTCGGAGCCCGGTCTCGAGATGTCGGAAAAACCGAACATTCTGAAGCGGAAGGAGGTGCCGGTGGAGGGCAAGAAGGGGCCGGTGGCGAATAAGAAGTTCAAAGACGAAATTACAACGCCTGTAAGTGGTGCATTGAGAAAAAGTTTTAAATGTTAAGGCGGAATCTTGCGAATTTTGGTGTTGGTAGGCAACACATCGAGCAGACTTACCAGTTGTGAAGATAGGCAATCCATTAAGCATGCTTGATTAATTGAGTCGAAACGTTTACTAGAGATTTAAGGGTATTTTAGAGACTTTGACAGCTTGGTTTTAGTCCTGTCAAGGCCTCGAGGGTTTTTAAAAGGGAGAAATGATCCATAAAGTAACTAATATCAATACCAACACGATGTAAATATGGTTGGCTTTCCTCGGAGAAGAAAATTAGAGTGTGTGAATTGAGGTAGATGAGGAAAGGGGGAGCGGGACTGGGGCAAGGTCAAAGTTGGTGATTGTAACCAGGAACCACAACTACATCTTATAACTCCAGTTTGTTGATATTTATGATGAATGTCTCCGAATATCAACAAAATTCAAGATGGCTACTTTTGAGGAACATTTACCAACTTCCTAAAATTAAATAGGCGCCATATTGGATTTTTAGATTATTTGATAGATTTTTAGTTCTCTTTTCAACGAGCTATCATAGCATAAGATTGAAAATAAGATACCAGTTATATCAACGGTTTTTATAGTGACGTCATAAAAGTCAAAATTTTTCTAGGCCTACTTATATAAAATTTGGGAGGGAGTTGTATCGCCCAAACCCTCTCCCATGAGTGCGACGGTGATATTTTAAACATCGGATGTAATTATTTTCATTGTTTTGTTGGCTCGAATAGATTTTGTTTTGTTTTTTTTAATTCATCACAGCCTACTTGATTAAAATATAAAAACCGTTGATATAACTGGTATCTTATTTTCAATCTTATGCTATGATAGCTCGTTGAAAAGAGAATTAAAAAATATATCAAGTAATCTAAAATTCCAATATGGCGCCTATTTAACTTTAAGAAGTTGGTAAATGTTCCTCAAAGGTAGCCATCTTGAATTTTTTTTAACATCAATTCTAAATTAGGCGTATCAAAAACAGTATCTTTTATATAAAACTTTTTTAAGACATTGAAGGAAATGACCAATTTTAGTTTTTTTGAATTTACGTCGAATCTATGCGACAATTTGAAAACATTGCCTGTTTAACCAATTCTCTATCTTTAATAATAAGAAAGTTGAGGTATAAGGGAATATATCCGACCATGATAAGAGGTCGAGGAGGAGGGCTATGGTTGGTAGAAATTAATTCCTTTCATTGAGACCTTTCATTAGAGTATCATGAAGGGTAAAACTAGTTCCACTCCCCCCCCCCCCCCCCCCCCCCCCCCCCCCCCCCACCTGGTACTTTGATAAGAGGGCAGTAAGAAGGGCAGTAGTTGGTAGAAACGGTTCCTTTCGTTGAGACCTTTAATTAGAATTCAATGAGAGATAAAATTAATTTTTCCCCCCCCCCCCCTCCTCAGGTCCCGTCGCTCACTGATCTCAAAACAGAGTCGCACGGGAAAGTTGTGGTTTGTACAAATCAATTTATTTCGATGAGACCTTCCCAAAAAAAGTATCATAAAGCGTGGTGTAGTATGAGTGATTTTGAGAATGAACTTGAAAACTACGAAAGTCGGGTCTGAGGGTATGAAATCCCCCCTCCCAGCATATACGAAAATCCGATTACCCTTTCGCAAAGACTAACAGGAGAGTGCTAGCGACGAGATAAAAGAACTATCGAGCTCTCCTTTACCGAGTACTTACTTCTGGGGACCCTCTGTAAAGGAGGGGCTCGATAGTTTTTTTTATTACCTCACTTCTCACTCTCCTGTTGGTCGGGACAGTCGAATATTATACCGGGCACTCTCAGGGGTATGGAATACCATAGTGGGGGGGGGGGGCTCGGGGGGGATTTGGAATACTCCCCAGCAATAAATATCCTTGGCAAGTGGCGTGTTAGTTCTTATTTCACTCTTACTACTCTTTTGTTAGTCTTTGAGAAAGGGAAATAGAATTTTGGTATATGTTTACCCCGGGCGGGTTTAGAATACCCCTCCGCAAAGGGCTTGATAGTTCTTTCTATTTTCGCCCCCTAGCACTCCCCTATTAGTCTTTGCGAAATTGTGATCGAATTTTTGTATATATCAGGTGGTATTCCAGACCCCCCTGTATTAAGTTCATTCTCAAAATCGCCCATACTACTAGGACAGTCGAACATAGTACTAGGGGTCTGGCCTCAGCATTTAGTACCCTCTTTCTATCTCACCCTTAGTACTCTCCTGTTAGTCTTTTATGCTGGGGGGTATTCTCCAGACCCTATATACTAAAATTCTCAAAATCGCCTAGACCTCACCACTCTCATGATGGTTTTTTTTTACAGGACAGTCAAACATAGTACCTGAGGGTGAAGTAATTAAGTACCCCCAGTAAAGAAGGGCTCGATAGTTCTTTCTACCTCATCCCCTAGCACTCTCCTGTTCGTTTTTGCGAAAGGGTAATCGAATTTTCGTATTTATGCTATATAACCTAGATTCTCGGTATTATGAACTTTGCTCCGACTTCAACACTCTCATGATGGTTGTTTTGGAAAAGACAGGGGAACATAGTACGGGAGGGTCTGAGGGGTATGGAATACTCTCCAGCAGTAAGTACCCTTGGCAAAGGAGAACTCAGTAGTTCTTTCTATCCCACACCTAGAACTCTCGTGGTAGTCTTTGCGAAAGGAAAATCGAATTTTCATATATGCTGGGGGGATATTCCATCCCCCCCCCCCCCAAGTCCTCATACGCGGTTCTAAGATTCTCAATATCGCTCAGACTTCGACATTCTCAGGATAGGTTTTTGGAAAGGACAGTCGAACTCGGCTACGGGTGGTACGGATAACCCCCCCCCCCCCCAGAGGTAAGTACTCACGGCAAAGGAAGTCTTGATAGTTTTTTCTATCACTCCCACCACTCTCCTGTTAGTCTTTGCGAACGGGTAGATGCTGTGGGTGGGGTATACCTTACTCTGGACGGTTTGAAATGCCCCCCCCCCCAGCATTAAGTGCCCTTGGTAAAGGCATTTCTGTATATTCATACCCCCAACACCCCCGGGTACTAAATTCATTCTTAAAATCGCTTCATTACTGTCATGATAGTTTTTTTCAGAAAGAACAGTCGAACGCGGGGGGGGGGATATGGAATATCAAAATTGCGATGATGTCGGTCTGCCTGCCTGTACTCTCACTTCCGAATAAACGGCTGAACCGATTGCAACCAAATTTGGTGCACGTATTCTTAGACATAAAAAGAAGAGCTGAAAACATTTTGGGCAGAATCGCGCATGGCTGTTGGTCCGAATGCCGGAACATGATGTCGAAACGGGGACACTGTAACGGCTCAAAGCCCTTACATTTTCGATTTCCAGTAGTTGTGAAAATTCATATTGGTCTTGAGTTTAGGGTAATTTTCCACGCTTAGCAAGGAAACTCGAGGGACCGATTGCGTAAAGGGACGTCGCCCGCGATGGATGCTGTTTTTGCGAAATTTCTAGTGCGGAGTTTTCAATTTTTTTCCAGATTGTCAGTCGCGACGGCAACATATACACTTGCCTGCTGTGCGAAGGCGAAGAGACAGTCTGCGGCGAGGCGAAGGCGATCATTCTGCACGCACGTCAAGCGCACGAGGCGCGCCTCTACATCTGCGACGTTTGCGGCGACGACTTTCGCAAACGTAACGAACTCTCGATGCACCTCGACGAGCACGTCGCGACCGAGGAGGGCGACTTCCAGTGCGAGGTCTGCAACCGCATCTTCAGCAACTTGCGATTGTTCCGCATCCACAAGCGAATGCACTACCCGCAGAACAAGGCGTGGAAGTGCGAGACGTGCGGGAAGAAGTACAGCTCGCGGAATCTGCTCGACGAGCACATGAACGTTCATACCGGTGTGCGTCCGTACATTTGCGCGACGTGCGGCAAGGATTTCGCGTCGAAGTACACGTTTAAGGCGCACGAGAAGACTCACGAGGTCCGACCGAGGCCGTTTCAGTGTCAGCACTGCAACAAGTCGTTCTTGAGCCACCAGAATCTGGCGCAGCACGAGCGGACGCATTTGGGAATTAAGGAGTTCTCGTGTCGTCTCTGCTGTAAGTACTTGCAAGGTTAGGGCTCAGTAAACGCCCCCTGGTTTTCAGCGAAACAGTTCGGATCCGCGCACAACTTGGAAGTTCACTCAATCGTCCACACCGGCTACAAACCGTACATCTGCGGCCTGTGCGGTAAGGCGTTCGCGCGTAAGGCGGAGATACGCGACCACGAGCGAACGCACACCGGCGAACGACCCTATCAGTGCGAGTACTGCGGCGCCACCTTCAGTCAGCGTTCCAACCTGCAGTCGCACAAGCGCGCAACGCATTACGACGACAAGCGCTACAAGTGCGAGGTGTGCGGGAAGGGCTTCAAGCGTCGCCGCCTCCTCGACTACCACATCAAGGCCGCGCATACCGGCGAAAGACCGTTCAAGTGCCAGGTGTGCGAGGCGACCTTCGTCTATCCGGAGCACTTCAAGAAGCACAGGCGAATCCACACCGGCGAGAAGCCGTTCCGATGCGAGGTCTGCGGGAAGGCGTTCAACAGTCGCGACAATCGAAACGCGCACCGATTCGTCCATTCCGACAAGAAGCCGTACGAGTGCCTGGTGTGCGGTGCCGGCTTCATGCGCAAGCCCCTGCTCTACCAGCACATGCAGGCGCAGGGACATCTGAACGATACGATTGTCGTGAATCAGCCGCGTTTGACGACGGACGACGACCAAATTATTACGGTAAGTCGCACCGGAACCGGAACCGACTCATTGTGTTTTTCGCAGGTGAACGCGGGCGGCGAAATGGAAATAGTCGAGAACGAGGGCGTCGCGAGTCTGGAAACGATAGAGGTGGCCGACGAGGACGCGAACGAGGACTCGAAGCTGTACATCGCCGAGCACATGCTCGTCGAGGGAGGGGAGATGTTCGAGGATACGAAGGCGTTTGTCAACCTGGATGGCGAAACGGAAGGAATCGAGCACATCATCATCGAGGGACAACAAATTCAGTTCGCCGAGGAGGGCGAGGCCGAGGAGATCGACGAGGAGCAAAACGAGGAAGGGACCGAGCTGGTGACCGCCGCCGAGGACATCGAGGAGATGATCGCGAACGGCAGCATCCTCAACGGAAAAACGCAGGTAATCGACACGCCCGACGGCCCCATTCACTACGTCCACGTGAGAATCCCCAAGGAGAACGGCGAAGATGAGGAGGCGTGGTTGAAGATAGTTCGCGAGTAAAAAGTTTGTAAATAACGATTAAGGTTGTAATGTATATAGAAGAAAGTGTATATCCTTCCTTATGCTGTATTTATGTGCCTAATGTAACGAAACTATTAGCTGAAGTCGATACAAAAAAACCGTTGATAGTTATTTAATGCGCAGCTCCACTGTTTCGATTTGCATGGATTCGTATTAAATTGAATAATAGAATGTTTCATTATTTCTTGGTCCTTCTAACCCGATATTAACAATATACCTGTTAAAGATGACGGATGGAGAACAATATATATACAAACGCGCCTGGAAAAAAAGGTGGGCTGAGACCTGGGCGTTCCCGGAACTCCTGTTCTAGCAAACTGCTTGATAATAATAATAATGTTTATTTGCTCAACAGAAAGGCGTAACCTTACCAATTTCAGAGCAAAAACAACATTTTACAACCTGCCAGAGTACAATAGAGTTAAAAATAAATAAAAAATATGTCTAGTAATGTTGGTAACCGTACTTAAACTACCGAAACCAATAACAAAAAAAATCAAACAAACAAAAAAAAGAAAAAAAAAATTATCTATCGGCCCTCTTGAATAATTACTAACTGAGTAATAAAACCAGAATGATATTTTTAAATCATTTTTTTTATCTTGTTGATAATTTTAATTCCATTCCGCCCTTTAAAATTATCTGAGATAATTGTAAATGGTATTTCAGTCATTTAATATTATCCGAGATAAAATTAAATGGCGCCGTGCGCTGCCTTTCTCTCTTTTTCCATATAAAACAGCGTATTTCCATCTCCCTATGACTTGGAAAGGTAGCCATTTAAAATTAGCTAAGATAATTATCTTTATGATAAAAATAATTATTTTATTTTATCAAGTATGAACTATTTTTGTCAACAAGATAATAAAAATTTTTTATTTTGTCTATTTAAAATTATCTTAATGATAAAGTTGAAACAAACTATTTAAATTTATCTTGTGTGATAAGTATAAATAGAAAAGGATGAAAATTATCTACAAGATAAAAAGCAATCATTTTCATTATCTTGTTGATAAAAATAATTTATATTTGATAAAATAAAATAATTATTTTTATCATAGTTATTATAGACTAGAAACCAATTTCGAAAAAAATTCAAAGGGCTGTAACTTTTGAACTAGTAGCCCAATCTTGGAACTGTTTGAAATTATGGATTCTACAGGACACATTCTATAAGAAATTTTTTTTCCGGGTCGATCTGAGACAATTTTTTTTTCGGGGCTCAAAAAAAGGCAGTGTATAACCTTCCTTTTTTACCAAAAATCGACTACACCAAAATTTCTCGGGAAAACACTTTTTCTTATTAATTTTGGTGCGTAGAATCCAAAACAATTCGTACTTTTTCGATCAGACTTCTCAATCAAAAGTTATAGACTAGAAACCAATTTCGAAAGAAAATTCAAAGGGCTGTAACTTTTGAACTAGTAGCCCAATCTTGGAATTGTTTGAAATTATGGATTCTACAGGCCACATTCTATAAGAAAATTTTTTTTCGGGTCGATCCGAGACAATTTTTTCTTCGGGGCTCAAAAAAAGGCCAGTGTATAACCTTCTTTTTTTACCAAAAATCGACTATACCAAAATTTCTCGGGAAAACATTTTTTCTTATTAATTTGGGTGCGTAGAATTTTTGAGAAGGGGTTAGAAAGAAAGGTGGGAACTGGTAAAAAACAGTTATTTTTTTCTCTTTTAATTAGAATACCACGGAAGATGGCGGTGGCGAAACGGAGTCGCGCAGGAAGTTTATAATTTGTAGAAACCAATTCATTGCGTCGACACCTTTCATTAGAATACCATGAAGGATAGAACGTGTATTTACCTCCTCACCCTCCGCCATTTTCAAAATTTTGACATGACATCACTATAGATGCATGTACATACAGAATTTGAGATAAATTAGTGGTCCCACATTTCTTTTAATTCTTAAAAAATGCGCTAAAAATGTTATTATTTTTAAAAATCACTAATTAGAATATCTCCTAAACTATACATGTTGGGGGCCAAATAAAATATCAAATTGAAGGTACTTTTATACACTACAGTTTTTAATAATAGATAATTTTACCTAAGTATTACCGTTGGCGAGTTATTTAAAAAAACCGAAAAAAGTCAGAAGTTTTTGCAGATTTTTGACCACAGAAATTTCTCCCGACTTCAGTCGCATTGGCAAACTTGGATTTTTCTCTCTTTACCATTTAAACAAGTTTGAAAAATTTTCTACCGGACCTTTTGTAACCATTTAGCATTTTTACGTCTAATTTGACTGGATCATTTGAAATTATTTCTTAAAAAATGGTGCCCTAAATTTGATTGGTCATAATTAATATGTAATGTGTACACCCCTATAAATTTGCAGAATACTTTGAAAAGTGGAGTGACCAATCAGCGCCATCTCTTCCACAAATTTTAATATTACAAAGCAATATATTTACAAAATTAGTAAGAAACAGGCAGACGGACGGACGGATAAAAAAAATGTATTAATTGGAAACTTCGAAATTAAACTTAAAACTATTATCAGTCGGCATTAATCTAAACTCTTCGTGCGGCGTACCCTGTGGGTGTTCTTCATCGCGACTTGCCTCAGGTGTCTCCCCCCCAATATCAAAATTGAATTTAAAACCGCACGCTTTCCGTACGAATGTTGATTTAGTGCTCGGTTTCCGCACCGTGAGCTTCATGTTTTGGGCCACTAAAATATGAATTAGTACTGCTACGGTGCAAGTCGGAGGCGGTACCTTTACTGACCCGCTTCTCTTCCTCGCCCATTTTCTTTCGGTAGTCTCCAAACGACAGTCTCATGACCTGGCGCTTTTTTATTAAGGGGGCGGTGCGACTCATCAAAGTGTTGAGGCTTTTGGTGTGGTCTTGAACTGTAAGCCGGTGATTAGGGTGAGTTGGTGTCGTTAGCGACTTACTTTGCTTGGCGTTTAGTTTGCCGAGGCGCAGGGCTGTTTTCAGCTGATTGATGCACCAGCACAGCTCCACCTCGAAGGATTCGACTGCCTCCTCCGATAATTGTGGGGGCGCCTCTGCGGGTTTAGTTATGCTTTTGTTCACCATTTTAGCAAATTGAGGTTAGGTGATATGAACTACTGGATGAGACATTTGACCTACAGTAGGTGATCTGCTAAAGTCAGTTCAAGGTTTCAGCTCCAATTTTCCGGTAATCCCCTGACCTTTTGCCCCTAGCTGTTTTTTCAGATTCCGATAAGATGGGCTTCTCTTGCAGCAAGCAGTCAAAGGTCGCACTTCTGAAAGATGAGGCCTCTTAACTCGCTTTTCTTTGCAGCGTGCTGCTATATTTATACAATGTGCGAATGTACGGAGGATGTCCCGATTATGGATATAACGACACCAAGAAACGCCTCACTTAGCGGATTTTACAAGCGGTAAGCCATCGCCTCGTAGTCACCAACTGCTACGAAATTTCTAGGAGCTTCGCGTACTTCACAATTAAAGAACGTCTACCGCGAATACTAACACAATCCATCGACATTCTCGTGCGTAACAAAGAAGAGATCGGGAAGGAGTACGGGGAGGTGAGTAGAGCCTGTGGCTCGGCTCGATACAATTAGAACAAATTGCAGAACGCGAAGGAGGAGCTGAAGACCGTAATCGGCGAGATATCGAAGCTGAAGTACGAAATTCAAACCAACAAACCGATGCAGGAGATCAGATCTGACGCGCCCGACGCTAAGCTCTACAACGAATTCGTGCTGCAGCAGCCGAACAAGACGTACTTTACGGCGGTCTGGTTGCACGCCGAATGCTACATGTACAGGCGAATTCGCGAGATTTTCGAACAGACGTAAGATATCCCAGCGTTTACACTGTTCAGGCAGTGAATTTTGTAGGCAATCCTTGCAGTCGTACGACCTCTTTCAAATACAAAAGCGGTCTTCTTTCGAAGCAAATTTGGCAGCTGTGTTGCAGCTAAGCAAGTATTTGGTGCTCAAGCTTGCCGATGGTCAGGATGTCAAGTCGGAGTTTATTAAGCTTCTTAAAGTGAGTTTAAGTCACTTTTTATGGGCAAAAGGCACTCGCCAAAATCGCTTCTAACGCTTGATAGGCAACACACAGTGCAAAACAACGCAAAAACTGAAAAAATGATTCTATTGGCGAGTCAGATTAACAGTGCGACCTCTGGTGGCAGCACATTGTAATTACTGTTGGTGGGATAAGACCGCCATTTTGTTTATTGACAACGGCCAAACGTAATCAATATTGTGATCAGTGCAATTATGCAACCCACAATAAGTATATAAGTTATCGTCTAACGCGTAACATTTCCAGAGCCTTTAATTGTGAACAGCGCAATTACACAACAAAAAATAGGAGATATATATGTCATTCTATCACTGCTACCAGTATAATTACGTTACAATTAACCTTTCGCTGAAGGTGTTCCTAATTAACACACACAACTTTCCCTAACATTTAATTTGTGAACAGTGTAATTGCGCTGCTCACAAAACTTAAGCGGCATATTCACATTGAACGATGTAACGTGCATTATTAGCATTGTATATGTAACACAATGCTATTAGGAATGCCACAAATAGTAAGAATAATTTAAATCATCGCCTATTGTTTAAATTGTGGTCAGTGAAATTGTGTCATGAATAGTAAGGCTGTTTTAAAGCAAGCTATTACGGATTATCTGTCAAGTCTCAAAAGCTCACTTTCAAATTAGTACAAATGTTTACAAACCACTCCCACCAATACGCGCCATTTGTAAATGACATCAGCGCCTCTAGTGGAGATATAGTAATCAGCCGTCTAGGGCCGAGAGGGCGCCAGTGTAGATTAAATGATACTTTTCAGTTGAACCTGTGGGGCAATCAATGCGACCTGTCGTTCTCGAGCGGTATTGTCGAAGACTGCAGCGATTGGTTTCAAATTCTCGACAGTTTGCAACCGAACATCGTCAGCGACCAATCCGAGGACGTTTGGAGCGCCGTTTCGGACACGAACGGGTCGCAAATAATCGGTAAGTTTCCCGCCCGAAATTTCCCCCGTCAGCAATTTGTAACATTTCAGATATCGTGCTGGACAATTCCGGTTACGAGCTCTTCACCGATCTGTGTCTGGCGGACTTTTTAATTACGCACAAGTTCGCGCGGTCGATTCGAATTTACGTGAAAAACATGTCGTGGTTCGTCTCCGACGTGATGAAGCGCGATTTCGATTGGACCCTACGGCAGCTGCTCGCTAGCGACGACAAAGATATGAAGTATCTGGGAGAACGTTGGACCAAGTACCTCGTTGACAAAGTATGGGTGATTATCGAAGACGATTTCTTCACACTGCCTCACGATTACTCACTAATGGCGGCTACGGCACCAGCTCTCTACCGCCAGATGGCGCAGGCGAAGGTGGTCATTTTCAAAGGCGATTTGAATTACCGCAAGCTACTGGGGGAGAAGAATTGGGAGCCTTCAACTCCTTTCAATGTGGCGCTACAAGGATTTGGACCTTCCAAGGTTGTCAGTCTGCGGACCGTCAAGTGTCAGCTGATTTGCGGTTTGGAGCCTGGAGTAGCCGAAGCATTGTCTTCCAAAGATCCGGACTGGGAGTCGACCGGAAAATATGGAGTGATACAATATTGTGATGATATTAGGAAATTGGATTAACTTCGAGTTTTATTGACTAGCACCTGCTACATATCCTAATGAAATGCCATATTTTATTTATTGTTTGCTTAATAAAATTTCCTATTTTGTGTTGTTCACTCTAGTTTTTATTATTATCTGCGTCTGTGCGTTACTTTCCCGTGACGTTCTTAGCGACACGACGTATATAACGGCGCCATTCAATTGAGGGTGGATTTCTGGGAGATTTTTCAGAGGTCACAATAATAAAGGTAACGCAAGGTTGTTTATTTTTAAAAGGCTCTCAAAAGGGCCATGAAGAATAGGAAGACTACATCAAGTACCTACACGTTATTGCGATCTAAACATCGAAAATTATGACGGGACAGCCTGTATATGCGAATATTTCAATTTATTGAGTGTAAATGAGATTATTTACGTACCTATAAGCACAAGGTTGGTTTATTTTACTTGAATTTGTTATCACTGTGTCTATTTTTCCTTTTAGAATTGTTTGTAATTGCGTAAATATTTCATGTTTAAATTTTATCGCTTTTGTAAATTATTCAATTTAGATAAGGTAAGTGGTCACATTTGCAAAAGGTGACATCTGGTCGTTTGCAATAAGAATTTATCGGACGAAATTTAATTAACGCACGTGTTTTATCGCTGTTAAGAGATGCAGGCAGTTTACGATATGCGCGTTATTTCCGTGCAACACCGGAGAGGTCTGGGAGGTATGGAATACACCCGGTATATACAAACAATTGATTACCTTTTCGCTAACACCGTGAGAGTAGTAGGGGGTAATAGGGAAAAAATTTCGATCCATCCTTTACCGATGATACTTGCTGGAGGGTATTCCATACCTTGAAGAAAAACGTATTACCGGGGGGGCCTGATGGGGAATATTGACTCTCTTACTTTACTTGAATTTGTTATCTCTTTGTCCATTTCTTTATTTAGAATTGTTTATTGTAATTGCGTAATATTATGGAACATCCAATGTAGATAAGGTGTTAGAAGGAGGAACGGATTTAAAAGACAATGAAGAATCTGAAACAGAATCCGAAGAATTTGTAGATTTGGGTTAAGAATCACAGGAATTTGAAAATCGGAATAACGAAATAATTTGAAAAGTCCAGAGAAACGAGAAAAGACGATGGATGGAGAAAAAATCTAGGTCTCTGTGTAGAATTGAAAGTAGCGGCAATAACGGGCAGTAATAATATGATCTGACAACAACGCAAATTGCATATGATTTGACGTAATGACGTAAACATAACCTCAAAAATTTACACAAATACAAACATTTAATTAAGAGATTACAATTAAATAATAATGGAAGTAATGAATCAAAAGGAATATTTAAAGAAATATTTATCAGGAAATAAAGATAAGAAGAAGAAAAAGCGAAGAAAGGACTTTGTTTCCGACAGGTAAGTAGGGGGTTACCCTTCTACATTTGCCTCATCAAATTCGTACCTTGCAGGGTGAAAATTATAGACGATGATGTCGATTTGTCAAAGATTCTAACGGCCGATAACGACGACTTGTATGGACCGAACGAGGACGCGCCCCAAATCGTCGGTGTTATCGACGATCGACCGATGCACATGAGAATTGACGATTACACCAAGAGCAACATGTGGAGGCCGTTAGGAGCGGCCGAAGATCCGGAGGAAGACGGCAAATTGGAGAATTTAGTGACGAAAAGCGATCGGGAGATAGTATTGACCTTCTTCAAAAATGAAAGCAGAGGATTGAAGCGGCCGGCCAAAGCGAAGAAGGCTAAGGCAGAGGGCAGTCCGCCGCGGAAGGGGAAAGGAGAGAGCCGGTGGGATATGTCGAGTAGGGAGAAAGTTCTCGGCGATACGCCTCCGCGCGAAGACGACCCGGATATGAGCCCGCCGCGGAGAGCGGCAAGCACCGATATGAGCCCCCCTCGAAAAGCTAGGCGAAATTCTGACACCAGCCCACCCAGAAAATCTCGAGACATGAGCCCGCCACGTCGCCGGCGAAGGGTTTCGGACCATAGCCCGCCACGAAGATCGGGCAAACGGGACGGTCAGACTGGGTATGTAAATTATTAGAATTATTTCATTTTATCTTGATGTATAGATTTTTTTAAAAAATAAGTAGAAAGTGATGAAGATATGAAATAAGACGAATGAAAAGTGAGAGAGCAAATCAAAAAATGCCAAATACAAATTTCAAAAAATCCAAAAATTTTTTTAGATTTTCGATTTATTATGAGTAAAATGTGGAAAAATGGATTAAGAAATTTGTAGAAATAAAAGAAAGGTTGGACATTAAAAAAAATCAAAAATTGTTTGCCTGCATTAAAATTTTATTTTTTCAAAACCAAACATTCTCCTTTTTGCATTTCATTGAGTTTGAAAGTATTCTTACAGCAGCCCGAGACATAAACACCGTTCCGACCGTGAGAAGCGGCGGAGAGAACCGTCGCCGCCGCCGCCTCGTCGAAAGCTTCTCCCCGGCGACAAGAAGGGCAAGTACCTCATACCGGCGAAACGTATGGAGAAAACCCTCGACGGCAAAAAGGCGGGCCTCCAAAACGCCCAGGAACTCGTCAAGGAGAATCAGGAGTTCCGCACGCGCGAGGACGAGCTCTTCAAGCGGATGTCGGCGGAAACGACGGGCGCAAACGCCGCGACCGTCGTGCGCGACCGCAAGACCGGCAAAGTTCGCGATCTCGAAAAGGAGGCGCAGGAACGTTCGGAGAAGGAGAGGCAGGAGGAGGCGAACAAGGAGAAGTACATGCGGTGGGGGAAGGGCCTGAAACAGGTCGAGGACTACGAGAGCAAGCTGCAGGACGCCCTGCAGGAGATGAACAAACCGTTCGCGCGCTACGCCGACGACGAGGATCTCGAGCGGCACCTCAAGGAGCAGGAGCGCGAGGGCGATCCCATGCTGGACTACATTCGGAAGAAGAGGAGGAAAAACGATATCGACACCGGGAAACCTGTCAAGCTGCAGTTTGAGGGGGAGTTTATGCCGAATCGGTTCGGTATACGGCCCGGCCATCGGTGGGACGGCGTCAATCGATCGAATGGGTACGAGAAGAAGTGGATCGAAGTGCAAAATACACGCAACGCGATTCAGGAGGAAGTTTATAAATGGAGTACCGAGGATATGTAGTTGTTAATCATTTTCTCTTTTAAGTTTAAAGTAGGATAGGATTATTTCCAATGTTGTGTATTTAGATAATAAACTGTTTCAAACCAATATAGAAAATCCAAATGGCCAAAAATTAATCAATTAGTCCCTTGACCTATTACTGAAAACACAATTAGTAAATTCGAAACCGTTCGCGAGATATGCACACAGACAGACGGATGAGCAGAAAATTCAAAATCATGAACGAGCTGATTATCTCATTAGTAAACTTTCTGAATTCTGAGCTTTATGCGAGCACCCGAGAGAACCTTATTTACCTCCATTTTCCAATTTTTCTAGGCAGGTTTCAGGATTCACGTAGACCTGGAAGGCTGGAAGACACCTAGAAAGGACTTGCACTTCTGTGTGCCATTTTCAGAGCCTTTTAGGGCTAGATAACTTGACCTGAACACTGCAAGACCTATATAGAGCTCGGGAAAGGCACATGGGGTTTTAAAAAGCATTTCGTAGCTCTGGAAAAATCTTCCAATGGTCTGAAATGCTTTAGGCTTTTAAGTTTTTCTGTTACATTTGCAAATTTTTTGATATAGGAAATGTTACACGTGTACCACTTCATAATGAAAGAGAACAGAACTAACATTCGAAAAAATAAAACACGTTAAGATAAGAAACGAGTGTTCAAGCAGATAAGAGTCGAAACGTTACAGTGTTGCCGGTTCTCAAAACCGAGGGAGACATTTTTTGCTTTACCCTCGCCTGTATAAAGAACCACCCTTGGTTTGGGTTGAGTTAGTTCGTTTCGTATTTGGGATTCGGCGAGTACTTAAGTAAATATTGGATGGGAGAGCGACATTCAAAGAGAATAAAACCATTGCAAGCTCTTAAAGCCTGACAAACGTTTTTAAGTGCCTCAAAAGCTCCGCTCTCAAGAATTTCCATGACATGAAAACTCGGGGAAGAATTTTTGAGGACCCTCTGCCGTTTAAAAGCTTTTGAGTTGTAAATTTCAATAAGGCTCACGGAGACTCTTTAAATACTCATCAATACTCGTAAAGACTCAAGGCAACTCTCTCAAACAGATTTCATGCGTAGTATTAAAAAAAATCCCTTAAGAACCCCAAAAGCTCTCTAAACCTTTACAAAGAGAATTACTGTAACTCTTAAAAAGCCTTTGGAAACCCTACTTGTTGACTCTTACAGACAGACTAAATTCGTAAAGAGTACTTATAAGTTTCTTAGTTTTTTCAAACCTTTAAAAGCTGCCAAGGACTATACGCGCTCAAAAAGCTCTACAAGACCTTTGGAAGGTCTGGAAAACCTGAACTGAAAAGATCGTGTTTTAAATTGGAAAAATGTTGGGAATAAGACTAAGATCCTGGCAGAATGGAATAATCCTCAGGAAAGAAAGATTAGACTGTGTGTTCTCAAAAACTATCGTTTTTCACTAAGACTAATAGGGAAAGAAATATCGAGCCCTTCCCCGATGAGGGTATTTACTGCCGAATTTGCCACGTTCTATTTTTGAGACTCCCCTCGTACTACGCTCTCTTACAAAAAACAAAACAAGAGTGCTAAGGATAATGGAGAAGGAACTATCGCGCCCTCTTTCGACGAGGGTACTTACTGCGGTGGAGTATCCAGACCGCCCCCCCCCCCACCAGTCCATTTCAAGAATTAACGTTTAGCACTTTCACGTTAATTTTTGAGAAAAGACTGCTGAAAGGATTTGGATTTTTGCCCCTTTATGACCAGCCGCCATTGGCTTAAGCGTTGGGGGTCGTTTCGGTGAGTACATATGGGAGAGAAGAATTCTAGGCCGAGCCTTCGATTTACTTAGGTCGTGTGCGTTATTTTTAAATCGCATAGAATTTTATTTACAATTGAAGAGTCGAGACGCAGCCTTATAATCGAAGTATACGAAAGAAGTGCCGGCCGCGTATAATTGTATGTGATATTTTATTGCGAAAGTTGAAGTTAATTACTGAATTCCAAGGGGAAACTGTGCCGCCGTTTCGACAAACTTATTGTCGTGGGTGCTTTTTTTAATTCATTGTGAGCTTCCATGACGAGCAAAATCAATCATGAAATTGTTGGAAACCTTCCTCTTCATGCGTGGAGAAGGTGTGGGATGACTAATATTAATAACAATCCTTGGGTTTCTTATATTGAACGGTAACATGTCACTACGTCCGTTGAAAACATAGTAAAGGGCTTCGTCTCCAAAAATCGTTTGGATCACTTTTTCTGTACATACCTTCGAAGAGGACTGATTAATTTTCAGTGAAATAGTCCTTATGGTACTTAAGAAGGATACAAAAATGACACATGATGCAAACTTTGTAACTTTCATTGTCATGTTACTTCTATTAGGCACAACCCTCAAACTGAATCGTTAGGTGCTGAGTGTCGATTGAACATATACATACTTATTTGTTTAGTGAGTAAACATATACGCTAAGGTGTTTTCTCGTAGCACTTTACGACATAATCATTGCCTTTGATTACATTCTATTTGCTCAGTAAAGTGCTTTTTTTCATGAACGTAATGGACAGTGGCGGACTAAGGGGGGGGGGCGGCAGGGGCGGTCCGCCCCGAGCCCCGTCACTAGAGTAGGCCCCCGATGCGTTGCAACTGCAAAGAGAGAAAAAAAAGACCTAGTATTGGCTGGGGTGGCCGGAGGGGAGGCGAACGGCGGTCGGCGACGGCGTCGGGTCGGTATTCAGCAGAATAAAAGCGCGGAAACATAAATAACCCACCCTTGAAAATTACGATACGAACGCTGGGAACGTTTTTGGATTACGTAATTCTAGTGCGTCCTCGGGATAGGGATTAACCCTCCAGGAAAGAAGATTTCGACGACCCCCTATGAAAATCTTCATGAGAGTGTCTATTGTTCTAAACGTTTTGAACGGAAACGTAGCACCAGAAGGTTGAATAGAATTTTTTTTAAATTAAAAAAAATGTGATATTGTTTGCGTTTTGTCCGTCCGTCCGGACCCAGTTCCGCTGTTTTGAATTATTTTTAAGAGAATTGTTCTACAGTCCTGAAATAGTTTGCAATGGGGAGCCTATATCTTGAAGGTTGTCTAAAGCCCCCCCCCCCCATGAATTATTGGTTGTTTTAACTTCACCAATAAAAAATTGGGAGGTTATAGAAATCATTCATTTTAACGTATTTTCCTTAGAGTGAAAAATCGCTGTATGGTCGTCATTAGAGGGCACATTGGTACAGGATGAGTCAACGATTGCGCGCAGTAACTTAATGCCTTGAAGATAAGATTTTTCGATAGAGGGCTTTTGCATTACGGTATGGTTGAATATTCTCCACATTTTAAAAATATTTGGAATTATACAGGGTGCGCAAACAAAGTATGCACATTTTTTTTAAATAGAACCCTCTGTATTTGAATGCATTTTTGAATTCTACGTGTAACTGTACGTCATTTTTATTATATCCGAAAAGCTAGTAGTTTTAAAGATAATTCGATTTTTTAATAAAATTGGGCATTTGCAAGCGTCAGTATATATTGTCAAAATTATTACTTAAATTTGGATTCCAGGATTTTTCGAAATATCTTGGTTTTCCTGGGTTTTATATTCTAATCTTAAATAAGTTACCTATATGTAATTTACATAATAGTGGGTGGCCATGCAAAAAAGGTAATTTTTATCTGCCTCGTTCAAAGCTAAAATCATATTTATTGATTCATTTTTCTAATAATTCATTTAAGTCTATAAAAACTGGAGAATAAATGTAATAACAAACAAATATCTTGGTTTTTCTACTTTTTATATTTTATTCTGAACTAAAGTTCTAATTTACATAATAACGAGGTAAATATGAAAAAAAAATGAAACTAATATCACTGACTGGATGACATTAAGAGTTAAAATTTTCTTAAATCAAAAGTTGAAGGTTTTTGGAGGAGCTAAATGATGACAGAAAAATATACAGGGTGTTCCATTTAAAAAAAGTGAGATTTTTTAATATGAAGTTTTGCAACTTTGGACCTACCAAAAAAACACCCTGTAAGCTATATTTTTAATGTTTCATAGTAGATGTATTCATTTAACTTTGACTTAACCCAGGATAAAAGATATAAAACCTGGAATCAAAATTTAAGTAATAATTTTGACAATATATACAGACGTTTGCAAATGCCCAATTCGAATTATCTTTAAAACTGCTAGTTTTTCGGATAAAATAAAAAAGACGTACAATTACACGTGGAATTCAAAAATGCACTAAAATATAGTAGTCCAGGAAATAGAGACTGAAAATGAACCATTTCCTGCAAAACGAGAAGTAGATGTTTTAACCAAATTTTATACTTTATCTCCATAATTAAGAGTTTTATGAGAAAATATCTTGAACTTATCGCGGTATAAATCCCCCTACGCTGCACCCTTACCAAAGGGGATGCATAATAATTACTTTCAACCGTTGCTAGGGGGGATATTTGAATCACTGTGAGATTGTAGGGCTTTCTAATATACGTTTGAAACAAAAAAATTATCTCAGTTCAGCTTTATCCTTAAAATCCTTCATCCCCCCCCCCCCCAACAGCGGTAGGAATAGATATTTAAAGAGGAATAGAACACATATGTAATAAGCGTTGTACTCTGACTAACTTCACAAGCGCCACGAGAGCGTGGGGGGGGGGAGAATTGAACAATTTTTCAAAAGTATATTACAAAGTGCTAGGTACAATCAAGTATGAAATTTGGTTAAAACATCTACATAGAAATTTCAGAATTCTTCAAAATATAACCAACTCTCAAGCTCTATATCTTTTATAATAAACATTTCACAAAAAAAGTAGTGTATATCAAAGCTCTATAGAATTTTATGGTCTACAATTTCTGATAACAATATTTTTTCTAAAGTGAACCATTGAAAAGACATGATTGAAAAAACTAAGAAACCAACCAAATTTCAGGGGTTTTGAGGGTGGTATGGGGGAAGCACAAGGGGTGGGAGGTCGCAAACTTAGATTCTTAACTACCAGATGACTGTCTATGACATGCAAAAGAAACTACTTCTCATTTTGCAAGTTAAAACCCTCTATTCCCTGGACTATAGGGGGTTCTATTTAAAAAATGTACCATTTTCATAGCCGATTTTATCCTTCATGGTGTTCTAGTGAAAGACCTCAGCGAAAGGAATTTATTTATACCAACGATAGGCATTGGCTGGTTAGTATTCCTTATATCTCAAGAGCGGATTTTCGGAGGAGGGTACTTACTCACAAAGGTCGATTGGAACGTCGTCAAAACTATAAGACCGAATATATCGAAAAAGGTGTGTCGGAAGAAGGTACTCACAAAAGGCAAGTGGAACGTCTGGACAAGATCCACTGCTTGTAACAATTCGGCTTCACACTGTCCACGACGTCTCATCTGAGATCCCTTCACCCCATAAATTTTGACTATGCAAACATTTTGAGTGGCTTCTTTACTTTGTCTTTTCTCTCAGCAATAAATGATTCCCGTTACAATCCGAACACTTTACTAGAACCTGACATTCCTCACCTCTGTGACCCTTCCTTAAGCAATTGAAGCAGACTGGTTCTTGGGAAGGGGGGATTAGGATCGAAGGACCCTTCCCTTCGAAAACGAGTAAACTAATTCTTCTTTACTGAGACCACCCGGTGTTGTTTGCGGAAATATTAGGTCCCTCTCTCTCTCTCTTAAGTGCTGAGAATTGTAATTATTCCGGGTGAGAACGTAATAGTGCAGGGGGGGGGGTCTGGGGAGAATAAAAGTTGTAAAACTGAAAGGGTCTCTTATACACGTTTGTCTAAAAAGCGTTCTAGAACTTCGTGTAACAATTTGCTGCCCCTCTGCCGGCCAATTAATCACATCGCACGAAGTGTCGCCCGTTGAAATTAATATTAGCCAACTGCAAACTTATCTACGACTTATTTTTACAAAATTACTACTGTCACGTGACGCACACAATTTCAGCTTTGTGCACGCATGGCACCGCGTTACACTGATCCTAAATGGCCATAAATACAGTCGGACAAATCATTCGCGTTATTACCGCGAATCTGGGGCTTCGACGGTTTGTAATTAGCTAGATTTGTCAGTAGTGATTTTTGAAGCGATGAAGCAGCGTGAAAGGGTCACTTATGGAGCAGGTGTCTGTTAAGAGACAAAGCGCGGCGGATCAGCTGGGGTCGACGTCGAAGGTTTGCTTCGTCAGCTGTATCCGTCTATAGCAACCATCGCCATCTCAATAACTTTCCAACAACGATCGATTCAAGGAGGTTATAAAAGGATGACAGGCGAGAACTTCGCGTTTTGTTTCTCGAAAATGTACGGCACGACTCACGGCAGCTTTCCAAAGAAACAAAAGCCGAGCGGCGCGGCTGGATATTTGGCGCGTCCAAAATTGGGAGCCTATCGCTCGCTCTACCCGCTCAAGAGTCTGCGGCCCAGCACCGGCTACAACTATGAAAAACGGAAAAAAGCCAGGTAGGTAATTTTGCATATTGATTCGTGCGGATCAATACACCTGTGTTACCTAGTTACTTTGCCTTAAAACAAAGAGCAATTGCAGTCGCGCGTTTACATTTGTAGAAAGTCAAATGAGTCGAAAATGGAGTATCGAAGACGGCCGGATTACGCGGACACGGCGTACCGCGAGGCCGTTTCTCGCTTGAAGGTGCTGCTCGCCGACAGCTACGCGCCCATCAAGCGGCCGATCAGAGAATTGGACAGCGCCGGCGAGGAGACGGACAATCAGTCGCTGATGAGCGGTGCCAGTCGAAATTCCAGACCGAGCCATTTGCATTACAGATACAGCCCGTCGATACCCAAGAGGTACCCCTACTACACCCCCTCGAGGACCGCCACCGTTGAACCGGACAAATCACTCTTAACGTAAGTACCAGACGAAGCTGGCAATTAATAATCGCCCGCTTTAGCGATACCAAATGGGAGCATCCGGATTTCCCTACGTTCGTTGAGCGGCAAGAGGACTACATCGACCAGCTCGAGAAAGAGTCGAAGTTCTGCAGGGTGCGTATTCCTAGCTCACTCTCTTTGTTTGTGGTAGTAGAACGTAAGATTTTAGGACGAACTGGCAACGTTGCTGCGAAAGGTGAAGGATGTCATATCGGAAAACGAAGATCTGCACGAGAAGCAAAAGTCTTCGCTGATCAAGTCGGTGTTCAATCGGCTCGAAAGCGAGACTGAAACCGAAACGGAATCGGACATAAAAAAATGCGTAAGTTTGGGCGATGAAATATTTAAATATTCGCAATTGTATACGGAGCCCCCCCCCCTCCCCCCTAATTCAGTATTTGCACCCCTTGACGCTACATTCGCCTGCTTCAAATATTGTGGGGGTAAAGATAGCATCGGGGGGTCTGGAATACCCCTAGGAAAAGGTGGCTTTATTGAGCTTTTATTGAAAGTAGCTTTCAAGAATAGGAATCTATTCTGCCTGAAAGCTGGGGGGTATTCCAGACCCTCCTGTGGTACACCCCCCCCCCCTAAATGTTCCCTGTTAAAACTTTCGGGTATAGAAAATTAACACAAGGACTGCTGCAAATAATTTGGAGATGAACGTTGAACCGGGGGGGGGCTTGGGGAGGGGGGGGGGCGTATGGAATACCTCCATGGTTGAATATTGAGCTCTTATTGAAAGGAACTGGTAAAGTTGCTTTCAAGAATAGGATTGTATTCCACCTGAAAGCTGGGGGGTATTCCATACTCGCCAGACCCCTCGGTACTAAATCCCCCGCCCCCTAAATGTTCAACCTTAAAGGTTTCGTGTATGGGAAATTAATAACCATCTGCAAGCTGATCGCTGCAGATATGTTGGGGATGGACGTCGAACCGGGAGGATCTGGGATCTCCAGGAGAAGATAGATCCAATGAGCTTTTTCTGAAAGGAACCGGGAAAGTAGCTTTCAAGAATAGGAATCCATTCTATCTGAAAACTGGGGGGTATGTATACCCCCAGCCCCCTTCACCCCGGTGCTACCCCCCCTCCCCCCCAATTAAATGTTTACGGTTGCGAATCTTTTGGGGATGGACGTTGAACCGGGGGTTCTGGGAGTATGGAAAAGGTTGACCCAATGAACTTTTTCTGAAAGGAACCGGAAAAGCCCCCCCACCCCCACCGAACTCCTAAATGTTAAGTATTACAGCTTTCGTGTATGGTAAATTAATAACCATGTATGTTGACCGCTGCAAATATTTTGGGGGCGGACGTTCAACCTAGCGGTCTGGCGAGTAAGGAATACCATAACGGCATAACCTATCCTCTTCACACATCTTTTCGCACGCCTCTTCAATGTCTTTTCCACGACTCATATGCGTCTCTTGCCTTAGCGTATTCTTTCTACAAACTTGATTCCAGCCTCCATGCTTCTTTCTTCGCGCCTACTATCTTCAGGTGTGAAGAGACCTTTCACGACTGCTGCCCAACCTCCTTAGGGCGTTCTTTCTTCACACCTGCTGCTAGCTCCCACCGTTCCGTTGTTCATGACCAGAATTCCAGGTTCCCTCTTTCTTTTCTTCTCCGTGCTTTTTTTTTACACCGACCTCTTCTCTTTCACACCTGCGTTTTTATATTCAGGTCTCCGCTCTGTTACCCTTTTTTCCACGCTTCCCTCTTTCCTTCTTCACGACGCTACTTCCTTGGCTTCGTATCTGCCTCTATCCTCCACCCTTACGTACTCGCGTCTACACTATACAAGATCTCTACTTTTAGATATGTTCCTCGTCGGGATCTTTCGTCACGCTTTCTTCCCCTCTTTCTTTTACAACCTCTTCCCTTTCATCTATCCTCTTCTAGTTAAGTGGCCAAATTGAAAAACGACTCTGTTTCTTAGTTCTAACGGCATTTTATGAGCCATTTTGGCCACATGGTTTTTTAGATGTAAAAAAATGTGCTGAATCCGATTCTGGATGTTGCCAGGCCGAATTTTGCACTAGTTCACAAATACAGCACGATGGCGCCACTATCTATTGTATTGTGTACTATTTAATATTAAATTGTTTTCCATAATTTATTACTTATATATACGTAAGAGTTGGTTAATTAACTTCATAGCTAGTTCGGAAAATGTATGAAAATATATCCTGTGGTGATATATAGGGTGTTTTACATTTTCCTCGGCAAATTTTGTTTGTTATTAAATTTTGTGCTTTTTAATAACCATTGGTAAGTATTTAAGGTTTTTTACAACTGTATATATAAATATACAGTGTGTAAAGCGATGGGGTATACAAGAGGGAATTTTTTTAAAATATTGATTTATGAAAAAAATTTATTCTTAATTATATGTTTTGCTTGCTTTGAAAGTACCAATAACGTTTCGATAATCTAAAATTTATTTATAGAAATCTGGAAAAATAATAAAAATTTTTTTATTGAGTTATCATTCTACATTATAATCAAGATAGCGTATTGCTATCAAACCACAAACAATCGAAACGTTATTGGTACTTTCAAAGCAAGCAAAACATATTATGAAGAATAAATTTTTTCATAAATCAATATTTAAAAAAAATTCCCTCTTGTAAACCCTATCGCTTTACACACTGTATATAAATAAAAATTGCGTATTTTTCCAATGAATTCAAATCTGCATTTAAAAAAATAAAACCACATCGCATTTTTCAGATGATAACAAAAATGTGACTTTAATATGGAACACCCTGTGAATTATTACATAATATGAGAGGTTATTAAATTCTTTTTAAAACACTATAGCAAAAATATTTTAAATAACCAACATTTTCAAATTATTGACGATCTCCTAGGACGTAGAAAGTTTATAATTTTGCGGTGCCTGTTCAGTCCTGAGATCTGTTCATTAGCACGATACCTCGAAAACGAATAGATCGCCGATTATGATGAAATTTTGCATTTGGGTTCTTTATCAGAGTTATAGGTCGGAGTTCGTGAATTGGCAATGTACTTAAAAAAATAAAGAAGGCCCTTTTGACATCTCCGTTAGATATAAACCGAATTGCATGAAATTAAATATGGGCATAGTCGAGGGCATAGTTTTAGCCATATAATACGCAATGCCAAAAGTTGGGCCTAATCAATTCTACATGCACAGTGCCCTTTTTGGATTGCAAAATTTTTTATTTATGAAAGTACTTAACTAAAATTTGATACATAGGCACTTGGAATAAAAGCAAATCTAACACCAGGTTCAAAATTCGGTTTTTCACATGCCATAGCCACTACCTATAGTAGTATCTCGAGTAGTATTAAATGGCAGTAAATGTAAATTAATTACATTAACTTAGCATTAACCACATTAAATTAACATTAACAACACTCAAGTTGTTGATTTACCCCCCGTCAAGATACAGACTTTATTTTTACAAAAAATATGATCTCATTTTGTGGGGTAATGTTCAGAAGTAACTTATCTAGAAAACTGTCGGTTTATTTTTTCCATAAATCGTCTTGATCGAGAGTAAAACAATAAAACAGGTTAGCGCAATACCTAATCGCTGCAAAATATCTAATCCTTAAACAGCCGGTATTCAGTTGCTATAAACTTTTTTAAAAAAATATTTCGAACATTTTGTAGATAAAGGTCTAAATTTATAAAATATAAAATTTATATATTAATATAAAATTTTATTTTTCAAAAACAACTTGAGTGTTTTAGGCGGACGCTCTTATGGAAATTTACATTGGATGCAGTGGGTACAGAAGGGCGTAGAGTTGCATCTTCTCATGATGCTGTTGCCGGGGACATTTTGTACCATACATATTGTCTCGCAAATGCTATAAGAGACACTGAAAAATCGAATGGTCAGACTAGTCCTCCTAAAAACGTGGCTTTAAATAAATTATGCTATGAACTAAAAGTGCACAAATATCTACAAGTGTCTTGGCGACTGCTTCAATCGTAAAAAAAATGAGCTGCATGATGAAGAAATTTAAGCTCCGTTAAAATTTTTGAACGAAATATTTGTCGTCAGAATTATCTCTATATTGTTACCGTGTTGTCTGTATAATGTACCCAATACATAAGTTTTGCAATTTTCTGTGCCTCCTGTATGTTTTTTTAACACCTCAATCCGAAAAACTATGTACAATGCGTCTGGCATAAGAATTTATATATTTGGCCGCCATATTGACCGCCATTTTGAAATTAGCCAAAAGTTCAGCAGACATTTTTACCCTTATAAATGCACGTTCCCAAAATGGCTCATTAAATGCCGTTAGACTTGCGATTTATTAACTATGGCCACCCAACTATTCATGCCTCTATCATGCTTTTTTCATACCTCTTTCGTTTTTCCTTCACGACTCTTTCTCATCCACTTTTCCACATTTTTTCCCGTATATGCTTCTAGCCCTTATGGTCTTCAACATTTTGGTTTCTTTTCTTCGCGCTCTTTCCACGCCTTTTCAACGACTGTGCTTCGTGTTTTTCCCTTACGCGGTTTCCTAGCCTCAACGGTACTTTCCCCATGTCACTCCCTCCTTCCCCACGCACATTCTTTTAAGGGGGAAGGCGTGCAGGTAATAATAATTGCAGACAGTACGAAAAATAAGGCATTACTGCAAAACATCATGGAGGGGGAGGGGGGCAGCAATTTTTCATGTTATTATGTTTCCGTTGTAGACATACAAGTCTCCAAAACGCTCCCGGCGGCACATCGCGCTCGAAGGGCCGACGATCGTCTTTGAATCGCGCATATCCGAACTCGAGGCGCAGCTCACCCAGGCCAAGATCGATCTGCGCAAGTCGATCGACGAGAACGAGTCGTTCAAAAGAAAACTGGCCGACGGTAGTCTGTCCGACGGCGCGGGCCTAGACACGCACAGAAAGCAAATCGAAAGTCTGCAAAGGGACAAGGGCGTCCTGCAGGACACGGTCGCGAAGCTACAGAGCGTCCTCGCGCAGTTCAAAGATCAGGAGAACATATCGTGCGATCAGATCAAGCGCAGCCTGGACGCGGCCGAGCAGGCGCAGTACGAGAAGAACGCCGCCGAGCTCGAGATCCGTCGGCTGAAGGACGAGCTCGAGCGGCAGCACGGAAAGCTGCGCGACGCGATCGGCGAGCACAGCCGGCGAATATCGGACGAGCGATCGGCGATGGAGCGACGCTACGCGCAGCAGATCGATCAGCTGACGACGGACCTGGGCGTCCAATGGGAGACGACCAGTAAGGTGCAGCTCGAGCTCGAGAAGCAGAGGAGGGACAATTCGGATTTGCGACGGGAACTCGCGCAGAAGCAGGCGTATGTTGACGAGCTGAAGAAGGAGATGCACTCGAAGATTTGTCAGTGAGGCCTTTAATCATGACGGTATGATCTGATGGTATTGTTGCAGCCACCATGCAGTCCGATATTGGGCTGAGCGGCGCGGAGAAGAGCGCCCTCGAGCAACAGATCGCTACGCAACAGTTGTCGAATGAGAGGATCGAGAGGCAAAATCGGCAGGAGGTCGCTAGGTTGCAGGCCGAGTTGCAGTCGCTGAGGCAGCGGCTCGACAGGTCCGATGCAGATCTCATTCACAGTCGAAGGGAGAACATCAGGTTGAGCGAGCAGATCGCCTCGCTTGAGAAGGAGGTAGGTTAAAGTCATCACTTCGTCATGGGGTCGGAAGCAGTTGACCGTTACAAATTTAAGACCTCACCTTCAGATGCATGACGTATTCCACACCCACCAGATCCCTTAGTCGCCCAATATTTTGGGAGAAAACGTACCACCCGAGGGTCTGGAGGGCATGGAATACCTCCCAGGAAAAAGTACTACAGCTAACAGCAATATCTCCAATATTTTGGGAAAAGATGTACCACCCGAGGGTTTGGGTATGGAACACTCCCCCAGAAAAAACAGAACAGATTTCCCTATAATTTCATAAGACCTTCACATACTGGGGGGGTATTCCAAACCCCCCAGACCCCCCGGAAGTACGTTCTCTTGAAATAGAATTAAAGGTAACAGCAATACCCAAAATATTTTGGGAGAGAGCTTACCACCGGGGGGTCTGGGGGGTATGGAATACAATACCCCCCAGGGAAAAGAGAACAGATTTCCCTATAATTATCATAAGACCTTCGTATACTGGGGGGTATTCCATACCCCCCAGACCCCCCGGTGGTACGTTTTCTTGAAATAGTATTACAGGTAACCGCAATACCCAAAATATTTTGGGAGAAATCGCACCACCGGGGGGTCTGGGGGGTATGGAATACAATAGCCCCCATGGAAAAGAGAACAGATTTCCCTATAATTATCATAAGATCTTCGTATACTGGGGGGTATTTCACACCCCCCGGTGGTACGTTCTCTAGAAATAGTATTACAGGTAACAGCAATACCCAAAATATTTTGGGAGAAAGCGTACCACCGGGGAGTCTGGGGGGTATGGAATACCCCCCAGGAAAAAGAGAACAGAATTCCCTATAATTATCATAAGATCTTCGTATACTGGGGGGTATTCCACACCCCCCAGTGGTACGTTCTCTTGAAATAGTATTACAGGTAACAGCAATACCCAAAATATTTTGGGAGAAAGCGTACCACCGGGGGGTCTGGGGGGTATGGAATACAATACCCCCCATGGAAAAGAGAACAGATTTCCCTATAACTTTCATAAGACCTTCGCATACTGGGGGGTATTCCAAACCCCCCAGACCCCCCGGAAGTACGTTCTCTTGAAATAGAATTAAAGGTAACAGCAATACCCAAAATATTTTGGGAGAATGCTTACCACCGGGGGGTCTGGGGGGTATGGAATACAATACCCCCCATGGAAAAGAGAACAGATTTCCCTATAATTATCATAAGACCTTCGTATACTGGGGGGTATTCCACACCCCCCAGTGGTACGTTCTCTTGAAATAGTATTACAGGTAACAGCAATACCCAAAATATCTTGGGAAAGAGCGTACCACCGGGGGGTCTGGGGGGTATGAGGGAAAAGAGAACAGATTTCCCTATAATTATCATAAGACCTTCGTATACTGGGGGGTATTCCATACCCCCCAGACCCCCCGGTGGTACGTTCTCTAGAAATAGTATTACAGGTAACAGCAATACCCAAAATATTTTGGGAGAAAGCGTACCACCGGGGAGTCTGGGGGGTATGGAATACCCCCCAGGAAAAAGAGAACAGAATTCCCTATAATTATCATAAGATCTTCGTATACTGGGGGGTATTCCACACCCCCCAGTGGTACGTTCTCTTGAAATAGTATTACAGGTAACAGCAATACCCAAAATATTTTGGGAGAAAGCGTACCACCGGGGGGTCTGGGGGGTATGGAATACAATACCCCCCATGGAAAAGAGAACAGATTTCCCTATAACTTTCATAAGACCTTCGCATACTGGGGGGTATTCCAAACCCCCCAGACCCCCCGGAAGTACGTTCTCTTGAAATAGAATTAAAGGTAACAGCAATACCCAAAATATTTTGGGAGAATGCTTACCACCGGGGGGTCTGGGGGGTATGGAATACAATACCCCCCATGGAAAAGAGAACAGATTTCCCTATAATTATCATAAGACCTTCGTATACTGGGGGGTATTCCACACCCCCCAGTGGTACGTTCTCTTGAAATAGTATTACAGGTACAGCAATACCCAAATATTTTGAAATGAGCGTACCACCGGGGGGTCTGGGGTTAGAGGGAAAAAACAGAACTGATTTCCCTATAACTATCATAAGACCTTGGTATATTGGTAAGTATTCCGTACTCCCCAGACCCCCCGGTGGTACGTTCTCTAGAAATAGTATTACAGGTAACAGCAATACCCAAAATATTTTGGGAGAAAGCGTACCACCGGGGGGTCTGGGGGGTATGGAATATCCCCCAGGGAAAAGAGAACAGATTTCCCTATAACTGTCATAGACCAATACCCACAATATTTTGGGAGAAAACGTACCACCAGGGAGTCTGGACACTCCAAGAAAAAACAGAACTGATTTCCCTATAACTATCATAAGACCTTGGTATATTGGTAAGTATTCCGTACTCCCCAGACCCCCCGGTGGTACGTTCTCTAGAAATTGTATTACAGATAACAGCAATACCCAAAATATTTTGGGAGAAAGCGTACCACTGGGGGGTGTGGGGGGTATGGAATACAGGAGAAGACGTACTACCCGAGGGTCTGGAGGGTATTCCCCCAGGCAAAAAGGGATTTCCCTATAACTGCCATAGACCCCCACAATATTTTGGGAGAAAACGTACCACCAGGGAGTCTGGACACCCCAAGAAAAAACAGAACTGATTTCCCTATAACTATCATAAGACCTTCGTATATTGGTACGTATTCCGTACTCCCGAGACCCCTTGGTGGTACCTTAGTGTAAAGACACTATGGTGGTACGTTCTCTTACCCTCTTATGGTTAATTTTCGAGAGAATGTCATTGAATACTTCAATCCTTCCTTCTCTTGGAAATCATCATGAAAGTGGCGAGGGTTGTAAACAATTTGAGCAAGAACGCAACACCGCGGGGGTCTGGGCGTATGGAGTACCACCCGCAAGGTAGTACTCAATGACGCACTTTCGAAGATAACGTAACTCCATGAAAGAAGAATTCGACGAAAATTCATACCTACTCCTCAATCGCCTTACCGCTTGGGATGGTTTGTTCGGTCTGCGTGATCAGATCAGATCTGCCCTACATCCACTGGTGACGAATTTTAATGTTTCAGATTAATTTAAACGTGGCACTATCGGAAGAGAGAGGCAAACGTGGAGGCGGTAGTGGTGGTGGTGGTGACATAATTGCGTTACCAGCGCCGTCCGCCCGAGACGATCGAGAGAAAGAGCTGTCGACGATGGTCAAAGATATGGAGACCAAGCATGGTACGTGTCCGCGCATGTTTCTGTTTAGGTAGTGACCATCATTATCCTTAGTCTCAGTGTGAATGGGGTTAAGGCTAGTGCTGTTCGGTTTATCCATGAGTTGAGCCCGATGTAGTGTGTTAAGCCTCGGCGTTTAATGCATGGTGTGTTTTTGCAGCGGCCACTGTGGCCGAATTGGAGACTATGATCCACTCGCAGAATCAACTCATGGACAAACTCACTGGCGAATGTCAAGCCCTCACTGTCAAACTAGAGGATGCCAGCACAAGGCACAAGTAAGGGAAATGGATTTCTATACGCTTTTTGTCCCAAATCTCGCTTCACTCACACTCAATGTTTTGTCTTGATGTTCTTTGTCTGAAAACTAATCGAACTTGTGTTTGGTAGGGACGGCGCTAACAAACATCAAAAGCGAGTCCGATTCGCGCTCAGCCCGACCAACCAAACGCAAGGAGCCCATTAAAGTTGATATTAGCGTCAAAGTAGTTCCAAAACCTCATAAGGTCAGTGGAGCGTAGAACCCATCCAAGTTGGCCGATTTTTTTTTGATGCCTAGAGTTTAACTTCTAGAGTTGTAGAAATCATAGGTACAGGCTACGAACAGAAAACAAAGAGTTGATGAACAGGCTTCAGCAGGTATGGATCCTGTTGAAAGAGACTCACGATACGACAGAGGATGATATCGTCAAGGTAATTGCCTTAAAATGTGTTAATGTAAGAAATTTGTTATAGGGAGGAAATACGGGAACTACAAGCTAACTTAGATTATTTAAGTACAAGAGTTAATCATACACAAAGTAATAATAATAAACTGCCATCTCAATATGAAGGTACAACTCACTGATAGTAGACGAGATGCTTGCTTGTAAATTGATCACTCACCCCCATTTCATTTTTGCAAAATGCGACTGTATCACGCTGGTCAAGTACCATTTATCAGCCCCACTTACGTATCCAGCAAACGCACGTTGTAGAGTACTGCGTTTGCTGGGTTAATGCTATAGCTGCAGACTAGAAATCAAAGCGCGTTCCCGCCAGCGTCACTAACGGCACGTCTCGTACTTCTAGATGAGACGCATAATATCCCAAGCACTCAAAGAACCATTCAGCACCAACAACCAAACGCACCAAACCAACCAGTGAGTTACAATCGGACACCGCCGCCGAACAAAATCCTAAGCCGCACCAGCAGCAACGCGTCACTAAAGCAAACCACCCCCCCAAGACGAAAACCGTCGATCGCCCCAACCCCAGCGCCGACCGCCGAGGAACCGCCCGCGCCAACGCAACCGGACATCGACGCCAACCAGTTTTACCCCGAGGATCCCAATCAGTACATGAACGATCCGAACTACGCGTACGACCCACAGTACCAAGCGCAGTACGATCAGGCCGGTTACGAGCAGTACGAAAACGATCTCGTTTACGGCGGCGCGGATCCCAATCAGCAGTACGATCCCAATCAGCAGTACGATCCCAATCAACAGTACGATCCCAATCAACAGTACGACCCCAATCAGCAGTACGATCCCAATCAGATGTACGTGGGCGACGTTTACGCGACCGATCCGAACGCGCAGCAGCCGCAGCAACAGCAGCAGCAGCAGGCGGTCTACGAGGAAACGAAAACCGAACAGCCGCCGCCAGCAAAACAGGACGAGGAAAAGAAAACCTAGGTGATACGTAGTCATTTTTCCCTTCTCGAACTTTCAATCGCTTAGGGTTGTGTTAAATATTGTAACTCTCTACGCACGTTTTTATGTAAATTGTTTGTATCTAAATGTACCTATAATAAACAAGTGTCCAAAGCGCTTGAAACGAGCCCCTATCCAGAATGTGTAAGTGGAAGAAGCTGGAAGAAAGACCCAGCCATTGCGACGGTTCGTCTTTGAGAAAACATGATCAACTTCATCCGTTTATATTAACCTTGAATTTGTTTGTTATTTAATTGTTTCACTTTAAATGTTATCCTTATTTTGATTTGTTTAATATTGGCCAGTTCCTTCGATATTCAGACTAGTTTAGATTGATTAGCGACTTCAATTTTTTGTGTATGAATCTGCTTTTTTTTTACTGTTTCGTCCGTGCAGAGGAGTGTTAAAATTACTTAGCGGCATTCATTTCGAAATACAACTTCAGTCTAAGGTTACCGTATCCAGGACCTCCAGATACCTTCTGGATTGGAGTAGGTCGCGCTACCTAACAAAGTATTTCATTTATTCTATGGAAGAGACTTCGGAATGTTGTTTCTCACAAATGGGAAAGGAGTGGAGTTACTTTTAAATCTATTTGGGTTGGCTACTTGATCATATCAAATTTTGTATTAGATTAAAGACAGATTGAAATTCTTCAAATTCAAGAGTTACTTCTTCGAATTGTTAATTTTTGTATATTGCAGATAGATACAGAGTTATCATGGAAGGGGTCAGGGTTGTAAACATTTTTGGGGAAAACGTACCACTGGGAGTATGGAAAACCCCCCAGGGAAAGGGGGCAGGTTGCACGAATGGCTTGAGAAGATACTTTCGAAGAAAGGTCACCGAATTTTTCTTTCCTTGGGAGTACGAGTATTCCATACTCCCCACCAGGAACGTTCTCTTGGAATTGCATTACAGATAATTACGATAATCTTCTAAAGAAGATCATGGAATCCTTTAATCCTCTGCTTTCTTGAAAATTATTATGAATGGGGCCAGAGTTGTAAATATTCTGGAAGGAAATATACCACCGGTGGGTCTGGGGGTTTGGAATTCCGCCCAGGCAAAGGACGACCCACGCTTGAAAATAATCAAGAGACAAGAAACAGGTTATACGAAACGCTGGAGGGGTTACTTTCGAAGGAGAGTCACCGAATATTTCTTTTCTGGGGAGTATTCCATACCGCCCAGGGCTCCCGGGGGCAACTTACAAGTTTCGAGAGAAGGTCATGCATTCTATCCTCTACTCTCTTAAAAATTATCATTAGGCGTCAGGGTGGTAAACATTTTTGGAGAAAACGTACCCAGCGGGGAGTCTGGGGGGTATGGAATACACCCTCAGGAAAAAGAGGTACTTGATGACCGACGCTTGAAACTTATCATCAGACTTTTTCGGAGAAGAAGGTTACACGAATCGCTCAAGGAGTTACTTTCGAAGGAGAGTCACCGAACTTTTCTTTCCTGGGGGGTATGGAATACCCCCCAGAGGTATGTTCTCTTGTAATTGCATTACGGACAACGGTACTCTTATGACAATTTTCGAGAGAAAGTCATGGAATTCTTCTATCCTCTGCTCTCTTGACAATTATCATGAAAGTGGTTAGGATTGTAAACAAACAACCAGAGAAAATAGTTATTTGATGAGGTACGCTTGAAAATTATCACGAGATTTTTTGAGAAAAAGGTCACACTCAAAGCTTGAGGAGTTACTTTCGAAGGAAGTTTACAGCAGACCCCTCGGGGCTACCTTCTCTTGCAATAATCCCATCAATCATCTATTGTGTCAAAATTTGTGCTGAACTCGTCTTCTCGTTTGGCAATTGTTTTAGAATTAATTGATTTGATAACGTTTTAGAACACTTCTGTGTTAATTCTAACCGAGTCGAAAGCGGGTTCGCCGTAAGTAAACTCGTCCTATCAATCCTTTACCGTCTCAAAATTTGTCTCGAACTCGTCTTCGACTCGTTCGGCAATTGTTTTAGAATTAATTGATTTGATAACGTTTTAGAACACTTCTGTGTTAATTCTAACCGAGTCGAAAGCGTGTCCGCCGTAGGTAGACTCGTCCTATCAATCCTTTACCGTTTCAAAATTTGTCTCGAACTCGTCTTCGACTCGTTCGGCAATTGTTTTAGAATTAATTGATTTGATAACGTTTTAGAACACTTCTGTGTTAATTCTAACCGAGTCGAAAGCGAGTTCGCCGTAAGTAGACTCGTCCTATCAATCCTTTACCGTCGCAAAATTTGTCTCGAACTCGTCTTCGATTCGTTCGGCAACTGTTTTAGAATTAATTGATTTGATAACGTTTTAGAACACTTGTGTGTTAATTCTAACCGAGTCGAAAGCGAGTTCGCCGTAAGTAGACTCGTCCTATCAATCATCTACTGTGTCAAAATTTGTGCTGAACTCGTCTTCGACTCGTTCGGCAATTGTTTTAAAATTAATTGAGTTGATAACGTTTTAGAACACTTCTGTGTTAATTCTAACCGAGTCGAAAGCGAGTTCGCCGTAAGTAGACTCGTCCTATCAATCCTTTACCGTCTCAAAATTTGTGCCGAACTCGCCTTGTTATGATTGATCTAGTAACGTTACATCTACTCTGCCAAACCTTGAACTCGCCTTCTCGCTCACTCATTTTAACATTTATTTATGCGGTACTTATTGCTGGCAAAAACCTGACCTGACAAATTTTCCTAGCGGTGGGAGATTTTTGAAGAAACCAAAGGCCGAGGATGTCGAACAGCCTACCATTCGAGACGAAAATTAAGCTTGGAGGTTAAAAAAGCGAGGAAACCAATCCAGAGAGACCCAGAAAGTTGATTGAACCAGAGAAACCGAGGACGCCAACGAAGACAGAGGAAGAGAAAGACGCCAAGGAAAGCGAGGAAGCTTTCCGTGCAAAACCAAAGAACTGAAGAGACCGAGTAGTCGGACAAATGTACTTACCAATTTGTACAGCCCCACTAAACAAATGTGCACGATGTGTTGCCTACCCTTGAGCAGTAACACGAATTCGTAATTTCAGCAACATTGTATTGATTTGAAACTTTCGAGGGTGTCTGTCGATTCACCCCTTCCGTTGCGTAAACATCGCCAGACGGAGCGTGAAGAATGATCTGTGAGGACGACGGAATGTCGCGATCTTCCCCCTTAAAAATACGGAAGTGGTATAATAGTCGACGAAACGGCTACAACGGCCAGTAGCAGTGGCACTCGCGCCGCGTTGCGTTCGTTACAAAAATGGCGTCGTTAAGATATACGCATGCCGTAGTGTGTAGACTGCCTCAGTCATTTAAATCGCACCACAACGAGGTCGACATGGACGAGGCGAAAAAACAGCACGAATCCTACGTGCGACTGTTGCGGGAGCTCGGCCTGGACGTCATCGAACTGCCACCTGATGAGGCTCTTCCCGATTGTGTCTTCGTCGAGGATACGGCGGTCGTTTGTAACGGGACCGCTTTGATCACAAGACCGGGGTCGGATCAGCGCGTCAAAGAGGTAATTGTAATTGCAAGTAGCGCTCCATTTAAACTAGGTCAATTTCTCGTCCGATTCTCTCAAGGTTCAATTTTTATTTATGCAAATCCGCCGCAACGCGATCGGGTTGAGTGAACCACGAGGACGTAAATTCCTAGAAGATGATCGTTATCGCCATCCTCAATTGATCGGAACCTACGCATTTTTTTTCGTTGACCTTTTCGTAATGGAGTCAAAGCGGTAATAATTAGATCATATGCGTAACCCCCTTACGCACGCACGCATATTTCGGTTGTGATACGAGCGGGCACAATCGATTTTGAAAAGTTTTCTCATCGTGCATTGTTTCGAAATTAAGGAAGCACCCCTTGTGTCTATTGTGTCTCGATCCCCTAGCGTTTTCTCCTCAGTCCTCGTCCGAAACCACTGAATCGCGCCAATGAAATTTGGTTGTTAGCAGTAGCAATCTAAGAGGTGTCTATGTTATTGTGTGGAGTGCCTCAAGGGTCAATAGCAGGGCCATTGGTGTTATTTAATTATTTAACATGCCACCTTCGGGGGTTAATTTAATTTAAATTAAATGTTCAATTTTCAAATTACGCCAGATTACAAAAAACTGTATATTGCTGAAAGAAAAACCTTTTCAAACATCCTTTTTAGTTTAAAATTTCGGAGAGGGTGGATATAATTCGTAGGCGGGAAGGGGAGTTGATAGTATTTTCATACTATAAATTACGAGATAAATTATCAAATTCAGAATAAAAATCGATCTGTTTCAGGTTTTTTTTAATAGTAGTTCTACAGGGTGGAAATTTTACCAATACCACCCAGCGCAAGGAAAAATCGATTACCTTGTCTTAAAAAACCATTCTAGATCAAATTTCCACCCCGTATACCTCGCTGTGTACACATAAACCGGTATATTAGGCGAGACTTTGAGACATTTCCATAGAACTAGACTAGACAGCATGTGGGAATCTGGAGGATATGGAATATCCCCAGCGCAAGGAGAAATCGATTACTTTTCTTAAAAAGACTACCATTCGGTGTTCTACACCAAATTTCCACCCTGTATACACATTAACCCTCGTATTAACCGGTCCGCATATTTGGCGAAATTTGAGATATTTCATAGAACTAGAGGAAACAATGTAGAACTGGGGCAGCGCGAGGAAACATCGATTACCTTTTCTTTAAAAAATTCATCTTTCGGTCTAGATCAAATTTCCACCCTATATACACATGGACCGGTCTGTATATTCGGTTTGAATTTTAGACATTTCCATAGAACTAGGCGAAATTATGTAGAATCGGGGGGGGGGGGGGGATCTGGGGGGTACTTAATACCCCCTTGCATATAATATACAACACGCAATAGATCATGCATAAGACAAAAATCCTACCTTGATAAGGCTGCCCTTCTGGAGTCTGTAACAAAGAATAAATTTACGTTAAACATCTGAAGGAAAAACAGGCAATTTTTGAAAAATTATTTAAAATTAGACAAGCAATAGTTGCATTAGTAGTCCAAAAGTTATTAAGTAACATACAATTGAGACTGACCCTTTAGCCTTATTGATTCGGTCTCGCCTAGGAAGAACCATAACCGAGAGAGACAGCACTACACTGGCTCACATTCTCCTGCTACTGGGATAATGTACATTGCAGTGGCGAAACCACTTCCTCTTGACCAATAGCTGAAAAGTGAAAAAACTAATGTTTACTAAAACCTTTGTACCTATGTGTCTTTTTTGATATACGCATTAAAAAAATCGGAAACACTGACAGTTCACGGTTTTCTAATTAAAAAAACCTAGGACCAAAAAATTGGTAAAATTCAGGCACCCTTTGTCAATGTCCTGATCAAAGGGTGCTTATGTTTAAAGAAACCAAAAAACGCTCGCCAAATGCACCAATTGGAATCAGGGGCGTAATTTTGTGACTATTCGCAAATTCGTATTTACCGGTTATTGGAACAACGTCGCGAAAATATAGGTAGTCATGCACAATTTGAAAACTCGCCCCTGCGTAACGTGCGATGGCCGCAGATCCCGCAAAAATCCACTTAACTTCACAAGTCGGGGCACTAACTGGCAACCGACTTACATTCAAAGATTCAATTGCCGTTGGTGTCGTACCCATCGACATATAGAGATGAACTGCGCGTGCCAATGCTAAGCGCGGATACTGCAGGTGAGAGAGAAGGGAAAACTAAGAGGCAATAGAGAGAGCTTCCACCTGTACCTTTCCTTATCAGCTCCAAATGGTGTTTACGTACACGAACTCTTTGAATTAAAATGATCGTGAGTACCTAATCTTTTTGAAGAAGAACGTATTTCAGGGGGGGGGTCTGGATGGTTCTTTCTTTTTCAAAACCGCTTAGACTTCCAGGTTCTCATGTTTTTGGAAAAGAACGTATTACCCGCGATATTACCGGGGGGTCTGGGATATGGAATACCCTCAAGTAGTAAGTACCCTCGGTAAAAGAGGTCTCGATAGTTCTTTCTTTCTCGCCCCTAGCACTCTCCTGATAGTCTTTGCGTCTTGCGAAAAATACGGCCCAATCAGTATGCTTGAGTATTAAAATAGTTAAACATATTGCAGGTCGAAACGATCCGCGTCGTTCTGAAGAAGGAGCTCGATCTTCCAATCATTGAAATGTCCGACCAGTCGGCGAAGTTAGACGGCGGAGACGTCTTATTTACGGGTGAGTACACGCTCATATCAAACGTTACGTAACCCTCGTTTCTGCAGGGCGCGAATTCTTCGTCGGCATCTCGGATTGGTCAAACGAGGCCGGCGCACGCGCCGTCGCCGCTTCGTTCCCCGAGTTTCCCTGTACACCGATTAAGGTTATTGGAAATAGTCACTTTTGAGTTGCTAATCGACCTTTGCAGGTGTCGAATAGGAAGCACCTCAAGTCTCTGATCACGGTCGGAGGACCGGATCTGCTGTGCGTCGGATCGAGCAAGGAGGCGCAGGAGGTTCTGAAGCGGATGGAGAGAGAGGCGACATTTTCGTACCAAACGCTAACGTTACCTGAAGATGAAGCGGCCAATGTGCTGTTTTTAAATGGAACTCTAATCCACAAAAGTTTGGAGGAGATACCGGAATCCTTTAAGGTACCTAGACACGATACTTCACTGTCATTCTAAAGAGGATGCCCACCAACACTTTCGTTTTGGGAAACAGGGAGAGAAACCAAAATGGCACTCCCTACATACAATTTAGACGATTAACAGACATGAAAGGGCGCGTACGTGGTACCAGCATTTAGATTAGGTATCAAAAACGGGGAGGGAAAGCAAAATGACATTCCAGACACTCAATTTAGACGGTTAGCAGACATTTCCGCTAATAAAATTACCAAAAGTGTAGACGGGTAGCTATGCTCAACAACTGGTGTCAAAGATGCGTATGTGATTTACTCCAGGCAATAAAAGTGTCAAAAAAGCGGACAGCATATTAAATACCCGCTTTAGTGTAAATGGTTTATTGCTCTTTTAACTAATTATGCAAAATTCACGTTAGTTTGATAACACTAACAACTGTTTACTAATGTATCTATGATTCAGCTACTCAATACACAACACTCCTCCCCTTCTAGTAGACACCACGAAATCTCGAAAACGACTGGGCATTCCGGCGTTCCTTTGTGGTCTTTGCATACCGGTTGTTACTGTCATATTTTCTTTTGTATCTCCTAATGCTGTCTCTACTGGTTCCTCCTCCTGAAGTCTGTTGTCATCAGTACGTAGATTGTCCGTTATGATTTCATCGGTCTCTGATGGTCCATTCATAACGTTTCTACGTAGATGGTCTACATGTCGCTTTTGTGTTTTTCCAATTTCATCCACCGTTTTGTAAGTCACTGGACCCAACTGCCTCACTATCTTCTCAGGTTGCCATCTTGAACCTTCCCCTCCGAATTTTCGGGCCATCACAGATGCTGACTGTTCAAACACTCTGGTTCTTTTAGATCCAGCTTCCATCATCTTCTCCTGCGTTTCTCGCACTTTTTTTGTAAAACTGGGCCGAAGCCAGGTCAAGACAAGTGCGTATTTTTCTTTTGAACATTAATTCAGACGGTGATGCTCCTGTTGTGGTTGTAGGCGTAATATGTTGGGTTATCAAAAATCGAGCGATTTTTACTTCCCAATCTCCCGTACTCAGTTTCTTTAAAGTTCTTTTGGTTTCTTGTACCATTCTTTCCGCTTGGCCATTTGACGCTGGGTGGTATGGTGAAACTCGAGTATGTCGGATTCCATTCTTCTTAGCCCAACATTCGAACTCTTCTGACGTAAACGAACTTCCATTGTCACTTACAATTACCTCTGGAATTCCATGAGTTGCGAAAATTCCACGTAATGCTTGAATGGTGCATTTAGATGATGTAGACGGAACTCTTTTTACCTCTAACCATTTACTATAAGAGTCAACAATAATTAAAAATTGTTGTCCACAAAATGGTCCTGCGTGGTCTATATGTATTCGACTCCAAGGAATCTCACTCCATTCCCATGGGTGTATAGCTGCTTTAGCAGGCATCTTCATTTGTAATTGGCACTCTTGGCATTGTCTTACAGCACTTTCAATGGCTTGATCTATTGACGGCCACCAAACATAGGATCTTGCCAGTGCCTTCATTCTTACTACTCCTATGTGTGCCCCATGAAGAACTCTCAGCACTCGTTCCTGGATTTTCGGCGGAATCACTACTCTCGTACCCCATAGTATGCAATTCTTGTAAATTGATAACTCATTCTTTCTAACCTTGAAAGGACGTACTTCATCTTCCGCTAATCCCTCTTCCAACTTATTCGGCCAGCCCAATTGTATAAACTCCCGGATCCTGCTAAGAACTGGATCTCTTCCTGTTAATTCTGCAACTTTCTCGTCGTTTAAAGGTATTTCGGGCATATTCTCCATCATGAGTACTTCGCCAATATGTTCTACACCGCCGAGATCAACTTCTGTAGACAATGGTATGCGGCTCAGAGCATCCGCGTGACTTATGTCTTTACCTGGCCTATGTATTAGCGAATAATTATAATTACTAAGAAATAATGCCCAGCGCACTAATCTCGGAGATGACATCTGTGGAACCTGAATGTTCTCGCTCAATATTCCTAGAAGCGGCTTGTGGTCCGTAATGATGTCAAATTTCCGTCCATAGCAATAATTATGAAACTTTTTAACTCCCGCAATTATTGCCAGAGCTTCCTTGTCCAATTGGCTGTACCTGCGCTCTGTCTGGTTTAATGTTTTTGAATGAAACGCGATGGGAGCTTCCCTACCATCTTCTTCCACATGACTCAGTACTACTCCAATTGCCCAAGGAGAAGCATCGCACGAAAGTCTTAAAGTTTTCTTTGGGTCATAGTGAACCAGCAATTGTTCCGACGAGAGCAACTCCTTGACCTTTTCAAATGCTTGTTGGTGTCTTCTTGTCCACTTCCACGGAACGTTCTTGTCCAGAAGTCGATGCAAGCATTCAGCAACATTCGCTTTATTTTTTAGGAATCCGTGATAGAAATTTAACAATCCCAGAAATGATTGTAATTCCCGTTTGCAAGATGGTATAGGCGCATTTTTAATATCTTGAACTTTGTCAACCGTAGGACGTACTCCCTTTGCGTTGATGAAAAATCCCAAAAATTCAATGCCCGTAGTCCTAAAAACACATTTAGATTTCTTTAGTTTCAGTCCATCTTCTGCAAATCGGCGTAAAATTTCTTCGATCCTTTCACACAGTTCCTCATCGTTTTCCGCGGCAACCAAAATGTCATCGAAGTATGGAAAACATCCCGGAATTCCTGCCAAACGATTGTTAATGAAACGTTGAAAGATCTGCGGTGCCACCTTGATTCCGAAACAGAGTCTGTGGACCGTATAGGTACCTCTCTGAGTGATTATGGGCTGTAACTTTGCTGAATCCTCATCCACCTTTAATTGTTGATATGCCTGAGCCATATCCAATTTTGCGAATACCTTAGCTCCATTCAACGCAGTTAAGATTTCTTGAGTAGACGTCATCGGGTATGGATCATCCTGAAGAGCCCGATTAAGTGTACATTTATAGTCGGCACAAATCCTAATAGTTCCATCTCCCTTTACTACCGGCACTATTGGTGTCGTCCATGTAGGGTTATCACACGGTTTCAAAATCCCCTGTCCTATTAGTCTTTCAATTTCCGCATCAATTTTGGGCCGTAGTGCAAAAGCCACATTACGCGCCTTTAAACGAATGGGTCGTATTGAAGGATCTACTTGGAGATTTACCGGTAGCCCTCGAAAAGTACCGAGACTGTTATTGAACACCTCACTATACTTTTGTAAAACCTTCTCTAGTTTAATGTCCACCACCGATACAGAGTTCATTGACAGTCTGATACCTAACTCTGCGAACCAATTTCGTCCTAATAAACTAATGTTATCGCCCTTCGTCACTACTAATGGCAAATTTTTAACATGTTTATTAAATACTACGCGCACCAAGCATTCGCCCAGAATCCCAATGCCCTTCTTTTGCCAGTCCCGTAAAGTTAATTTAGTATCCTTTAATCGCGGTTTGTTATGGGGGAATAGTTTTTCAAAACATGATTGTGCCATCACTGTAAAACTAGCACCCAAATCTACTTCAAATTCACATTCCCTGTCATTAACAGATAACAAAACCCGATATGGCACTTCACCTCAACCGATATTGTGAAGTCCTGGAACAGTATCGTCGTCGGATACATCGCTGTCAGTACTAACATTTGATTTAACTAAATATTGTCCGCTCTTATTTGCTTTATTGATTTTACCTACCCTTTTACTTCCGCTTGTTTCGTTATCTTTAGCAAGATTCTTCTTCATCAAACAAGCACGCTCTAAATGCCCCTTCTTTGAACAGAATCTGCACTCAGCATCCTTCCAACGACACGTCAATGGGTCATGATTAGCTATGCACCTCCAACATTTTGTGGTATTCAACTCCTTAGAATGTTCCATTTTGTTAATAGTAGCACTATCTGGAGCTCTTCGCAATTCCACTAGCTGGCAGGCTGCATTTTCGGCCGCTATCGCTTTATCAATTGCCATTTGAAACGTCAATTTTGCTTCCGTCAATAAGCGTCGCTGAAGCGATTCATCTCGCGCACCACACACGGTACGGTCTCGAATTTGGTTTTCAAGATCATTGCCATAATTGTACAAACCACCAATTTTGCGAAGTTCGGCAACCCACGCGGAAATTGATTCAGCCTCTTTTTGATGCCTTCGATTAAATAAAAACCTCTGTACGATTTCCGATTGTTTAGGATTAAAATGGGTAGTCAACAAATCAATAATGCGGTCGAAAGTAGTGTCGGCAAATTCATTTGGTATGCACAAACTTCGCGCTATCTGAAAAGTTTGGTCACCACAAATGCTTAAGAAAACCGCACGCTTCTTATTCGCATCCGTTATTCCATTTGCTTCCAAATAAAAATTGACCCGTTGTATGTACACAGTCCATGTTTCCGGCGCTGCTACATTAAATTGTTCAATACTTCCCAATCCTAAGGAAGCCATTGGTGTTTGATCCTCGTCGCCAATATTAAATACCCGCTTTAGTGTAAATGGTTTATTGCTCTTTTAACTAATTATGCAAAATTCACGTTAGTTTGACAACACTAACAACTGTTTACTAATGTATCTATGATTCAGCTACTCAATACACAACACAGCACTTTGTCAAAATTAACAATTTGATTGATTTCAGGTGTTCGCCGACAAGATTGACTACCCGAGAAGATCGATGAATTTCTCTCAGCTGTCAAAAGGTTCGAGTGGACTTACCTCAAGCTGTTTACTAGTGAAACGCCTACGGCACATGCGCAATCTGTAGTTTTATAAGAACTTGACTTTACTAAGAACATGAACATGTTCGAACAGAACTGATAGAATGTGTAATATGCAAATAACCAAATGTTCAATTTGACGCGACGTTTATATATTTATTTTTTATATATTCTATTACTTCTTTCCGTTACGCATCTAATGCTTTATTATACGATGAACTCATCAAAGTAGCTTAAATCTAATCATGACAATATTTGAAAGTAGCGAGAGGTGGAGGAGGACTATACAACTGTTGAAGTTTGCTTTTAACGCATCAAATGTACAAAGAAGATATCTAATATTTTGACATTAAATGTTTCGTTCCATCGCCAGAAGGCGGGACCAAATTAAGTATTTGTAATTAGTTTTAGTCGTAGGCGCGCGTTCTTAGTACGCACGCGCGATTGTTCCAATTGATAACGCCACAAAGTTTTTTGTTTTGAAACAAAATGTGATCACCCTGAATGTCGATGTTCATTCCACCTTGCACCTTTACTTTCCTACGAGGGGTGCACCACTTTGGTGCAACTGCAGCGAATGCGAAATATTTGGTCATGTGTTTCGAAAATGCCATAAGCTTCCGAGCATTTCCGAAGAGAAAATTTTGGATAGGTTGAATAATGTAGAAATGTGGAGTGTTTTAGAAATTTTGGAAACATTCAGCAAATTATGTAAACGTCTAGAAATGGAAAAACAGAACACAATGAGATGAGTGATGGACCCCTCACACTAAATGTTGAATGTGATTCGATGCTTTTAAGTTTTATTATGACGCAAGAGATTTTTCAGGGAACCTTAATTGTTAAGCGTAATTTTAAAAATAGCTTTAAAAATGTGAAAACTGTTGTGATTTGTATCTCTGTTAACTTTAAAAACAATAAATCGATGTCTATGTGAAACTAATTTTAGAATTACAGAATTTTATATACAACTCATTTTATACAGGGTGCCCACTAGATATGGAATATAGCAAATTATCTGTAAATAACGACTACAGAAAATGTTCTATATAAAATTTCCCATAGGCGGCATTCAGATGGAATCGTGATGCAAGAAGAGGTTTTAACAGCCAAGGTCGATGTCCACCTTCAGAAGCGGTGCATACCCACAACACTTATGATTCATCCAGAGTTGAAGGACCAGAAAACCCTTTTTGACTGCGATTTTATAGAAGACGCTGGAGTCGTGCTAAACGTAGCCCAGAAATGCTGGTATTTCTATCCCAACGCCACCTTTCAGTACTTCGACGAGGAAGGGCTGTACTAAATTCCAAATCTGGAATCCAGTCAACACGAATCTACTCAATCTTTGCTAAGGGAACGCGAAGAAGTTTTTCGAGAAGAGAGAGACCCGACGGAGTACGCCTTGCACCGCATCGTCGCCAACGATCACGCAGCCTGCAGCCACGAAAGAGTTCCTACGCAAGGCATTAGATTATCTACTGTCCCGAGGTGTTATAGACCCGACACATATCTCATGCACCGTTTGGACGAACTATTACAATTTTCTGTCTGTCTGTCCACAATAGACTTACAGTCAGAGGACTGGCAGGTGCCGATTGCCAGGGATGACCGAGATTAAACGGAATTTTTTTTTATTTTTTAGGATGCCGTTCGGACTCGCGGAATGCCCCTGGGACATTTATGCGTTTGATGGACCGATTTCGTTCGGGTTTTGGAAACATTTGAACAACACTTAGACGATCTTCGTGCCGTATTCGCCAGACTACGCCCGCGGAGAGAAAAGTGCGTGTTCGGTCGGCACTCCATACAGTATCTAGGCCATGCAATCACACCTCGGGGTGTACAAATCGATCCTGAAAAGGTATCCGCCATTCAGAACTTGTCGAGTTCGTGTGATAAAACCAAGGTTCAAAATTTTGTCCAAACCTGTTTCTGGTATAAGAAGTTTCTATTTCGAACTCCTTTGGTGAATGACTGTAGAAGTAGATCTGTTCGAGTTACTGAATGCGGTGAAAGACTGTCTGCGCCAAGCCTGGTAAAGGGTCCTCATCTTGGAGGGCCAGGACGTCAGTCTCGGGTTCGCCTTGAATGATACACGCATCTTGCTCGGACACCTGGAAATCAGAAAGGGAGAGTAAAGGGACCACGATGATGAGCTACCCACGCCGCCACGTTGAGACGAGCATGCGCTGGAGAAGTGCGACTACACCCAGACGAGATACAACCGCTGCTAGGGGACCGAGAGCTGCTAAGGCTGCAAGGAGATTTCTTAGACTTCTCCCTGAGAGGGTGGCAAAAACTGTAACCAAATGAGTTACGATACCCAATATGAGGACGAAATCCCGAACGAGGGGCGAGTTATCTATCTCAGGGGCGAGATTCTGCTAATAAAAACTCGTCGGTTTAGAATCGATTTGTGAAATCAACAGATTTGTTGCAACATTGAATTTGCCCCACAAGGTCACGTAATTTTACACCTTGCTCTTGACAGAAGAATTTGATTGCACCAAGTGTATTTCACTCTTGCTACCTGCTTAGGTATCGTAAACTTGTTTTGCCCAACTTGGATTTATTAATCAATGGTCAAGTCTGTTGAATAGTTGCATTTGACATTGCATCAATTTTACTTTATACTAATATTTTGTCACAACATGTTTCATTGTTTTGTTGGCCCTTGCACTATTTGGTATGGAATACCCCACAGTAAAGAAAAACTCAATTACCATTTCCTTACAGGCATTACCACCACCAGACCATTCGTATAAGTAAACAATTGATATGTTGGGGGGTATTCCACCCCCCCCCCGGCACTACGTTCGATGGCATCTTACGGAAAACTGTACCTACTGAGAGTGGTGAAGCAGACGGTTTGGGAGAAGACTTTAATACCGGTGGGTCTAGGCCCTAGGGGATATTGAATACCCCCCAGCAAGGAAAAATTCAATGATCATTTCCCTACAATCATCATTATTACCCTCGTTATCATCATGAGATGATTCGTAGAAATGAACTATTCGTATGCTGGGGGGGGGGTATTCCATACTCCCCAGACCCCTCGGTGGTATGTTCGATGGCGTCTTAACGAAAACTGTACTGAGAGTGGCGAAGCACACGGTTTTGGGGGAGAATTTAACACCGGGGGGATCTGGAGAGTATGGAATACCCCACAGTAAAGGAAAACTCAATGATCATTTCTCTACAATTATCATTATCACCATGAGATGATCCATATAAATTAATTATTCGTATGCTGGGGGGTAGTCAATACCCCCCAGAGGTATGTTCCATGGCGTCTTATTTAACGAAAACTGCACTGAGAGTGGCGAAGCAGACGGTTTTGGGGGAGAATTTAACACCGGGGGGTCTGGGGAGTGTGGAATACCCCACAGTAAAGGAACACTCAAAGACGATGATCCATATAAATTAACTATTCGTATGGTGGATGGGGGGGGGGGAGGTATTCCATACCCCAGACCCACTGGAGGTATGTTCGATGGCGTCTTAACGAAAACTGTACTGACAGTGGCGAAGCAGACGGTTTTGGGGGAGAATTTAACACCGGGGGGGTCTGGGGAGTGTGGAATACCCCACAGTAAAGGAAAACTCAATGACCATTTCTCTAAAATTATCATTATCACCATGAGATGATTCCTATAAATTAACTATTCGTATGCTGGGGGGGGTAGTTTGTACCCCCCAGAGGTATGTTCCATGGCGTCTTAACGAGAACTGTACTGAGAGTGGCGAAGCAGACGGTTTTGGGGGAGAATTTAACACCGAGGGGTCTGGGGAGTGTGGAATACCCCACAGTAATGGAAAACTCAATGACCATTTCCCTACAATTATCATTATCACGATGAGCTGATTCGTATAAATTAACTATTCGTATGATGGGTGGGGGTATTTTTTGCGGCAGCGGAAGTGTCGGCCAATCAGAGCGCACCTTGCCACATTTGAAAATTTCCGTTATGCTTCCGCTAGCAGAATTTCCGCACTTGTGGCAGCACTGGCCGCGGAAGCAGAGGTCACTAATTCGTATGGCAGATATTGAGTTTGAAATTTTTGCTTTTAGCGAACTGAATCTAATTGGGTAGCATTACAATACAGGGTGGTGTACGAAAATACACGAGGGTATTTAACGATATTGGGATGTAAAGTATATTACTGGGTCAAAGCGCAAAGCGGGTCACTGGGTCAAGATGTGAGTCCGCCCCTGTTTGCAGTTTTGCGATGGACGCAGGCCCCGAAATTCCACTTGGTGGCCCACTTATTGCATTCACGTAGTATCCTGTTATCACGATATCAGTTGCATTGGAAACAATGCAAAATAACTAAGTCTACGTAGAGTTCACGTAGGTACGTTACAAGAAAAAAAACGTAAACAAAGCAAGCCGTGCCGTCATCATCCCTTATTTATTAGTATACTATAGCAGTAAGAAATCGTTTTGTTGCGGACTAAGGGTTGTTAATTTCGCTTAATTATTAAGCAATTACGTCACGGATTGATGTGAATTTAACAAGAAATGTTGAATAGAGTGGGTAGAGGGGGGCAAGCTTCAAAGGACAATTTAAATGCTAATTAATTGTGCGCATGCATTAATTATCAAATGAAAAAAGTACACTTACCTTTGGAAAGCTGTTCCAGTGTAGGTTTAGGTGGATGCGATTCCTGGAACAAAATGCGTTTATTTAGAGCGGACTGTACCCAACCGTCGCCATTGGAAAACGGAACACGATTTTAATGGCAATTCGTACATTTGTTGATGGCAACATTGAAAACTCACCCTGTGCCCTTACGTTCAACAAGGAAGGCCACGGACGAAAATTAAGGACATATAAGCCACAAGTTCCTGCCGTGGATGCGATTCCTGGAACAAAATGCGTTTATTTTAGCTGTGCTGTACCTAAGCGACGCCACCGGTGGAAAATGGAACGCGATTTGAACACGATATTTGCAACTCGTATTTGTTGATGCCTACATTAAAAACTTACCCCCTGCCCTTATGTTCAGCCTCCATCGACAAAGAGGAGGGCCACGAAAATAAAACAAACAACAATTAAGCGACAACCCGTTCGCTTCTAAATGCACAACGCAACTGAAACAACTCGCAGGTTAAGGCCTCGCTCTGATTGGCTGCCGAACGATAAAATGCACATGCACCGGTTCTTATCAGCTCTAGACGGTGTTTACCAATTCCAGTAATTTTTGTTTTTGAAAACTGAACACTGAAAGGCAGGAGTCGGGTACCTGGCTACACGTGGCAGAAATGCTGCCTTTCCTGGAAAGCTCACTCCCCCTTCCTTTCGGGCTAAATGTTTATAATTATTTCCACTCCCCTGTCCCAACTTCAAAATTAAAACGCCGATTTACACATTATCTTACTTTAATTTTATTGTTTACCTACATTAGAAAAGAAAATTTGGAGTAAACCAAATCCCTCCCCTCTCTCCATGCACGTAATTTTATAAGAGGCGCGTTATTTAAAAGATTTTTGAAAATAACATGCACGCCACCCTAAGCGACAGGGTCGGACGAAGCTTCTGCAAATTTAAAAGTTCAAAATTGTGATGTTCAAGGCCGGACCGGACAAGCGAGATCACGAGATGCATGGGCTCTTCGTCGGAGCTCACTTTAAATAGTCCTCTTTCATTTAGTTTATTAGTAATCAAACATTTTTTTCCAAATAAACCAATCCAAGACGTTTTGTATAAAAGCTCCGTCCCCAAATGTCCCAAAATTTGCACGTTAGTAAAGGGAGGTACCTGTTGCACTGGGGTGAAAACACTTTTTTTGACGGAAATACACGTTTTGAAGCACCAGAACTGTTCAATGCTCAACTGTTAATAAATATTTAAAAAAACCCATGAAGGATTTTTAAAAGCTCTTGAGGACTTTTTGAAGGTCGTTTGGAGACTTTTTGAGCATTTTCCTTTAGAATATTACATACTGTTGAGGATATTTACGTACTCCTAGATTACTAAAAGCTCTTAAAGATTCTAATTAAGAGGACTTTTTTTGGAAAAGTCTGGATCTTCCTTTCCCTAGGGACTAGGGAGTATTCTATACCGGACCGCTAGTCCCTCCGGGTTTCCGCCAAAGTACTGGAAATCTATAGGATCCTCATGGTGTTTTTTTTGGAAATGATCACCCAATGCTTCCTTTCTAGGGGGCATTCTATACCTTCATGTTACGTTTTTCCAAAACTGTCTAAAGTCATAAGGATTTTCACCCAAAATGTTCAAAGTCTCCAGGATCCTCATGAATATTTTTCGAGAGTAATATCGGATCCTCCTTTCTTCCTGGTGGTATTCCATACCCCCAAAAACCCTTCAGATGCTACGTTTCCTCCATAATGTTCGAACTCCTCAAAAGTCGCACTCAGGTTTTTTTCGGGGAAGTGCTACCAGATCCCCGAAACCTGCAGGATCTCCATCATCTATCTATTCACAGGCGATCCCGATCGGGCAGGACTTAGGCACAACAGAGGCCTATTGCACCTGCCCCCTTTCTTTTGCAACTACGTCCAGAGCTGTTCCTCTCAATAAAGGATAGTCTTTGATCCTGGCTCTGACAGCGGAGGGAGCAATTCCTAGGGCCCGATGAAGACCCCACCACTGCCTTCACGAGCCAGCTCTTCCTCCTATTCCGCAGTACGCTGACACCTAGAGCAAGCTTACATTAAGGTAGTCCTTCACCTCACCCAGACCTCTTAGTCGTCCCCTGTAAATCCAAGGTTCCCGTATGAGGCTTGTTTGCTATACAGCAAGTTGACGGCTTACAGGTCACCCACTTACTGCTCTGTAAGAAGGTTACCTTATTCATCACTGATGTACTAGGTTCCCCCTTCCTTTAGCGATGCCGACGGCCGAGCCCCCTCCCGTCGCAACGTCACTGAGTCTCGCTGCTCCCCTACCTGGCGCAGCCGAAGCTCTCACTTTCGTCACACAAGTGATGCGTCGGAGCCGTCCCCTCGTCTGTCTGAGAGTTCTGCCTCTGGAGTGCCCGATAGGATTCCTCATCGACACGAAAAGCGGGTAGGATTCTACCAGGCTCCTCCCTGCGGAAGTATGTCCTCCATAGAATCGTCGTAAAACCAGGATTTTGCCTCTGGACGCACTTCAAGATGGGGGCCGAGTCATCCTGGGGCCCGTATAATACAGCCATTACTTTGGTTACCCTAGGGACCTGCCTCTGAACCTTCAGAGACGCGCCATCTCAGAGCCTTAATAAGACGGACGGTCCAGCGGAACCCTGTCAGTTAAAGAAAGGACCCCAAACCACAATGCACCTCCACTGAGGCTCAGTGATGTCCACCTTCGGGTGTGATACCGGAACGATGGCAACCCTGAGCCTCGCCGCAGCGACTTGCTTATAGGTTCGCAGTGCACTCGCAACTTTGGGTGCTCCAGAACCTCTAGACTTCTCAGGCTGCCCTGAGTCAGGTCCTGGAGTGCTTCCCTCCGATATGAGAGTTTGGTCCCTGACGTCGGGTTCCCCCCCTGAGCCAACGACTCAGACACAGACTGAGTGTTTTCTTTATATAGGGCATTCCATATCCCCAAACCTCCCGGAGTTACGTTTCCCCCCACAAACTTTCGAAATGTGTTTGGGGGTATGTAATATCCCCCAGGCAAAGAAGAGTGAGTGGCCCTTTCTTAAAAAACCTGCGTGAGGATGTTTAAGATTTCGAACATTTTGGGGGGAATGGAGGAAATTGTAGTGGTCTGAGTGGTATGTAATACTCTCCACGCAAGAAAAAAAAAACCCAGTGATCCTTTCTCAAAAACACTAGTGGCATCCGGGGGTTAATTTATTTTAATTTAATGATGTAATACGGGAATAACCCCAAAAGCACAAACATATTTCGGTGTACATTTTCAAAGTACTACAAAAAATAAAAATAACTGTATTTTAAACTAAATTTTAATAACATTAAACCTTTGAACATTGTGGGAGCATGGGGAAAGTACAGTACCGAAGGGTGTGGTGGGTTATGCTCCCCCCCAATCCTGAAAAAAAGAAGATCCGGTGATCCTTTCTCAAAAAAACAAAAAGTACCTATATTGAACATATTGGGTGAGAACATAGTAGAACTCGGTGTGCCCCCCCCCCCCGCAACTCTCGTTGTAATGTTTTTCCTCAATTCTCCTTTTCTGATATGATATTAGACGCCCCCTCTTCCTCCAAAATAATAGGTAATTTGTGTACACCTTACAAGCGATCAGTTTTGCAGTGGGCGGCAATGATTGATGTGACTGTTTTTATACTAGAAGAGCCGTGAATGTGTGGCGATCGTCATAACTGGAAAGTTACCTAACACCGTGAAAGAGCTCATGCAGGGTGGCTCTTGAACAGATCGATAGGTGGCGCGGTAGCCATGGCACCTCCGTTAACTCGAAAAGATCGAGATTGTTCCATTTAAAAATAGAAAGAGAGCGAACCTTGATGGGCGAGGACGTCAAATGGATCTCATCAGGGCATGGGGCTTGAACCCTCGACGTATTGTATAACCAAAAATTTATTTTGAGCAATGGTTTCTGCCGCTAGGATGAGCAAAACGGCTTCTTCACTACCTCATTTACCATTATATGATTTATTTAATGTTTTACATTCAATATATAATTAACATAAGCGTATTTTGTATGGAAGAAGGTCCCTATAACGCGCAGCACCTTTTCATATCTTCAAAAACCCCAGCACAGATGCCACTGAAAAGCAAGAAGGAATAATGTCAATTAAATTATTCAACAATTTGTGCCAGTGAAAGCAGTCAGCGTCTTTTTAGTGCCATTTTATTATGACACCAGACGAAGCAGGTGCCCAATATCTTACTAAAGAAAAAGAAGTGCGAGTGCAGTAACAGCCATTGGTACATTTTCCTGCTACTATGCCAATTAATACCAGTAGTAGAGTGGCCACGATCATTAGCTTAATCATGTTGAATTCTGCATATGGGCATTTAACGTTTGCCCAAGTTATAGTTTTATAGCACATTCAAGAGGCGGAATCTTATCGAATTTTGTTGATAACGGAGATTATCTTACCTGGACTCTGCTGTTGAAGTGTTTGTTACTAACATTTGTTTTTGTTTTGGTTTTCATAGGTGCAAGCAAAATTAATTAAAAAACGTAGGGTGCTTTTCTTGAAAGTGAAATAACTTTCAACTTTCACTTTCAGTTGAAATTTTAGGGCTGCGAACTCTAACATTGGACATTAAAAATCAATGTTTTGATGGTCATCTGTGTCGAAAGGCGTAAAAGCAGATTATTGCAACTGCTCATAAATAAAAGAGACACATGTTATGAAATCAAATCGAGGGTGGTTCTTATGATGTAGTTAAATTAATATGCCGCGGCTGTTCGTCGGTTCACAATCCTCATCTGGCTTTTATTAAAGGTTAACGGTTCTTATGTTAATATCGGCTTTGCTATAAGAGAACACATTTTAATATTTTTTTTTTACTTACTTACGACTTATTGTTGTTTTTTATCTACCATCTACTACCAGAAATATTCAAACTTTACTTATAAATCGTATGTGTATACTAACTTAGTGTCAAATGAATCACCGCTAGGTGCTAAAAGAAAATTGCTTATATTTTTACACACACTATGTACAATAAAGATACAGCGAACTGCAATATGTGAATACATATGTACCATCTGCATCCGCCAGTTCTTTTCTTAAAGTCAAAATAACTTAAAAACCATAAATGGTAGATATCAACATGTGGATATCAAATGAACTGAAATCACGTAGAATCTAAAAATGTAATAAAAAATAGGGGGTGCCATTTAAAATAACGAAGTTACTAGCCACTTCCGGTATTTCCGGATGTGCGTCCATTTTGAAAATATTTTATATCGATTCGGCCTTCGGAGTAACTCCTAAGTACAAATTTTTAAAAACCTACCTATTTTACTTTCCCAGAAACGTTTAACAAAAGCTCCCAAAAAAACACCCTGTATAGTGTTTCTGAAACACAATAATGGGGCAAAGATTTTTGTTTACGGTTCATTTTAGCGCATGATGAAAGGTACGATGTAGTAGAAAAAACGTTAACTTTTGAAAACGTTAAGTTAGCCCCCTCCCCACTTTTTAAAATTTTTTTATGGTTTAACCGTAACGGCGCTAGCTTTAATTCAAGTGGCGCAATTGAGCGCATAACCAAATGTATCAGGTGACCTAGTTACAAGCGACAAAATACGTACTGGGGGGGCTACGTTCACTTGGCCCCCCCCAAATCTTTTTTCGGATTTCTAAAAAACGATAATGGCGCAAGAGTTATTATCGGTGGCGCATATGAGCGCATTAATTTTAAAATAATACGACTATCAAATCTCTCAGTGGGGGGGGGGGGCTAAGTTAATGGACCCCGAAGAATGACCTTGCCCTACGGATTCCAAGCGAACCCTGTCAGCCGAGGGAGTCAATGCAGTTATAGTGCAGCTCGAGTCAATGATGTCCACCTCCGGGTGCGACACCGGAACAATGGACACTCTGATCCCCGCCGCAGCGACTTGCCCCTACGCTCATGGCGCATCCGTTAAAATAAATGGTCGATGGTAATACCGTGGATACCTTTCTAATTTCCTTCAATACAACACTAATACGACCACTGGGACAGTTCTAAATAATCCGAAACACAGATCAATCATAGACCACCCCACAATGGGTGCACAGGCTTTCAAATGTACGTAAAAAGTCTCATTTTCAATTATATGATTTATTTAATTCTTTACATGCTATGCAACAAGCGTATTTGATTTGAAAGAAGATGCTTGTTTCCGTGTTCCTAAGGCTTCTTATTATTTCTTGCAACACTCACTTCTATAATCATTGCCACAGGGCATGCTGAAAAGTAAGATTAGAATTAAATTATTCAGTGGTAGTGAATACAGAAATTAGTGCCATTTTATGGTACGAGACGAAACAGGTGCCACAAGTACGTGGACTAGAGAAAAAGAAGTACTTACCAGCGGTCTTCATCTGATTTACAATATTCGAAGGTGCAATAACAGCCTTGATTGCAATTTTTTTTTTTTGCTACTCCCATGCCAACTAATACCATTAGTAGAACAGTCACGATCAGTAGCTTAATCATGTTAAATTCTGTATATATTTCACGACGGAAAGGCCACGCTTTTATAGTACATTCAAGAGGCGAAATCTTATTGAATTTCGTTAATCGCAGATTATCTTACCTGGTGTCCACTTAAACTTTGGGCTGTTTTGCTTTCGGTTTTATTCGTAGGAAAGCAAAGTTTAAAAAGCGACCAAATGACCTTAAAGTTAATGGAAACAATAGTCCTCTTTTCTAATGGGTAACATAAAAATAAGTTTCAGAGTTGAAACGCTTGTGCAGACCCGAGTTCCACACGTCTATTTTGACGCACCTTCCAGAATCGTCCGAGGGCCAATGAGAACTCATAAAAAGATCAAGCAGAACTTTTCTCTTCCGTACCACAATTTTTTTCTCGTTCCCTTCTGCTCCAACTGCAGAAGTTTGACATCGTCAATATGGGACCACGTAGTATTATTTTTACGGTTATGCAATTTAAAATAATCTGATGACATGATCATAAAAACAAAATACTTGAAACAGAAATAGCTATCTGTAGTACTTTGATTGTGTAAATTCACAATTGGATAAGCAAGCAGTTGGGCCGCATACATTATTATGTACGTACCATTAAGAAACTGCGAGAAGTAGATAAATGGAAAATGTGCAATGACACCTATGGTAATAAAAGTAAATTTTTGAGTACCTTTAAAATGGCGTTAACCTGATTCTTTGGTATATGCCTGGCGTAGCCGCTTCTCTGAGAATTTAGTCAACTGTCGTGGGGATGTGTTCTTGATAGGAACTAACAGAGATGTATCTCCACCACTTTTGTTGTCATTGCGCTGGGCCGCGACATATGCCTTGAACTAGAGGGACAATAAATAAAATAAATAAAACAACACTTTGTGTATTGGGGAGGTTGTTTGGGGGCGACTAACTGGGTGTTTCCCTACCCGAAAGAGTACGGTCTCAGCTTCGACACTGTGCTATCTGCATTAGAGGGACCTCTGCTTCCTGGTGACAGCCTCTCCCTCGATGTTCCATTAGTTTCCGATGCCTCCATCCTTTGATCTCGTTTCCTTCTCCCTCCCTTATTGTTGTCCTCTCCCTACCTCCCTTTCTGCTTGTGCTTATGTCTGATTCTTCCTCCAGAACTCGTCTGTTTTCTTTCTTCATTTTTCGTTTGTCTCTGCTCTATTCTTCCCGTCTCTCTATGAGAATCCCCGAGGTCGCCACTGTTTGGTATAACATGCTGTTTCATGTTTCCATTCCGAGGCACGTAGATCTTTGATTACCTGCCGAATATGGTCTGTGTTCCTCCTGCCTCCAATATATCGACAGCTTCATCTTCAGTCTCCCGGTGATCGTCTTTCCTTCTAGTAATTCCCATATTGCTTTCTTGTGAGGTTGCTGTTTTCCATATGGTACTTATGTACGCTCCCAGATATTTTATTTTGTGCTTCATGGTTATCTCCCTCTCGGGTATTGTGTCTTTCATCCTTCTTTGTATTGGGTTTCTTCAAATCAAGTTGATCCTTTTGTTGTTTATTAGTAGGCCAGGTATTCCTCGCCCTCGAGGTTTTCTAACTTGTCCACGATTACGAGTAGGTCGTTCGCGTACGCCAATAGTGTCGGTAGTTGTAATTGGCTATCTGTGCTGAAATTCCTCACCACCCTCCTTGTTTACTATATGGCGCTATCCAGTGCTATCGGGAAGAGCCTTAGTGAGAGCGGACATCCTTGTTTGACTTCTTGGGTTTTCATTTGGTGATCGGTCTTCCAAAACCATTGTATACAAATATACTCCCTTAGGCACGCGTTTATAATTCTATTGGTTAGGAATTTGGGCAGTCCCAGCAGCGTTACAGAAGTCGCCATTGCTGCATGCTTCACTTGGTCGAAAGCCTTCGCGATGTCTATGGTTAGAAGCCATATCTGGTGGTGAATATATGGTCGTCTGTTGCTCTGTATTTTATGAAACCTGCTTGGTATATTGGTGTCTTGGATGTGTGGCACTCTAGGCACCGTAGTAGGTAGGTTGCGTATATCTTGTGTTCCGCACTGCATAGCGAGATTTTCCTGTAGTCGTCTGTTCCTTGTGGTGACTTGACTTTTGGAATTGGGATCTGCACTGTTTGCTGCCATTATCTGGGGACCAAGTTTCTGGTTCATACCTCCTGAATTAATTCATTCCCGGGCAATTTCTCCTTTTTCAGTCTTCCTAGCATCTCCATCATTTCTTCCATCGTGGGGAGTGGCGAGTAATCGTTCTCCTGGACCTGTGCTTCTTGTCCCTTTTTGAGGAGCTTCTCCCATGCTGTCATTGGTACATATTTTTTGTTTCCCCCTTTTCTTCCATTGGGCTAAACTTGGCGATGTTTTCTGCAAACTCGGCGAATTCCTTGATCTCATGTTGTTCAAAGGCTCTGTTTTTCTCCTTTCTGGCCTCTCTTAGCTCCTTCTTTGCTTCAGGTTTGTGTGGGTTTTGCCCAAACCTCTTCAGTGATCTGCAGTGGTTGTCCATGGCTTGCTTCCTGTTCGGTGATATGGGCGGTTTGTGACGTTATTTTCTTTACCGTGTAATCTTGGCTTTGGCTTATATTTGAATTACTATGTGGAATCCTTCTCGAATAACGTTATGCGAACTCTTACCTTTATATAGCAATCCTTACGCCATCTAGGTGTTCACATTATAACCCGATCCTTTATTTGCGAAAAAAACCTTTTGTCTAGTTTTCTGTTGATTGGCGCGGTTATCTTCTCCCACTCACTGTCGACGCGCGCAGTCCTTGTTGAAGAACTCGATTCGATCTTGACTTGTATTTGAGCTACACGCCATTACACTTACCTGACATATTTGTCTACCTTTATTGGGATTAAATAGTGGTGTTGTATTAAGATTAGTGAAGTTTTCTCTTATCATCTTACTTCCAATTTCGCTGATGACGCATTGCTGCGGATTTATCTTGCAAGTTTAAGGCCGTTTTGCGGTATGTTATCTATGACGCATTATCTTTTTATTTGAAATAATCTATTCTAGGCTACTTTCGTACTCCCTAAGTTTTCTTACTTCTTATTTTGGTTTTACCAATTGCTTCCTGACTGTACATTGATATTTTGACGTGGAAACGCGAATACCAGATTTTCCATATGGTGCAATAGAATTCCATTGAAGTTTCGACGCCATTACAATAAAAAACGCTGTACATATTTCTACCTTACCGACTGAAGAATTGACTGAAGAATTACCGCCATTTCATGTGAAACCGATATTTGAACTGATGACCCAATTTTACGAAGTTCGTTGACCTGCGATTCATTCTTCCGAAACGCAAGTACTTAATTAACGAGACGTGTGGAGTTGATACTGTGTAAATTTTTAATTAACGTTATATATTTTGCTTTGAAGAACTTGCTCGTGTAAGTTTGTTTGCATTTGAATTGATAAGATTGCTTTGTCATTGAAGATAGATTCAGTTATTTTATTTGTACATTTTGTAGTATTTTTCTCTTAAAACTTCATGTCACTTTTTGATATCTCACACCGATTGTGAAAACCAACCCTTAGTCGAACCAAATTTTGTTTTGTTGTAAAGTCATTTGAATTTTTGATTCTTTTTAGTATTGATTGCAATTCTACGTACAAGAATAACCATTCGTGTCTTACGTTAACCATTGCTTATGCGATATATTGTGCAACGCGAATCATTACCCTTCTTATATTTTTTTGTTTTTGTGTCTGACTGTTTCAGATTTGCAGTTTCGCGTCCTCTGAGCTCGGAAGGTTGCGACCGGAGTTCAAGGTAAATTTAGTTATTTTCGTCGTTTTTCCCTTTTAACGTTTGATTACATTTTGGTTGTTGATACTAACGAGTTGTGATTATTACTTTGTTTGAAAGTCACTTAATGATTATAGCTCCGTTGTTTCTGCGGAAGCCCTTTTGGATAAATATTTTCCCAGGCTACGTGTTGGCTTCTCATTTGTTTTATTAGAGATTATGTTAAATTTCCAGTTGTTATACTAGATCGATATATTACAGTGTCAGATTTGTGATATTTTGAGATCTTTGTTATTAAACTACCCACATTTATACATCAAATACTGTTTGTTTTCCCCATAATTGTGTATTCCTTTGAGTTTAGTAAGACGAGAACAAGGATCTCTTGGTCTGCCTTGTTCATCCCTTTAGTATTCCTCTCTCTCTAAATTTACCAAAGACTAAGTGGCGCCTATCCGGATTACTTTTACTGTTTCCTTCCCTTTTTGGCTTATTTGTGTGTGTATAGAAGAACCCAATTTTCACCCCGACCCACCTCTACTTTGCCTGAGCTTACCGTGTGCTTATCTAAGGTAATTTTGTCACGTTGGCCCAAAGTGAACGTAACAGGTTTATGTCCCCCAAGTGTTTTGCCTGCTGCTTCCCGGCGATCCTGTTCCAAGATGGTCTCCCCCATTGTATATTGGTATATTGATCATACCGGAATTCTAATTCCACTAAGTTCCCTATCAATTGTTGGTAGAATCCTTTCAGGTTCTCCCTGATGTATGTGTTACTTTCTTAGGGTAGTTTGTTTCCCTTCGTAAGGGTCCAATTTGTTCCGCCCCCTCTAGGAAGGTATATTCGCGAGTACGTATGAGCGCTTTTTTCGCAATTGCCCTGTTTATCCAATCAACCCCCTTGAATCTAACTTTTTCCCTTTAATTCAATTTAAATTAACCTTAATTCTAGATATCCATTATCAACCCTAGCACTGGTATTTACACCCTTGTTGTCCTGTTGGTTGGAGGTTCCCACACTGTCTTGACCTCCTCACAATTTAATTAGATCCCCGCGCGTTATTTGTGTCTTGATAAAGACAACTTCCGCTTGAGATTCAAATATAAGTTTGAATTAAGCCTGGACCCGCCTCGCGTTTCACAGTTCTTTCAGCCGATTTATACAGATTGATAAAAAAATTGCCGAGCAAGCCGAAAACGAGTTCGGCACAAACCAGAACAATTTTTTTAAGTAAAACCCAAAAGCACAGCTGAAGCTTAATGTGTGCCGAGCTCGTCTTCCGGTCGTTCCGCAATCATCGTGATGAAGCCTATTTATATAGATTGATAAAAAATCGTTGCCGAGTAAGCCAAAGGCGAGTTCGGCGGAAGTCAGATCAACGCCCAAAAGCACGCCTGGGGCCTAATCCGTGGCGAACTCTGCGCGTTCCGTGTGCTTTTATGGGAAGAGCCTACTGTCATTGCTTTGCGTGTTTTGTTCCCTCTAAGTGGGTAGGTCTACTATTAAAATTTGACCATTAAGAAAAAAAACCTAGTCATAGATGATGTGTTCCTCGTAGGTAGCCATAGAAAATTGGCAACATTCTCATAACAGACACGTAATGACTTACGAGCAAAAATACTTCCTCGCACATGATGTTCTCCTGATACAAGATTAGAAAAATTAAGTCAAAGAAAAGCGTTGGAGCTTTTCCCTCGACGATGAAAAAAGGCCCGCTATTAGTTCATCATGTTTTCCGGGTAGCTAGCAACAGTTAGGTAATATTCTGTGTCTAAGGATACAGATATTCACTCGGTATCTTGTTCTTTATTTACTCCCCATTCTACCATCCCAACATCATATAGGTATCCCCTTACAAACTTTACCAGCTACCCCCGTTACATTCCAGAACATCACTTTCATGTTAGTTTTCTCCATTTTCATTTCGTTTTTCCTTTTTTTGTGTTCTCTGTTTTCACTAATTCTTTGTCATTGTTATTCCAGCTGTATTCACCTTCACCCTGTCTCCTGCATCTTCATCTTACTTTCTTGCGTTTTCCTTTTTTTTCTTTTCCGCAACCTTTCTAGTTGGGTGGCCATAGTTAATAAATCGCAAGTCTAACGGCATTTAATGAGCCATTTTGGAAACGTGCATTTATAAGGGTAAAAATGTCTGCTGAACCCGAATTCGGATGTTGCCAAGCTGATTTTTGGTTAATTTCAAAATGGCGGCCAATATGGCGGCCAAATATATAAATTTTTATGCCAGACGCATTTTACATAGTCTTTCGGATTGAGGTGTTAAAAAAACATACAGGAGGTACAGAAAATTGCAAAACTTATGTATTGGGTACATTATACAGACAACACGGTAACAATATAGAGATAATTCTGACGGCAAATATTTCGTTCAAAAATTTTAGCGGAGCTTAAATTTCTTCATCATGCAGCTCATTTTTTTTTACGATTGAAGCAGTCGCCAAGACACTTGTAGATATTTGTGCACTTTTAGTTCATAGCATAATTTATTTAAAGCCAAGTTTTTAGGAGGACTAGTCTGACCATTCGATTTTTCAGTATCTCTTATCGCATTTGCCAGACAATATGTATGGTACAAAATGTCCCCGGCAACAGCATCATGAGAAGATGCAACTCTACGCCGTTCTGTACCCACTGCACCCAATGTAAATTTCCATAAGAGCGTCCGCCTAAAAAACTCAAGTTGTTTTTGAAAAATAAAATTTTATATTAATATATAAATTTTATATTTTATAAGTTTAGACCTTTATCTACAAAATGTTCGAAATATTTTTTTAAAAAAGTTTATAGCAACTGAATACCGGCTGTTTAAGGATTAGATATTTTGCAGCGATTAGGTATTGCGCTAACCTGTTTTATTGTTTTACTCTCGATCAAGACGATTTATGGAAAAAGTAAACCGACAGTTTTCTAGATAAGTTACTTCTGAACATTACCCCACAAAATGAGATCATATTTTTTGTAAAAATAAAGTCTGTATCTTGGCGGGGGGTAAATCAACAACTTGAGTGTAGCAAGTGGCGCCGCTGCACTGTGTCGGCGGGAACCGAGGGGTAAACCACCTAGTTAATTCGGTGTACAAATAGTAGTTAATGAATTAAAATTATCTTTTAATGTAGTTAATGTTCTGTAAATGCAGTGAATTTCAAGTTAATTCAGTTAATGTTAATTTAATGTAGTTAATGCTAAGTTAATGTAATTAATTTACATTTACTGCCATTTAATACTACTCGAGATACTACTATAGGTAGTGGCTATAGCATGTGAAAAACCGAATTTTGAACCTGGTGTTAGATTTGCTTTTATTCCAAGTGCCTATGTATCAAATTTTAGTTAAGTACTTTCATAAATAAAAAATTTTGCAATCCAAAAAGGGCACTGTGCATGTAGAATTGATTAGGCCCAACTTTTGGCATTGCGTATTATATGGCTAAAACTATGCCCTCGACTATGCCCATATTTAATTTCATGCAATTCGGTTTATATCTAACGGAGATGTCAAAAGGGCCTTCTTTATTTTTTTACGTACATTGCCAATTCACGAACTCCGACCTATAACTCTGATAAAGAACCCAAATGCAAAATTTCATCATAATCGGCGGTCTATTCGTTTTCGAGGTATCGTGCTAATGAACAGATCTCGGGACAGATGGACGGGCACCGCAAAATTATAAACTCTCTACGTCCTAGGAGATCGTCAATAATTTGAAAATGTTGGTTATTTAAAATATTTTTGCTATAGTGTTTTATAAAAAATTTAATAACCTCTCGTATTATGTAATAATACACAGGGTGTTCCATATTAAAGTCACATTTTTGTTATCATCTGAAAAATGCGATGTGGTTTTGTTTTTTTAAATGCAGATTTGAATTCATTGGAAAAATACGCAATTTGTATTTATATGTGTGTAAAGCGATAGGGTATACAAGAGGTAATTTTTTTTTAAATATTGATTTATGAAAAAAATTTATTCTTCATAATATGTTTTGCTTGCTTTGAAAGTACCAATAACGTTTCGATTATTTGTGGTTTGATAGCAATATTCTATCTTAATTATAATGTAGAATGATAACTTTCAATAAAAAAATTAATTTTATTATTTTTCCAGATTTCTATAAATAAATTTTAGATTATCGAAACGTTATTGGTACTTTCAAAGCAAGCAAAACATATCATTAAGAATAAATTTTTTTCATAAATCAATATTTAAAAAAATTCCCTCTTGTATACCCCATCGCTTTATACACTGTATATTTATATATACAGTTGGAAAAAACCTTAAATACTTACCAACGGTTATTAAAAAGCACAAAATTTAAGAACAAACAAAATTTGCCGAGGAAAATGTAAAACACTAATTTAATTAATTCACAGCTTTTTTGGAACACCCTATATATCACCACAGGATATATTTTCCTACATTTTCCGAACTAGCTATGAAGTTAATTAACCAACTCTTACGTATATGTAAGTAATAAATTATGGAAAACAATTTAATATTAAATAGTACAGAATACAATAGATAGTGGCGCCATCGTGCTGTATTTGTGAACTAGTGCAAAATTCGGCCTGGCAACATCCAGAATCGGATTCAGCACATTTTTTTTACATCTAAAAAACCATGTGGCCAAAATGGCTCATAAAATGCCGTTAGAACTAAGAAACAGAGTCGTTTTTCAATTTGGCCACTTAACTATTCTAATTATATCATCTATGTACATCCTGCTCTCCTTCAACGTTTCCTTACCCCTCTCCTTTTCCCATGTTAGTTCCGCTTATTTCCCTCTACTTCAATAAATTAATCCTCGCCCCTTTTACGCTTGCCTCTACTTGTAGGTTTGCTTTTAGTCATTCGTTCGTGCTTTCTCTCTCTTGCCCATTTTCCATCCTTACTCCTTTCCCCTTCATCTTCTCTTTCATTTTATCTTTTAGCGTATTTGTCTCCCCCCCTTGCCTTATTTCCCCTATGTTTTCTCCACGCTTTCTTCCTCTTTTCCTTCTTTCCTCTTCTTCCTCCCTAGGGCCTAGACCCATCATCAGCCTCGTTACGCCTTGCCCGCCTCAGAGGCCCAGAGGTACTCACCGGTATCAAGTTATCCCCCCACCTTTTGAATTTTCAGAATATTTTTATTGCAATCGTTTGTTAGTCGTTTGTTGGTGTTTGTTAGTTACTATTTCACGTTTGTTGGTTGACCGTTAGTTAATTATTCAAATTTCAAGATTTGGGCGTATAGGTAGCACTCCATTTTTTGAATTTTTAGAATATTTTTATTGCAATCGTTTGTTGGTCGTTTGTTGTTATTTGTTAGTTAAATTTTTACGTTTGTTGGTTCACCGTTATTTAATTATTCAAGATTTGAAAGTTTGGGCGTATATAGTTAGCCCTCAACTTTTTGAAATTTCAGAATAATTTTATTGCAATGGTTTTTTGGTCGTTTATTGGTGTTTGTTAGTTATATTTTGACGTTTGTTGGTTGACCGTTGTTTAATTATTCAAATTTCAAAACTTGGGCGTATAGTCAGCCCCCCATTTTTTGAATTTTCAGAATATTTTTATTGCAATCGTTTGTTGGTCGTTTGTTCTCGTTTGTTAGTTACATTTTCACGTTTGTTGGTTGACCGTTAGTTAATTATTCAAATTTCAAGATTTGGGCGTATAGGTAGCACTCCATTTTTTGAATTTTTAGAATATTTTTATTGCAATCGTTTGTTGGTCGTTTGTTGTTATTTGTTAGTTAAATTTTTACGTTATTTAATTAGACAAAATTAAAAAATTTGTGGCAAACGAATGCAATATAATTATTCTGGGGAGGGGGGGGGGGCTAACTTGACACGCCTATCTCTCTCAGCCCATTCAATAATTATGTCCTGCTAGAGCTATGCAACCTTGACACCATACGCGTGTAATCTGTGTTGCCTACCTTCACTCACGCCGAATCGCTTTATGTCCTCAAACTTTGCTATAAATACTGAATACAGATAGCCTTTATCAACGAGCTCCTAGCGAGTTTATAATTTTGCGGTGTCTGTCCGTCCGTCCGTCCGTTAGCACGATGTCTCGTAAACGAATGGGCCGATTACGATGAAATTTTGAAAGTGGATTCTTTATGAAGTTTCTAGATCTGAGTTCGTGAATTGGCAATTTAGGCCAAAAAATAAAGAAAGCCCTTTTGACATCTCCGTTAGTTATGAACCGAATTCTATGAAATTCAATATGCGTATAGCTTTAGCCATATAAAACGCAATTCCAAAAGTTGAGCCTAATCGATCAGCATTCATAGTGCCCTCTTCGCATCTCGGCCATTTATAAACCAAATTGCAAAATTTCTTATTATAGTTTCAAAATTTGGTTTCCATACCCAGGAGCTCGTTTTCTATATGTGTTTACACGTTTATTATTTACTTGAACAATGAAAAAACTACGTTATATCTCGCACGACTACTCTAGATCAGGTTCTAAAACACGTGTCAATCAGAGAGCATTTCAAAAAGTCTCATTTTATATTATATGATTTATTTAATTATTTACATTCAATGTATAATTAATGCAAGCGTATTTTGTAGGAACGAAGTTGGTTATTTCATTGCCCCCAGGCTTCTTGTTATTCCTTGCAGCATTCAGTTTTATGATTCGCACAGACGCCGCTGCGAAAAAAATAATGTCAATTGCCATTTTATGGTACGAGAGAAAAAAGTGCTTACCATACGTCTTCGCCTGCACTACATCCTTTCCAGGTGCAATAACAGCCTTCTTTGCAATTTCTTTTTTTTGCTACTACCATGCCAACTAATACCATTAGTAGAACAGTCACGATCAGTAGCTTAATCATGTTGAGTTCTGTATATACTTAATCACGATAAAAAGGCTACGCTTTTATAGCACATTCAAGAGGCGAAATCTTATCGAATTTCGTTCATCACAGATTATCTTACCTGGTGTCCACTTAAACTTTGTGGTGTTTGTTACTAAAATGCGTTTTAGTTTCGCTTTCGGTCGTTAGGCGCAATGAAAAATGAATTCAGAAGCAAAAGCGATCAAATTACCTTAAAGTTAATGGAAACAATGGTCAAATTTGAACTCTTTTCCAATGGGTAGTTGGGAGTTTCAAAGTGTTAAGACACTGCCCTGGGTTACCGCTGAAGGCCCGATAAAAACTGGCTAAACCAGCAATAATTACTTACGAATTTATGGTTCCACACGTCTCCGTGACAACGCCATTTTGACGCGCACTCAATTCGAGGAGGATCATTGCGAGAACTCATAAAAAGGTCATGCAGAACTCTTCTGTTCCGTATCACAATTTTTTGTTTCGTTAAATGTTACTCACATTCTCGTTTTTTCCAACTGCAGAAATTTGAGTTTCAAGAATAACAAGCCAACATGACGATATCATCAATTTGGGTTATTTGGGACTATGTATCTGTATCACGATCATAATAACAAAATACTTGAAATAAAAACAGCTATCTGTAGTACTTATATTGTGTAAATTGTCAATTGAACGCAGTTGGGCCGCATACATTTTTAGCGCATTTCCACAAAAATAAAAAAAAATGCGCTATTGTGGCCACTTTGTCCGTCCGTCCGTCCGTCCGTCCGCTAACTTTGCGACGCTACTAGTTTTTTTATCTTAAGAGCTATTGTTCTACTTTTTTCGCTATTTGGTTCGTTATGGTGTCGAGTCTTGTACCAAGGAAGGAATTTTTTCTGTACCGCTTACAAAAAAAGTTATTGTAAAAAAACAAAAAAACCGTTTTTTACATGTTCCATAATTTTACACTTTTGCCGTTTATTAACGATCCTAGAGATCGTTTATAATTTTGCATTGCTATCTGTCGCCTGCCGGTTGGTCTCTCCGTCTGTTCCTTTGTCTGTCTGTCCATCTATCTGTCCGTGTGAACGATAACTTTGTTTAGAAATGTTCGATCGCTTTTACATCTCCGTTAGTTATGAACTGAATTGCATGAAATTCAATATGGGCATAGATTTAGCCATATAATACGCAATGCCAAAAGTTGAATCGAATCGATTCAAAATTCACAGTGCCCTTTTCGCATCTCGACCATTTATAAACCGAATTGCAAACTTTTTTACTTATAAAAGTATTTGAATGAAATTTGATACATAGGCACTTGGAATAAAGGAAAATCAAACGCCAGTTTCAAAATTTGATTTTGCGCATGCGCAGTGCCAACTTTTTTATTTATGGAAGAATTTAAACGAAATTTGATACATAGGCACTTGGGATAAAGGAAAATCAAACGCCAATTTCAAAATTTGGTTTTGCGCATGCGCAGTGCCAACTTTTTTATTTATGGAAGAATTTAAATGAAATGTGATACATAGGCACTTGGAATAAAGGAAAATCTAGCGCCAGTTTCAAAATTTTATTTTGCGCATGCGCCGTGCCAACTTTTTTATCTATGGAACTATTTAAGTGAAATTTGATACTTAGGCGCTTGGAACAAAGGAAAATCTTAGTTTATTAGTTAGTTATAGTAAATTAGTTTTAAAATTTAGGTTTGCGCATGCGCAGTTCCAACTTTCTTATTTAGAAAAGCATTGAAATGAAATTCTTCTCATAAACTGAAATTGAAGTAGCACGTCAACAATGGATTGCCCATGTGCAACGCTATCTTTCATATTTGTGGCCGGATTTCTACGATTTTAACAGAAGTTGCATCTTACAAATGGGAAATGAATGCAAGTGGAAATGCTCTTTATGTAAATCGTTTACGATTACATTTTAACTTGTTATATGTACGTACGTAAGAAACTGCGAGAAATAAAAGGGAAATGTGCAATGAAACCTATGGTAATAAAAGTAAATTTTTGGGTACCTTTAAAATGGCGTTAACGGAAGACGTGCTACCATCCTTTTCAGACCTTGAAAATTAATTCTGATTTTTAAGAAAATTAAGCCAAACTGAAACGTTGAAATATATTTCTTAGTGATATGGAGAAACACCTCTTTGTCCATCATGTTTCCCTGGTGGCCAGTGATTCACCGTGCATTAGGAGCAAAAACATTAAACCAAGGTAACTTTGGTTTCTCTTTATTTGCGAATAAATCTTCCGCTTTTCTATACACGGTGTCCATTTTTCGAGTGCCACTATGGGGATCTCCGCTTACCTGAAGAGATAGAGAGTTGGTTAAATGGGGGCAAAGTTGCGAATTTTCGTGCTCAATAATAATCTGAAAAGAAATTAAAAATATCTTTAGTAGTTTTGAAAATATCGCAAAAAAACATTATTCAGACACTTTTTAATTTTTTGGGAAGAGTGCTTTGGAAAAACAAAACGTTCTTTTATCGTGAACAAAAGTTTGACAGTTTGATCCATCTGTCTGGTTGGAGCGTTGGCAGGGAACTAGTAGTGTTGGGATTTTCATCTGAATAGAAAATTATAATTCAAATTAGAACAAAATATTTAAGAATAAATAATATTTTCGCAATAAATCTAGCATAAACGTAAATTGCACTACTTGAAATAAGTCAACCTTTTGTTCACAACAAAATAACGTTTTGTTTTTCCAAAGCACTCTTCGCAGAAAATGAAAATTGTAATTTTAGGAAAAATGTGTTACTGAACCACCATGTGTGATATATCGTTGTAAAGAGAAAAAAAGACGTAATCTCAAAATGTCAAAATCCAAAACGGCGCCCATAAGAAAAATTAAAGTTGCCACGTGTTTCTCCATCATCTTAAATGTTATTGAAAACGGGATGCCATATTCGAAATCTCCATTAAAAAGTGTCTGAATAATGTGTTAATTAGAAATGTCTCGAAGGATTAGTTTACTATGAGAAAATTAAAAACGAAAATCAAAAATTTTCTTTTTTTTTGCGATATTTTCAAAACTATTGAAGATATTTTAAATTTCTTTTCAGATTATTATTCAACACGGAAATTCGCAACTTTGCCCTCATTTAACCAAAAGTCTATCTCTTAAGGTAAGCGAGATCCCCATAGTGGCACTCGAAAAATGGACACCGTCGTGCGTGAATTTCTTAATTGAAAGTTGTAGAAGTATTTTTTCTGATTTTAAAATACTTAATTATAAGGAAATGTAAGTAAATCTGCGGCTTATTTTCTCCTGATACTGAAAACTAGGTACTCTATAAAGAAATGCACCTATTCTATCAAGCACTTATAAATGTAAAATCTACAGACAATCACTTTCGGTTACTTGTATCAGGGGCCATAAGATTTTTTTTACTTTGAGCTACTCAATTACGACCCCTCGCAGCAACCTATCCATGGGACGCTTAGTAACGTCGGTTTACTGACAATAATTTCGCCGCGTGCCACTTGTATCAGGAGCGTAGTATTTTTTCGGATTCTTAGGTATTTAAATACAAGGAAGTGTTCTTATCAGAATACTAGAACCACCTCAGAAAGCAAGTTATTCTATCAGACACCTAGAAATACTAGGAGCGTAGAAGCCTTTTTCTATACTTTGACGTTTGTTGGTTGACCGTTATTTAATTATTCAAATTTCAAAATATGGACGTAGAGTTAACCCTCCACTTTTTGAATTTTCAAAATATTTTTATCGCAGTCGTTTGTTGGTCGTTTGTTGGTGTTTGTTAGTTAGATTTTTACGATTGTTGGTTGGTCGTTATTTAATTATTCAAAATTGAAAAGTTTGGGCGTATAGTTAGCCCCCCACTTTTGGAGTTTTTAAAATATTTTTATTTCAATCTCTTTGTTGGTCCTTTGTTGGTGTGTGTTAGTTACATTTTCTCGTTTGTTGGTTGATCAATTGTGGGTAGAATCATTTCAGGTGCTCTCTGATCTACTTGTTAGTTTCTTAGGGTACTTGTATTACAACAATTGACAAGTTTGTTTCCCTTCGTAAGGGTCTAATGTGTTCCGCCCCCTCCAGGTAGGTATATTCGCGAGTACGTATGAGCGCTTTTTCGCAATTCCCCTGTTTATCCAATCCCCCCCCCCCCCCTAATCTATCGTTTTCCCTTTAATTCAATTTAATTTAACCTTCATTCTAGGTACCTAGCCAGTATCAACCCTAGCACTGGTCTTTACGCCCTTGTTGTCTTGTTGGCTGAAGGTTCCCACACTGTCTCGACCTCCTCACAATTTCATTAGATCCCCGCGCGTTATTTGTGTCTTGATAAAGACAACTTCCGCTTGAGCTTCGAATACAAGCTTGAATTATCCCTGGACCCGCCTCACGTTTTAAAGTTGCGGGTTCTTTCAGCCGATTTGTTCAGATTGATAAAAAATCGTTGCCGAGTAAGCCTAAGGCGAGTTCGGCAGAAGTCAGATCAACGCCCAAAAGCACGCTTCGGGCCTAATCCGTGGCGAACTCTGCGCGTTCCGTGTGCTTTTATGGGAAGAGCCTACTGGCATTGCTTTGCGTGTTTTGTTCCCTCTAAGTGGGTAGGTCTACTATCAAAATTTGACCATTAAGAAAAAAAACCTAGTCATAGATGATGTTCTCCTGGTAGGTAGCCATAGAAATTTTGCAACATTCTCATAACAGACACGTAATGACTTAAGCAGAAATACTTCCTCACACATGACGTTCTCCTGATACAAGATTAGAAAAATTAAGTCAAAGAAAAGCGTTGGAACTCGACGATGAAAAAAGGCCCGCTATTAGTTCATCATGTTTTCCGGGTAGCTAGCAACAGTTGATATTCTGTGTCTAAGGATACAAGGTTTCTTTGATTTGGTTCTCCCATAGACAGGGTGTTTACGGTCTTCTCTGTATCCGTTTAAGGGGCGGCAGTACAGCTCAAAAGGAGTCGACAAACCCTAAAACACCTTAGTAAAAGTTATTTAATAAGCGAGATAATATTTGTTTTATTTTTTACATTAAACGATTCATCTGTGTACAAATCTAGCAATCTACTACTATCACTATTGTCCAATTGTTTTTTAGTTTGTTTATATGACAGGTATAAGTTGTTATCAATAATTAACCTTTACTACTAATTGATTAATCGCTTAATGTAAAAAATAAAAAACAAATATCTGGCTTATTAAATAACTTTTACTAAGGTGTTTTGGGGTTTGTCGACTCCTTTTGAGCTGTAATGCCGCCCCTTAAAAGGATACAGAGAAGACCGTAAACACCCTGTATATTCACTCGGTATCTTGTTCTTTATTCACTCCCCATCCTACCATCCCAACGTCATATATTCCCTTCCAAACTCCCAGAATTGAGCGTCTTTGCCAGCTACTCCCGCTACATTCCAGAACATCACTTTCATGTTAGTTTTCTCCATTTTAATTTCGTGTTCCCTTTTTTTTGTGTTTTCTGTTTTCACTAATTCTTTGTCATTGTTACTCCAGCTGTATTCACCTTCACCCATTAGTCTCCTCTTACTTTCTTGGGTTGCCTTTTTTCTTTTCCGCAACCTCTCTAATTATATCATCTATGTACATCCTGCTCTCCTTCAACTTTTCCTTACCTCTCGTCCGTGCGTTCTCTTTCTTTTCCATTTTCCATCTTTACTGCTTTCCCCACCATCTTCTCTTTTCATTTTATCTCTTTGCGTCTTTGTCCCCCCTCCTTATTTCTCCATTGCTTTCTCCGCACATCACAGATTATCTTACCTCGTATCCAGTTAAACTTTGGGGTGTTTGTTACTAATGCGATTTAGTTTCGCATTCAGTCATAGGCACAAAGAAAAATTAATTCAGAAGCAAAAGCGATCAAGTTAATGGAAATAATGGTCAAATTTGAACTCTTTTCCAATGGGTAGTTGGGAGCTTCAAAGTTTTAGAGTTAAAAACACTGCCCTGGGTTACCACTGAAGACCCGATTAGAATGGCTAAACCAGCAATAATTACTTACGAATTTATGGTTCCACACGTCTCCGTGACAACGCCATCTTGACGCACCGTCCTGAATCATCTGAGGATCGATGAGAACTCATAAAGATGTCATGCAGAACTTTTCTGTTCCGTACCAAAATTTTTAGCCCATTTTTTGAAAAAAATACGCTATTATATTCGTTATGGCTGGCTGGCTGCCCGACTGAGATCTCAGCAATTACAATAGCTAGAGACTTCAAATTTCACTAAAAACTTTCTGATGTATGTGTAGGCTCTAATCTATTTTGAGTTAGATTATTTGTGAGATCGATAATTTTAGAAAATAATTTCGATATGGTTTTCGGAGAACTTATCTGCATTACCAAAAATGCATATGCTGATTCACAACTTGTTTGTTTCGTTACTTGCCTAAGTGTTACTCACATTCTCGTCCTTTGCAACTGCAGAAATTTGGGTTTCAAGAGTAACAAGTCAACATGACGACATCATCAATATGGAACTATGTATCTGATATCTCGATCAAAATAACAAAATACTTGAAACAAAAATAGCTATCTGTAGTACTTTTATTGTGCAAATTCAGAATTGGATGCAGTTGGGCCGCATACATTTTTATATGCAAATTAATTCAGATTTTTAAGAAAATTAAGCCAAACTAAAACGTTGAAATAAATCTCTTGGTGATGGAGGAACACCTCTTTGTCCATCATGTGTTCCTGGTGACCAGTTGGCCAACTGATTCTCCGTGCATTAGGAGGAAAAACATTAAACCAAGGTAACTTTGGTTTCTCTTCAATTGCGAATAAATCTTCCGCTTTTCTAAATAATGTGTGAATTTCTTCATTGAAAGATGTAGAAGTATTTTTTCTGATCTTAAATTATAAGGAAATGTAAGTAAATCTGCGACTTATTTTATCCTGATACTGAAAACTACCCTATAAAGCAATATACCTATTCTATCATGCAGTTGTAAATGAAATATATAAGTCGGCGGGCAGTCACTTTCCGTCACTCGTATCAGGGGCCCATAAGATTCTTTTTTTACTTTGAGCTACTCAATTACGACCCCTCGCAGCAACTTATTCCATGAGACGCTTAGAAAATCGAAAATCGGTCTACCGACAATAATTTCGCCGCGTGCCACTTGTATCAGGAGCGTAGAAATATTTTTCCTGGTACTCAGTCATTTAATTATATGCTCCTGATGGTTTTTTAGAATTGCCCCCCCCCCCCCCCAAAGTCAAAAATATTTCTATTTATTCCCCTTTGAAAATGAAGATGACAGGTACTGAGCGCGATAAATGTTCAGAACGTTTAGAAGCATCAAAACCCTTGATGGAATACACCCCAGTAATAAGAGTGTCTGCTTCCTTCTTGAGAATGATTGTGAAAAGTAGTGAGGTCATCGAAGCTCTTCTCTTTCTGGAGGGTATTCCACATACCCCAGACCCCCCGGTCGTGCATTCACACACAACACAACGTTTTGAACCGTCGATACTTGTGATAATTTCCGATTTTCCTGAGGGTATTCTGTACCAAACCCCCACGATAAGAGGATTCGATGGTTTTCCCTTAAAAATGTTGATGACAAGGATTGAGGTGTATGAATGTGCTGAGAGGTGTGAGGGGTATGGAATACCTCCCAGTAATACCCCCAAGTCAACAATTTTCTGGTTCCTCCTTGAGAATGACAATGACAGGTGCTGAGGAAACCAAGCTCTTCTCCAGCTGGGGGGTATTCCATACCCCCCAGACCCCCCCAGTTGTACGCCCACCTTCTAAAACGTTTAGAACCATCAGTACTTGCCGTGTGATCATTTTCGAGGGATAGCCATCGAAACTCCTTTTCCATATCAAACCACCAGCGAATAAAGCTTTGATGGTTTTCCCTCGAAAATGATGACAAGAACCGAGAATTGTGAATGTATTGAAGGGAGTAGGTACACATCACCGGGGGTCTGGGGGAATGGAATACCCTCCAATAATTCATCATCTTCGAAACCTCATTATCCGGGGTTTGGGCCACCCAGGAAAAGAAGATTCGAAAATGAGTTTTGGTGATTCTAAACGTTTTGAAAAGAGAACTTACCACCAGTGAGTCTGGGGGGGGGGGGGTATGGAATATCCCTTAGTAAAGAAAGAATGCAAAGCCTCCTTTTCCTGGGGAGGGGGGGCGTTTCGTACTAAACCTCCAGGGAAAGAGGCTTTGAAGATGACCATAGTAGGTCTTCACCTGCCAAAAGATCACATGGAAATGATAAAACGGTTATATGCAAGCATGTGTCGAAATTTACCTGCACCCAAATGAGTTCGGCAGCATTAAGCTGGGGGTGGTAAGGCGGCAAGCGTAAAACTTCGTGGCCGTGCTCTCGCAAGTTTGTACTACTTAGCCGGTGCATGTACTCGTACCAGGGCGAGTAGTTTCGATTTGAACATGCCGACTACGCTGAATGCGGCCGGGCATTTGTTGGATGCTGCCCTACAGCCTCGGTGTGGTAGCTCGTGTTGTCATCTACCGAATAATAATATTATTACCACAGAAGGTCCTCCATGATCCTCGTTTAGACCTTCGAATATGATCCTTATACATTCGCTGAGCGATCTTAAGATCCTCCCAGAGCCTGCGAACCTCCCTACGAACAGCTTCAAGGTCTGAGTTCCACCAAGGTGTCCTCCTCGTTTCTCGAAAGGTCCGCGTAAAGTCACTAGATATAGAAAGTACCGCAATCATCCGCCATTTTTGGGCAAATTTGCTGCCAACTTAAAAAAATTGACAAATAAAATCTGAATAGCTGTCATTTTTTATAACCTAACTTCATAGTACTGTCATGTTTTATAAAAATATATACAGATATCTCCAAACAGGTGCAACAATCCCTAACATTAAAGTTACTAGAATCTGGTAACTTCCGCCATTTTTGGGCAAAAATCATGCGTTCTCTCTCTAACACACGAGCACAATGGATTGCGGTACTTTCTATATTTAGTGACTTTAAGTCTAACCCACGTAAGGTAACAAAACTACTACAGTTCTGTACTATCCTCCGAGGTGAGTTCGGCGTAAACGCAAACAGAATCGTCAAATAAAGAACATCGCGCCACATTAATTCTCTCTCATTGTTGTCCCTCATCCCTTATTTTCTCCAGAATCGAACCGAGTGCATGAAGCTGAAAAATTACTTCGTTTTAAGCCCACATTTCGCTGTTTACTACCCTAATCGTCGGATTAGGACATGGCAACCAACAGGTGCGATTTCCCCGATAACCGCTACTCCATAAATGGTCTTCCAGTGTTGCAAAATTAATCTTATGGAGGGGTTCGAGATCCATGTAAGATGAAGACAACTGCAAATCTGTTGCATAAAAACAACGAAACGCCCCTAAACAAGTCCAGCAGTAGCGCGCGCGCGAGCGCTTTTTCGAAGTGCACAAAACCAATTTTCCTGTGGGAAACTCTCAGTCTGTTCAGATCCCGTTGCGGTTACCCGACCTCGAGAGAGGGCAGTTTATTATTTACTCGCACTCGCGATAAACTACGAAATCTTGGGGAGCGATTTTTTATCGGTTCAGTTTGTGCGTAAAATTCTACGTCTTTTTTTTTTAATTTTTTATGAGGGAGTCGCAGCGATTTCAATTCCGCTGGAGAACTTTAATAGTCGACATGGGAAATTAACGGATGTAGTTGTTTACGTTCGGGAAGGAAAGGTAGGTGCGAACTGAAATTGTTATTGGTATTTAATCATTCATGATCGGTGGAGACGCGCGGGCTTTGAATAATAGTCGAGGGCTTTGTGTTTTATTCACACATCGCATCTCGCATTCAAAAATTATTGGGTCACCTAAAGGTATCAATTCAATATACAAATTCGCGTGGAGTTCCTCAAGGTTCGCTTATTGGACCTTTTTACTTTTTAAATTTTACCTTCACATCTTCAGTTAATTTGGGCTTTAATAGAAACATTTCGAGACGTTGCCATAAAATTGGTCTTTAGGTATCCATCCAAGAAGGGGGATGGGACCAATGCCGATAAAGCAAAGGGCCAGTTTAGTAGGTATATTTCAACCAGAGTAGAGCGCTCTCAATTTTATCCAAATTTCAGTATACACATTTTTTGGCAGGAAAGGTAAGAAACGAAGGTTGAATTATGCCGAACTCGCCTTGGGGTTTCTTCTTTGCCGATGATTGCCGAGCGAGCCGAAGGCGAGTTCGGCACAATCACAACCCAACCTTGCTTACCTTCCCTCCCAAAAAATACATTAGTCTACTAGGATTTCGATTAAAACTGAGGGCGCTGTAGTATTTGGGTGTGTGGTATTATGCCGAGCTCGCCTTCAGCTCGCTCGGCATTCGTACAGCTCATTTGTAGATTATCCTCTCAAGGGATTTTTCGGTCTACTTGATTTTCAATAAAAACTGATGGTACTGTATAACATATTGTGTCTGTGGAATTATACCGAAGTAGCCTTTGGTTGGCTCGGCATTCGTATTGATTCTTCGTGGAGGATTCACTCAATCTCGCTTACCTTTCCCCGGAATTCCGACTTTAAACTCGAAATTCCGACTTTGAATACGGAATTCCGACTTTGAACACGGAATTCCGATTTTAAACTCGGAAGTCCGACTATAAACTCGGAATTTTGTTCGACTTTAAGCTCGGAATTCCGACTTTAAACCCGAAATTCCGACTTTAAATTCGGAATTTCGATATTGAACTGAGTATTCCGACTTTGAACTCGGAATTGCGACTTTCAACTCGGAATTTCGACTTTAAACTCGTAATTCCGACTTTGAACACATAATTCCGAATTTAAACTCGGAAGTCCGACAATAAACTCGGAATTTCGTTCGACTTTAAGCTCGGAATTCCGACTTTGAATATGGAGTTCCGACTTTGAACACGGAATTCCGACTTTAAACCCGAAATCCCGACTTTAAATTCGGAATTTCGACATTGAACTCAGAATTCCGGCTTTGAACTCGGAATTGCGACTTTCAACTCGGAATTTCGACTTTAAACTCGTAATTCCGACTTTGAACATAGAATTCCGAATTTAAACTCGGAAGTCCGACTATAAAC